CTTTTCTTCTTTTCTTCTTTTCTTTTCCGGCTTCTGATCTCCTTTTCCATCTTCTTTCCCTCCTTCCTCTTACAACCTTTATCTCCGCTTCCCTTTCCCCTTGGTTGCTTATTTTGCTTTCCGTTCCAGTTATGTTTTCACGAATCTCGGCTTTCCTCTTTCCCTGGGCTCCTTATTTCTTTTCTTTTCTTATTTCCATCTAATAATCTACCCTTTGCTTTTTTTCCAACCCTTTTTTTTTTTTTTTTTTTTTTGGTTTTGACTCTGTATCATACTCTCGTTTCAGCAACATCGGACTTTCTCCACTTCTTTCGCGATCTCACTTTCAGATCTCCTGGTGTCGAGATCTCGGGTCCCCGATCCCAGTTGCCCCCGGCCGGGGCCCACGTCGCTCGATTTCCATTCGATCACAATGATAATTTCAGATGTGCATGGTGCACTGTACGTACCATACCCGTGGAGATATGTGAACCCCTATCCACTAAGAATTCATTTATCCTTGTGCCGCCATCATCATCATCATCATCATCATCATCATCATCATCATCATCATTGCACATTTCAATATCTTTGCTTCTTCTGCCACTCACATGCTGCTCGGTTTTACCTTCTTGCTGGCTGGGGTATAGCATACTGGTTGGGACTTACCTACCTCCCTAATACGTATCGATGGCCCGGTATTGAATTCCGTGAACAGACTACTTTCACGAACAAGTGTTTCCGTCGTGAAATCATTTTAGAATAGGTCATTTGAGATGTGAGTGTCAGGGGTAAAGTGGGTCTTGCATCCATCACCATCTATCTCTTCCGTTCTGGATCCTCGAGTTACGCATTGCGATTGGGAGACACTCAACCACTACTTGGTCCCTACCTCCGTGCTTGACATTGCAAGTCCCATCCTGACTATGGGGATCTCTTACCCGAAAGCCCGAAAGAGTGGCAAGTTGGTACCCGCTCGTGTCGGTACAGTGATCGAGCGGGTGAGTGCCCCCGGATGGATGGATGGATGGATGGATAGAACGACTGGAAAACGTACCCCGGAAGAGGAAGGAGGCGGATTGATCTCGTAACAATACACTACATAGCCACATTCCACAATCCCGGGACCGAACAGATATATTTACATAGTACAGTAAAGGAATGTACACGAAAACGAGCTGCTATCGTTTCCGCTCTCATGACAATTAAGGTAGACGGACTGGTAGCTAACTGCATGAAACGGAACGTTTACGTGAAGTGTGAAGTGAAGTGTGAAGTGAAGTGTGAAGTGAAGTGAAGTGAAGTGAAGTGAAGTGAAGTGAAGTGTCTATATGTGTATATGATCTCGTTGATAAGGTGGTGACCTCAGCTACCTACATACGGTATCTACACCACATGTGGGTTCACGATCAGACGATCTACTCGTATCGTAAGGCCTCAAGATGGAAGCCGCGTGTCAACACGGAAAATCCACGAAACAGTAGGTTAGGTAGGTATACAGTATGAAGAAGACACTCTCTGTGAGAAGCCCCGAGGACCATGGTGGAGGCGAATGTCTAGTGTACTCAACTTGACGCAGGTACTAACACCCCCCATTAAACGAAGGCAAGACAAATTCGCCACTCAACTGGCTCACTTGTTCACATCTACACCAAAGACACTGGTCCTTCATTCACCTGCCGTGCCTGCTCCAGCATGAACCGTGAAGTGTCGCAAGTCTTCTTTGCCACTTGACCGTTCAAAGATACATGCATATACATGGTGTAGTGTGCGTGGGGGAGCAGTCACTGGCAGTCACTGTCAGTCAGTCAAGAAGATCAACGCCCACCCTCCCACCTCTCTGGAGTCTTCATGTAGTCCGATATACTGTATTATTGGCCCTTTGAGCAAAATGGAAAATCAGGGATCCGTTCAGCTATTTACATAAGTACTATGCAGTAGTCCGCACAGTAGAGAGCATCGAACAAACAACCGGAGAGGGGAGGAGAGCTTTGTAACGTCTCTGACATGAGTGGACTCTTGAAGATTCTGCTGCCTGTTCTTAGGTATGGAGCCCTCGCGAAAACGTTGACACACAGTCTTGCCGCCCCAAGGAAGCTCAGCCAGCCCCTGATGATCCTCGAATACACTTGTAGATGCGTGAAATCCACAACGTGCGTGTTTCTAGTGTAGGCATCAAGATGGAATGGAATATCCCTCCTTCAACGCTCTCGTGCCCCTCACGAGAATAAGTTCGATGACCCAGCGGCAATCTGGATCCAGCAAAGAATCTCCCCTGAACTCCAGTCAGTTTAGTCACTTGTATGTACCCTTTGCCGTTGCCACCTCCTTTCCCGTCCTTACCCCATCCTGTCCTGCCCTGTCCTTTCCTTCCCTTTCTCCCGTGGCCCCTTTAAAAACGCCCTCGTTACATAAAACAACAAATCAAACCCCACAATTCCCGAACAGAAACAGTCCTGTCCGTCCCTGGTCCAGGTACTGCCCCAGAAGAAACGCCCAAACTGCTCAACGGCTCACTCAACGCTGGAGACCCCCCCTTTTTTTTCTTTTCTTTTTTATGTACCTTCGTTGAACATCTCCACCGTTGCGGAGACGTTGCTGTTCTTGTTCTTGCTCGGAGAATTTGTTCTGTCTCTCTTCTTCTGAGCTGTTGCTGTCTCGCGGACGGGACTCCTTTCGTTGCCACCATTACGAGGTCGTGACCGTGACCGTGACCGTGACCGTGACTGTGACTGTTTCTGCTGCTGCTGTTCGAGCTGATGGAACTGCTCAAACCTATCCTTGATGGGACTTACCCTCCCAAATTTTGCTGTAGACGTGGACTGCTGGTGGGAGGTAGTTCGGGGAGGTATGGCCGGTCCTGGTCCTGGTCCTAATCTTGGGCTCGTGGCCATCGTTGTTGTCGTGGGGTAGTAATGGTAGTGTGTAGAGATGGGTACTTCAGCTGTGGAAGCGCTTGGTAATGTTGCTTCCGTGGTAGTGCTGGGCATATCTCCTAGCTCATAATTCCCTCCGCCAAGTGCGATGCCGACGCCGACGCCGACGCCGCCGACACTCGTCTCATAGTGACTGGGTTGGCCAACTTGAGTTGTGGAGGACAAGGAGGTGGTAATCGCGGCGGCTGCTTCTGCTGCTGCTCTGCTGTTGCGTTTTCCAACCCAGATCACTGAGCCGGTGGAGTTGGATGGGGTGAGGCCTGTGAGGTTACTTGATCTTGAAGAGGTACCCATGGAGGGGGTAGTTGACTCGTCTTCGGCTGGGAGTGTTGATGCTGATGCCTTGTCCATGAGTTCTTCCGCCGGTGGACGCACTGCTGACACTGAGACCCGGTTGGGCAAGCCAATGCCATCCGTGTCGGTCGGTGATTGTGAGTTACTCTGGCCTTCCTGCTGTCTGAACGTGTTGGCAAATTCATAGTAGTCTTGAAAAGGATGTTGCCGATCGTCTGAAGCCGTTGCGAGGACTTCCGCTTCGCCTTCGATATACGAAAAGATGCGCCGCTGTCGTGGATTGACGGCTGTGGATATGTCTCCGGTTTCGATTACAAGGTGGTTGATATTGCGCCTTTGAGACAAGCTACGGGTTGCATCCGGTGAGGCCGTACTCGCGGTGGAGCTACTGGACGTGGAGGGGCTGTAGACTTGGCTGTCTAAGGAGCCCGTATGTTGGCTGTGGCTTGATCGTAGGCCATTGTATGGCTTTGTTGGTGACGGAGGCGATGGCGACGATGAGTCAAGGCTAGTCTCTTCTACAGAAACAGAGGGAGGAGGAGGCATAGATTGCTGCAATAGTGATCTATCCCTCCGCTTGTCCTCCGCCGCTCGTTTTTTCACCAGTTGACTGATGCGGATATCATTGTCCACTGGAAGGTTACGAAGGGAAGTCTCTGGGAAGAGAAAATGGTCAGTAAATTGCATCAGTTATCGAAAAGAAATTGTACGTCATGAGCTACCGTACGTCTTATCCCATAGCGAGTTCCGTCCCTGGTAGTCACCTTGTCCCCGTCATTATCGCTCTCTCCTGCTGTGATAAAAAACTGTCAACATCACTCCACGGACTCTTCGACCTCCTGCGCGACCTCGCAGACTGGCTCGCACAACATACCTCGATCCCGATCAGCGGTAGTACTCATCCTCTTCAACCTCGCCTGGAACCTCTTGCTCCCTGACCGATCAATGAGCGTGTCCTGTCTCGCCAGCGTAACACTGGCCAAGCCATCTTTGCTCTCCTTAGCGAGCACGACTTCGAGCCGCTTGATTTCCGCCTTGTATCCGTCCTCCCGCTGAATCCACTCTTCGCTGATTCCTCGAAACTGCTCGAGTTCTTTCTCTCGAAGGTTCTTGAGCTCGGCTAGCTCTTGCTCTAGGGCCTGCAACCGCTTTGTGAGGTGCGCGAAGCCCTCGAGCACGTTGTGGACAAGCGAGTTATACCTTTTGGGTCACAAAGATTCGTCAATAACTTCCTCAAACTAGGTAAAAAAAAATCGTAGTGAACCTACTGAGCAGGAAGAGCAGCCATCGAGTCCCCCTTCGCCATCATAACCGCCTGCAACGTCTCCGCCATCTGCATCAAGTTGGGATTATGCCAGGGGCTCTCCCTAGCCGCATTCCGCCTCAGTCCTCCCAGCCAGTCATCCTCGTCCTCTCCATTCGTTGCGCTCCAGTTGCTAAGCGGCAAGGCACTCAGGGACGGTGCCGGTGCTGCCGCAGCACTCGGCGTCAGGGGCCGGAAGAAGGTAAACCGGCTAGTGCTACCACCACTTCCCTCACGAGGCCGTCCGGAAGAAAACGAGGGTGATGATGGCGCAGTGGTAGCCAAGGGCGAATTTGTCCCATTTCCTCCTCCTCCTCCGAGATTAAGCAAGCTTGAGACCCGTTGAAAAGTAGCAGATGGCCTCGACCTCAGTAATCGGCTGCTTGTTGTGCCGTTAACATTGCTATCGCTTGGCGATTTCTGATGAGGCAGTGATGGGCGACGTAAGCTTGCCGCTGATGAAGCTCCTCCTGCTCCCGAGGAGAAAACACCCGCTGTGGGGGTTTTGGGTGGTGGCGGCGGCGGCATTTGCGGCAGTGGTCCGGACCCGGTCGCGTTACCTCCGAATGCTCCCCCGCTTCCGCTCCCGCTCCCGCTCCCGTTTCCGGTTTCGCCCCCGGCGTTGCTGACTACGCGGATGCCACCGCCATTATTGATGTGATGTTTGTTGTTGGTCGCCGCAGCGGAATGATGAGATAAAGGCGAGGCGTTCCCCCCATTGCCGTGATCGATAGTCGTTACACTTGTGACAAAGCTATCCTCCGAAGCCGAAGTGATGATGGGCTGCGATTGGTGCTTGGGAGGTTGCGCGCGAGATTGCTGGAATCTACGCAGCCAGCTGGTGCTGTCGGCCATCCCGATCTCGTTAGGTATGTTTTGGATGTTGGCTGCCGACCGAACGTAAACTCTGGCGGAACTTCTCCCCGAACGGGTGAGCAAGTAGTTACCTCGAATTTGCGCGGCGCCAATCCTCTCACGATACACCTAACAATCAACTTAACATCGATTCGTCGTGAAAACTTGGCGAGAGCGAATGAAAGCGTTGAGTGGTACCGAGTTTTGAGCGACGTGAATGTGCCACACTTGGCGGGGTAGAGCGACGGGAAAGTCGATATGGGTTCGGATGCGGTATGCGGTTGAGCTGAGAGGTGTAGGTAGGCAATCAATCAGATGATTCCGATGGAAGGCGGGATGCGGACAGGGTTTGTTATAACAGAGCTTGATGCCAGAATCCGGGCCGTTTGGTTCAAGCTTAATTGCCAACCGCACTCGCCGGCAGCATTGAAGATATTCAAGTTGCTTCGGATGAAAGCGAACGAGAGGCACAGCAGTGAATGGATTGCACTTGCCCAGCAACATGAAACCGCGCTCCTTCCTTTCAGCTTTATTGTGCTCCTTGCCCTCTCCCCGTTTCACAAAGGTACTACGGACAAGATGGACATGACAAAGTTTGTTTCATGGACCTTACCGCCTTCCCAACTGGATTCACGAAAATTGCATTGTTGGCACGCGCAATCGTCAACACGAATTTGCAATAATTATGCGCAGAATGACTTGTGACTTCATTCATCACTGGCAGTTTTCCCGACCTAACGGGTCAGCGTCAACCTCTTCTTTTGGATTTGCTGATATTGTACAATTAATCCAGCCTGCAACTGCTTGTTTGCATCGTCACTGACTCAATTTCATCTACGGGCCAAAATTCCAAGCCACGATTGCGTTCTGGGTTGGCCTGAAATCGCTCTTCCATCAAATATGTCCCTCAATCCATCATCTTCTTCCAGCTTGTGTCCCGGCTCCAGGCTGAGAGGCCGATAAGGAAAAACCAGGCACAAGCGGCCATGCACCGACTAATAATACGCGGCATCGATAGAGGACCACCCGAAGACACCGCCGTGGATGAGCTTTCCGCTTTCATCCCCTCCCTAGAAACAACCATGGTCCAGCCTCACTTGGAGTATGTAACTCGCAAGTATGCCCTGGCCAAAGTATGACTTCATCCATTCTTCCGCTGAGGTACCTCCGCCTCAGTAAAACATATCCTCAGCTCTTCGCCTCCTCTGCCCTCTACCCTCCAATTTCTCAACAAACAACTCCTTTCCTGCGTTGGTTCCTGTTCCGCTGAACTTCTCCGGGAATAGCTCTTTCACTGTCGTGCTTGTCGTCCCTGTCCCCTTGATCCTGAACCCTTGGTCGGTGCTAATATTCTTGGTCGCCAGACCGCGAATGCTGAAGCCGCCAGCGGGTGTTGTTGTCGTCGTCGTTCGCGTAATTCGATCTGCTAGTTTTGCTATACAAGCCGTTAATCATCAATTCATCAAAGCGTTTCGTTATTAGTCGAGTCATCAGTTGTCATCAGTTGCGTGTGGACGAGGCTCATATGGCGATATGCGTGGTCGTGCCTTAAACAATCGCCGCATCCGCACTACTTCGCCAAGCAAGAAAGCCTCTACTTGTGAGGGAAGACGGTCTGTTCTCGATTCGCAAACGCTGAAAAGACCGTGTTACCCCGCAAGGAGAAACCCTCCTGCTGGGAGAAGTGATGCGATGCCGTTGCTTCCGCCGTGACTGCTGATAATGGTGTTAAAGAAATGTTGAACATACCGCTTGCCAACTTTCCGACGTCCTCCTCCACTTGATCCATCACTGCCCTGCTGCCGATAGTCGAAGACACCTTGGTAGGGAAGAGTTCTTTGGGCTTGTTGGTTTTGGAAGGGAAAAGCTCCTTGGTGGTGTTGTCGTCTCTGCTTCTATCCCTGAGGGGTTCCGTCCTGGCCAAGCGCTCCTTGATCGCCCTACCCTTCTCCCGGCTACGTAGCGAAGCAGCATCCCTGTATCTGTTGTCTCTCTCGGCGTCCAGATCCATCCGTGCAGGGCTATCGCGGTCTCGCAGGGGGGAAGCCGATCGGTTGCGCTGGCGTGGCGATCTAGAGCGGCGTCGGTCAGGGAAGAGCTCCTTCTCTCGGTTTTGTCGCGAGTACGACCTCAATCTGTTAGATTCGGTCGAGAAATTGCTGGAAACCGAGCCGCGCCGAGACCGCGACCGAGGACGTGTCGAGCCAGGCCTTGTGACGCGCTTGCTTAGCGCTGTAGAGTCGGGGGCATCATCGTAAAGGTTGACATCAAACGGCTCGCCCTCCTCTTCCTCACGTTCCCTGCGGCGGTCGTTCCGGTCGTTCCTGTAGTTCTTCCTGCCCCGTGGGCCATCATCACGATCCCTGTACCTTCGGTCTCTAAACTCGCCACGCCTCTTCCGCTCCTCTGGGTCGTACTCTGGATGTAATAGGTAGAACCGACTCCGGGCCGCAGCGCCGACGACTTTTCTGTCTCCCTGGACGGCGAAGCGGACAAAGAGAACGCTGTCTGGTTTTCCCGAGAAGCCCTTGGCCGGCACTTCTTCCAGTGGCGGTAGTGCTGTCGGGTCGGCAATAGCGACCGATGCGAGCGCAACGAGAACCTCCTGGGCAAGAGCCTCGGACCTGAAAACAAGGTTTGCATTCGTGTCGTCGATCCATTCCACTCTATCGAATTGGGTCAATCCGCAGTGCTCGGAGACGTAGTCTTTGACCTCTTGAGGGTTAAATGTGTCGAGGCCCCGAACATGGACTTTTGTAGGGACGAGCGTCTTGTCGGAATCGCCATTGTCGCCGCTGCCGTTGACGTTATCGTGAGCGTCATCGTCAATCTCGCCGGGTTCCTGTAGAGAAGGATGACTGATAAGTGACTTGTCTTGGCTCAGCTGAGCCGGAAGGATAGAAAATGGTGGCAGCTGCGAACCTGTTCTTCGCCCGTGATGATGTCGTGTGTGTATGCCTCAGGAATCTGGGGGATGTCTTGGACGTCGTGGACGTCGTCCACATCCATTTCAATATCTAAATCCATAACTACAGATTGAGTGCGTTATGAGATGCCGATGGCGAGGGTAGAAATAGGTATCGATGCGCGTCTGGGCACAGACTGCGGTAACTAGAGGTTTGCGACTACTGCCGGTTTGTTGATTGGAAGGGAAACAGTTGGAGTTTGGGGAGTAGGAGGAAGTCCGTGATATAAATACTGCTCGTGAAATAAGACTAAAGCGCCGTCGTTGCGGGTGAATCGTATTGCCCAAGGCTGCGTATGATCTGTCGTCGCGATTCTGGGAAGTGGAAAGGGTTCAAGTTGTGACTTGGCTTTGTTCGTCGGTGGATGCATTGGATCGAGAAACCCAGCCAGGCACGGTTGGCACGTCTGGGCCCGCTTGTCTACTGCGGGCCCGGGGTTGCCTTGGGACCCACCCACCCTATCGATAAGAAGCGTGTTCCATCCAACCGCCAAGCCCAAACGACAAATGCCGTAGGGCAGAAAGTGGAGTTACAGTTGGTGAGCTGAGCTTCGGGGACAACGTTTGTTGGCGGCAGCTAAACTTCACTTATTCTCATCCGATTTGGTACAGTGACCAAACCCAAGGGCTTCATCTAAAGGGATTGAAGCTAATTGAAGGTGTTACCAGTGCCAAATTACTACATTTTCTTGCCACTAATGTAAGGTACAAACATCCGTGGCATCTAGCCCTAGGTAGGGACCACAGGTGACACTTCGAGAAGGCGTGGCAGACACTCAATTCCCCCAAGTTCCGCATTGGGGCTTGCTCGCCAAGGGAGCCTCAGCTGAGTGTGAGGTTGGACGAACTTCCAAGAACTTTACAGTTCGATCGTTTGTGTGCGTTCAACAAACCATGTCGACTGTGAGACAAAGCTCTTGACCGCCCTTTTCCTCTTGGAATACTGCCGAATGGCTGTTTGGTTTTTCACTTGTGTCTTCTCCTAAATTCTGTCAACCGTACATGATTTGATTTTCTGTCTGTTTCCGAGATTCACTCATCATACTCGGGACAATGGTCATGGCATCATATACCGGCACTCCTCACACATCTTTAACATAACAGTTTCATATCACGCAATTCAATTTCACTCCTGAGAGGGGATGAACTTTTTTGATTTCTTGACGATACAACTTCCAACCTTCCTTGATACACTCCTCGTTCTGTCATCATCATCACCATCATCATCACGGACCTTGCCTCCTTCCAGCAAAATGCAGATAAAGCACCGATACACACGCAACACCTATAGGATAAATGCTGGACAAGTGACCGTGTGAATCCTGTCACCAGATACCTCCCATTCTCAAGCCGAAAAACATGGTCCCCAAGTATATGAGAATACGCCCCCGTTCCCTGTCTCCGTCAAACGCCTGTTGTTGAAAAATTGTTGACACATGCCCTCCTCCTGCTGCCTTCCTTACATATTTGTCTGGGCACATAAAGCTGAAAAGAGTCTATAAGGATTATTCTACCGTCCGATCCACGAGCGCCTGTTATTCGTCAAGCCCAGTTGCAAAGCGTACATCTTCTTCTCGCAGTCATGCCGCCCTCTCAACGCGCCTTCGTAGCTCCAAGATGGAGCTGGAAGGTGGTGCTGGGCAAGTCCGCTTTACTCGAGTCCCTTCACTATCGACTGGGGGAGCGGCTGCCCCAAAGCTGTTGGAGCGTGTCATCTCCGTACGAGACCTTTTGAGGGAAGAGGGCGGTGCCAAAGAAGGCAGTACCGTGGTGATCTCGCCGGCGGCCGGACGCTCCCTGTCGTCAATGGCCATGTCGCCATCAAAAGGATCCGTGTCAAGCATTGGGTCATACGCCCAGGCAGCTTCGAGGCCTTCCATGAACACAGGAGCATGCCTCAGCGTGTGCCACGAAATGGTGTCATGCCGCATGGCAATGTACAACGAGTCGATCATGCCACTCGAGTCGCAAACGGCGCAGTTCTTGCGGAGGAAGTCATGGTCGTAGCTGGAGTCGACCATGGAAGCCTCAAGCTGGCGCAACATCGGAAGACCCTGGAGTGGCTCGGCGTCGCAGAGTTTGGCCTGAAGGGGCATCCACGGACGACCTCTCAGGAACATTCCGAACGCCTTCTCGATGGCCTTGATGAATGACCCAGCGTCCCGCCCATGAACGGCTACCATCTGGTGGAGACCTCGTGATAGACATCGCTGGTACGCGTTGGTATTCCTCTCGAACGGCATGGGCACACGGGCATGGGGAAGCAGCGAGATGTGAACGGTCCAGGCACCCATCGACCGGGCAGAAAGCGGTGGTGTTCTCGAAAGGTGGGGCATCAGACTCCCGTCGAGCGCGGATCCTTCTCCATGTCCTTGGACGGGCGGCCGCCCTACCTGCGAGTGGCCGTGACTGTCGAAGGGATTCGCGCCGCCGCCTAAAGGGCCTAAAGGGCCCGAAGGAAAGTTTGGGCGAAGTGTATCCGATGTTGAGCTTCTTCGGAGGTGGCGTCCGTTGTGTCTGGCCAGATGGTCGTCTTCCTGTGCGTCCCGTGCGTCATGCGAGTCCTCCAGCTCCTCCATCGTCTCAGCAATATTTTCGATCCGCTCCTCGAGGCTGATATCAGCGTCCCTGAGTTCCAACTGCCCTGCGTGCAACCTGTCAAGCTGCTCATCATGTTCCTTCAACTTCTCGCACACTTGTCGCAATTGCTTGTCTTGGTGTTGAGTCTTGCGCTCTAGTTGCTCCATCGACTGCCAAGCCATGCTGGCATTCCGGTATGTCCCTTTAATCTGTTCGCTAAACTCTTCCCTGCTCCTCTCCAAGGTTTCCTCCACGTCCGTCAATCTGCTGACGATACCCCTGGTCGTCTCCAGCTCGTGCTCCATATCAGACAGCCTGTTGGCAACATCTCCATGGAGTCCTTGTTGACGACCTTCCCCTCAAGCTGCTGGAGACGCCTCTTTAGTAGTTCGAGCTCAGATGATGGCTCTGCTTCTTTCTGGTGGTAACACGCCAAATGACCACAGTCACAAGTCGCACCCGGAATGCCTTTGTTGTGAGAGAAGCCGACGCAGGCACATCGGTGACCTTTGATCTCTGGTACGCATAGGATATATCGACAATGGCCTTTGGGCATCGTGGCTTCGTCCACAGGATTGTTGACCGGCGCCTGAAGCGGCGATGGGGACGACTTGGCTGACATGCCCGTAGACTTTCCCGGAATGACTGTCGTCCCGTCGACCTCTTGACTCTGACAATGCCCTTCCTTCACAGGGCTAGGATGAATAGAAATGGCGGAAGGATCGCGCGACGTGCTGTATGAATGACGCCAAAGGGTGGTGGTGCCGGCTCACGTCAGCAATTAAGGTAGGTGGATAGGTGAGGTATTGTTGTTGATGGTCACCATCGAGGCTCACACATGGCAAGGAGATGCTGATGAGAGAAGCGTCGGAGGTCCATGGAATGGTAGCTAGGCAAAAAGAAGGTTGGACATTCGCGGGTCCAACTTGATGTGAGAAAATCAGGGGTCCGTCGGTATTTTAGCGGAGCAAGTGGAAACCGCGGGGAGAAGGGAGGTCCAGTGTGGGTTGATGACGGAAGTCAAGAGGTGGATGCCGTTGGGCTTTTTGAGCGGCTCCGTACGGGGTATGTATATCACCGGCCGGTGACGAGATCGCTGGGTAGGGCGCCTGTGGATCGGTCGACAAAATCCAAATGGCCGGGGTGTGCCCGAAGGGGTCAAAACAAGGCAGCCAGGGGGAAGAGGAGGATCCAGGAACCGGCGATAAAGGGTTGCTTGTGAAGCGGTGGGGGCTGGCTGGCTGCGGTCCCTCGTGTCGATGGAATTCTGGCACAATCTGACACAATCTGGTACAATCTGGCACAAGTCTAATCTGGCGGTGGACCTGGATGTCGTGAGAGGAAGAGGTATGATAGGCAGAGAAGGGCGCAGCAGATATCGTGGATCTTGATATGCCCAGCGAAGTTGCGACTTGGCGAGGGGCCCGCCCCGAGTGTTGCGATGGGATGTATGCTGGGATGTTGAACGTTTGCTTTTCGTTCCGTGGCGCCGATAAGTGAAGGTCACGCCGGTGTGAATTTGATGGTACGTACGTGGGCGTGAAGTATACGCAGGGACCGACGGGTAAGATGGCCAACAAGATAGATGGGAGGACGATTCAGCGCTTGCGTGGTGGTGGGGATAACCTGAAGACCCAGATTTGATGGACGATGGCAGAAAAGGGGCCTGAGTCGATGGCAGGATGATTGGATTTGGATTCCCGGTGTGCTGTTATGTCCGCTCGTGGTCGTGTTCACTGGTTGAGGTGTTGTTGTAGAATGACGGGATGGAAGAGACCTCAACTGAGATGGAAGGAGGGAGATAGCGGCGTGTATGCCCACCTCGCAGGAAAGATTTGAATGAGGGAGATAGATTGCGACAGCGGGACCGGGGTCTTGATAGGCGTGCGACGGGTTACCAGCATTAGCGAGGTACCAAGAATGTAGCAGCTCCGGCCACGGCGTGGGATGTCTTGTTCTAGCTTTTGGATACAAGTGGGAAACTGAGGTGGTCTGGAAACCTCAACGGCCTCGGGCTTCTGGATACCTACACTTCACATAGACCTCCGCAAGTAGGTGTGTAGAGTTAGTTCAGGTACCGTGTCTGTCAGGCTGCCAGTATAAAGGGAATTGTCTTCTCCTAGTGTAGAGCCCGCTTGAAGGTGGGGGGTAGTAGAACGACGGCGATGATGTCTGTTCGGGACTTAATATCCGTCGGTGACCTTGGATACGATTTCGCCCCTTTGGGGAGAAAGGAAGAATTGTAAGTAGCCCTACCACTTCACCACGCTAGAGGTAGCGTTGTCTGTTGTTGGAGCTGGCACCACCACATCACAACGACGACATGGACAGGTACTTGGTCAAGGTACAATCTGCATCTGCGGTCATTGTCAGAGCATTGCCGTTCCTAGCATTGCCCCCCTCGGAGCGTCGAGGCGTGTCGCTATCGATTGAAAGAGACGGGCACCCGGACGAGGGTTGCAATCCATTACCTCTCAGTGTCCTCTCCGGAAGGGCAGGTGCGCAGGCATTGAAACACTGGAGTCAGGTTCCAGAGAGAAAGACCGTCGTTGTTGGTTGTGATTGTGGGTCCAGAGAGGGAGGAAAGGATGTGGATGAACCTGTGGGAGCAAGTGGAATCGACAGGGAAGGAAGCGGGGGTTTTGCGGGTGGACGACTCTAAGGACCGGGGGCTCCAGCAAGGATGGCCACCCGCAAAGCCGTCAAGGTCCCAAAGGTCCATCAAGGCCACTCGGCGACGTGATTTGTGCGCTGTTGGGGGCCTGCCGCCGTCCAGCCAACCACAGGGCCCCATGCTGCGACTTTATCAAAAGAGTGACACTCGACAGTCTCGACGACACGCACAAAGCCAAGCCACATGGATGACGAGGAGCAGGACTGTGGGGGTCAAGATAAGCGCATTTCCGACGGCGGGCGAGCGGCGGCCAGGCCGTGAACAACCTCTCCCTCACCATCGTCTCTACTGTGTAGGTACCGGATGCTGGAATCTCTCCCATTCGACAGTGTCTATCTGCCTTTTGCTTTTTTGAGTTTCCCGTGCACGACTTCCCACTGACCTCTCGGTCTCAACCCATTTGCACGACATCCCTCCCGTTCCTTTTTGGACCCATATCATATGCCTTGAGAACAGAGACACCCCTGGGCTGGCTGGAAAGAAAAAAAGGTACCATTATCGAATCGAATCGACTCTACTGCAGGACAGTGACAGTCGATGTGCCGGCGCGTCTGCGGCACAGCAATTCAGATATCTATAGAGAGCTATCACCCGCGGCCTCCCAGATACCGATAGCTGTGTCCCATCGCAAATGAGATCGACGACCATTCAGTCTTCCCCCGTTGCAGGCAAAGAGACATGAGAGACACATCTCATCTCAACCAAGGAAAGATACGCCTGACACCTCTCACCGCCTGTCGCACAGCATCGCCATCGTCGTTGATTCGGGATTTCGCAAGGGGTCTTTGACGGCGTCGTACATCCTTTTCCCCTTCGGTTGGACTGCCGCACGAGACGGACGGTACACCACGTTATCAAGCCCCAGACCTATTGGGCATCTGAACCTTGTGAGTCGCATCAGGCGAGTATCGCGATAGCGGGTCTGAATGGTGTCAGAGAGCCTTGAGCGCCCAATATGCCCGCACATGGCGATCTACCTTGCCTGTAGCTCGCCTACAGACGACTGTCATCTTGGGTGTCTTGTTTGTTGTTTCTTCCCAGATAAAACCCAAGGGCAAGGACACTTGCAGGATTAACAGCCCGGCCGCCCGCCTCCTTCATGTCAGACTCGCGAGCGAATAACGTGCTGATGCGGTGGGCTGTGATGCTGCGCAACCACATCGATCAATTGTCTTGACTCTTGACAAGACTTTGCCTGGGCCACTTGGGTGTCCAGCGCAGGAACCGACCAATGAATCTCTTATCTTGGAGCCCGTGTGTGTGAGGAACAACATGAATATGGAAAGCCAAAGCCCGCAACACCACACAACCACACACGGGATAGGAAATCTCGCTGTGCTGTGACTGCGACTACGACTGCGACACTCGGCTGATACCCACACATCATGCCATGAAGGGACGGCCACACGGCCTCTTTGTGTCGTAGGTTTATGTATATCAGCGCTTGCTATATATTAACAGAGTGCTACCTTACCACAGCACCACAGGAGATCAAAGCTGCTCAACTTTGATAAACCTCTCACGGCCGACATGACCGACACGGACGAGATCACCTTCGTTTCCGCTGCAGTGTATCTGGGCGCTTTTTCATTTGCGTGGATGCCCAGAATAGGCGTTTCTGGAAGACGGGACTTCCCAAAGCGATTACACAATGGTCGCTTTCATCATCCCCCACCGTTGCACTTGCACCCCGTCCCTGTCGGTGACTTCCCGTCTATTCCGTTGTCGCAGTTGATATCCTAGATTCGCTATCCATTGTATTTTACTCGGCCTGAATCAAATATGAACTTGGACGCGCGGTTGTTGGTTCTGGTCCCTTGTGTGATACAAAGAGGAATACTTCTGATATTGCCCGCGGATATTGACATTCCGGTTTGGTTGGTGAGTGTGGAGGAGAGGTAGAAGATTGACTGAGTGCCTGCAATCCTTTCTCTATCTGGGCAGCTGGCCTACCTAGAATTCATGGCATTACACCATCCATCACCCAAAACATCTCACCGGCAACACCGGTCAGACGCCATACCAAGCCCTTGGTAATTCAGCACAGCCAAGCCTGATACATATCGCCACCAACAACAAGTGAACACCCTTCCATCTCTCGCCTACCGTCAATTGTGCCACTCACACCTTTTTTTTCCTTTCCACGACCCTTGAAATCAAAGGTGAAAACCAACCCCTGCTGTATCATGACGGGAGGGACGAGCTTAAAAAAAACTAGTGTCGACAATGACATTATGGTTGCTTTGAACTAACACCCTATTAGGTAATAGCGAAGTAATAGTGTTGCACTGTCCGATGGTTCCCTTTTGCAATTTTTCTTGAACGTTCCGATGTCGTCCGTGGGGGACAATTTGAAATGGAGAGATTCGCGGCAATTCCAATCTCCGTTCGGCGCAGGTTCGGCGGACAAAGATTTTCGTGAAGGAAAAAAGCGCACTCGCAAATTTTGGGGTTGATAATGTTGATGATGATGCTCTCCTTCTCATGGATATGACGAAACGATAGGTAAATGGGAAGAAACACAACCCTGAACTTCATGCGATGTCTACACAGTAAGCAAAATGCCGTGTGCGTAAACACCATCCCGTCTCAAATCCTTCCCATCGTCTTCCACTTCCAAAACTAATACCTTCATGCTTCCAAGCTTCCAGACTTTCCAAACCTGCAAACTTCCACATGCATCGAAAGTCCAGAAAGAACAAAGTCAAGCAAGCCCACACCAGGGGTACACAAAAGAAAAGAGAAGAAGAAGAAGAAGAAAAAATGATTTTCATCGGGATTCTTGGCTTCTTGGCTGCCGCTAACCCCCCAACTTTCTTTTCAACTTCCCGTGGTCCCCAGGGGCTTACCTAAAGCTTGTGTAACGACATCATCCCGCCTACCTATTCTAGGGTCCTTCACAGTGAGACAGTCCAACAGGCCAGCACGGGTCATGAGAAATCGCAATTGTCGCTCGCCGTGGACGTCAACTTCCATGTTGTCCTGTTGACACTCGGAACTTGGATGAGAAAGAAAGACAATGCATCTCCATCTATTCACCGGCTGGGATTCTTTCGGTCCGTGATTTACACCTACATCGCTTGGTCTGTCAGTTTGTCAGTGTCTACACTACGTACCGGTGTACCGGGCTGTCCAAGGTGTTGATGCGTAGATATGCGGCGAAAAACTCGTGAGTTCTGGGAAGGATGCATCTAGGTCAGGTAGCTGAGTGATGACGATTCTAGTTGAGAGTGCCTCTCTCCACAAAAGGGATTGCTGTAGGATGTGTAAAATCCGAGGAAACTGGTAAGGTGATTCAGCAAGTGTGGTTGTTATATGCTTCCAGGTAGGCCATGTGAATACATACGACTTAGATACCTGAACATATTGAAAACGGCGGATCTACAATTAACAAGCTTTTTGTTTCTGATTCCATTACCCGTGATACTGGAATCTAGTTTAGTCCAAAACAGACCAAATAAAGAGACTAGGTCAAAGGAGTGAGAGAAGCCACAAGCCATGTGCCTGGTCCCTGATGATCATCTTCCATTCCATTACTCCTCACATCTGCAAACCCATCTATCTACACCTATACCCACTACTAGGTAAGCATCCAAAACGAGAAATAAATCCCGAAAAGCATCGTCGTCAAAAGTACCTACCGGTTGATGAGATCCATAGCAGCCACATTACCTTACCTTACCTTACCTTCCCTCTATACGGTCAGGACCAAGGATCCTATCCTTCTGTCTACTCCTTCCTCGATACCGTCGCAATACATACATATATATCTGAGACTCCCAGAGGTGACATTCTCGGAGAAGAGGCCATCGGCCAATCGGGATTCAGTCCGTAAGGTAGTCGACAGGGCTACGTTATCATATATAGGTACTTAGCATTTTCTGGTCCAAATTTCTCAGATAACTAACTGCGCTCGTTGCCTGTGAGTCCGTGACCACTTTGTTGTTGTATTGTCCAGTCCAGACTGGGAGGCTGCCATTAATAGACCGGGCATGAGTGCATGTAGACATGTAATATTATCTTAAGCGCTTGATATAATACGTAAGGTCTGGAAAGGAAAGGAGGGGGGCTAACTGTTGGTTTGCATATGGATATAGGAGATTGTATGATTTGAACGCATTACCATGGATGCCAACGGCTCGGTGACAAAGTGCTTGAATGATAACAGGTATTATATCATAACTTCAAGACCGGCGAGTAGGTATAGACTCACGTGAAGACGAATTTGACAGGGAACATGGCGTTGTAGGATGAAACTTGCATGGAAGATGGCGAGATTGTCGGATTCCTTGGATTGATAGGTAGGTAGGCAGGTAGGTATTCGGTCAATGATTGTACCTTGGTCGAGTAGTACACCTCTCGGGATCCAAAAACTTCATGATCTCTTTTTATCTTGTCAGTCCTCGATAACAATAGGAGGGTATTTAAACAGCCATTGTGTTGTGTTGTACAAACAACGAAGCCAGGCTTTATCGCGCCTGATTTCGAATATGTACTGTATGGCGATGGAGGACAGAAGTAAGACAGAGGTCTCTGTTCTGACCACACTCACTGGCAATACCTATCCCTACAACACAACAATAGATGACGGGAAGAACCGCGTTGGCTGAAACCCGAAAAAATGAAGTTATCATCGGCATACTTGCCGTTCCTGGTTATGACCCTTTCCACACAAAAAAAGTATCATCACATCAACCTGCCGACACCTTCAGTGTCTCCGGCCACCATTCGAGTGCACAAAACCATTAAACCCAAGTACATCAATATTCCGCGAGATATGGCGTCTTGCCCGTTGCCTTTTTCATCGATATGTAACCGAGAAGGGACGGGGGTTTGTCGTGAAAACGCCAAGGAGATCCGGATTCAGATTCCAACGCCAGGTAGTGTACACACACCCACGCTGCTTCTACATATCGTGCTTAACGTGGATTATGTATCGGGGGACATGATGAAAGATATCGTGATCTTGTACATACTTCCCATGCCATCATGTCTCGCTTTTTCCGAGATTTGATATGATATCCATTGCACCGGCGGCGGGGAGATAGTTATTATCGAACGTGGGGTTCGGCTCGCCTCGAGCCTTGTCGTCTACCACAGCAAGGATCAGTCTGGAGATGGGGGAGTGTTTGCCTGGGGCTGTAAGGTTCGAGATTCTCTTATCGTCATCCAAAATATTCGAGTCCCATTTTTGCGAATTGTGTAAGGGCCTTTTTCTTTTGGGTTTTGCAATGTGGCTGGCGGGCACTGGAATCCCGTCGATTCAGGAGACTGGCTCCTTAGCTTTGAGCCAGCTCGGGTCATAAGATAAGCTTAAGTGAGATACGATGCCTCTCAGTCGCTGAGCCATGGAATAGACGAATCAGAACCTTCAGACTGATCAACCTGTACCGAACATTCTTGGGAGGCTCGAGAGAGCGGAGAAGTCAAGAAAGCCAAGTTTTGAGCTGCCATGCTCTTTTGAGGTGACCAAAGCCAAACAGGGGTACTCTTTCTGTGTATCTATGTAACTGACAAGTAATGGTACACACCACAACCAACGACCAACAGTCGCCTGATGCTGCGCTTGTCGCGCGCTTTGGGGCAGTCGCAATATGGAAGCGGGTAGATAAGTAACAGTAAAGAGAGCCGCCGAGAAGGGAGATCAACCAGAATGGAAGCAATGCCTTATCTGGTATTTGTTTGGGAGTTCCATGATATTCCGGACCCCAGGCCTTTCGCGAATGAAACTCGCTTGTCTTGAGAATCTTATCAGTGGCATGTGCCGCACCAGCCGTCCAAGAAACAACGTTGGGCGTCAAAGCGGCAAAGGCGTGATTCTGATGTTTGTGGTGCAATGCGTTGATAATGTGTTGATTTTCAGAGAATGATGGATCAAGGGTCGCTGTGTCGAAAGCATCAGTTGATGGAGATCGATGCCGGATATTGATGGTGTCGACGATCTCGACGCCACGACCGTTTGATGTGCTCAAGAGGAGACCGTTATTGAAGCAATTGAGTACATGGCTAGAATATCAGATCAAAATTATAACTGCTGCCGAAGCTGAAGAGGATCATCGAGGTGTACAGGACAGAAGTGAAGAGGGAAAGGTGAATGAAGACTGGACAGACCTGGAGGCCCGAGTGATTGACATCTTTACAGCCCTACGTTATCGATAAGAGATACATAGATAAGATGACAAAAAGATGGGGTTTACGGTCCGTGCGAAATGCACGCTCCGGTCATCACCGGCTAGCTTCCGCGACGAACCGCCCGAACTTTTGCGACAAGACGACGGGGAAGTTCAACCAGAAGAACCCTCCAGTCTGCCTTGCGCCCAACCGGAGTTCACTCCTCTCCAATAATCCAACCATCTCGGGAACCCGTTCCCCAAAAAACAACTCTCACAATGGCCTCCCAACAACCACCATCAGAAATACCCGCCCCGGCGGCGGCGACGACGACGACGACAGAAACCCCCGTCGAAATCATCCCCTCAGCCGAGAACCACTACGGCACACCCAACCTCCTCCACAACTCCGCCATCATCGTCTCCGTCCTGGCCCCCATCGGCCTTTTGCTCCCCGGCCGGGGCCGCGGCAAGTTCTCCGTGCAGAACGCCATCCTCTCCTCGGGCACCTTCTGGGGCTTCAACCAGCTCTCGTTCGACTACACGGGCAAGTCCATCTACCAGCGGTCCAACGAGAAGTGGGCCGGCATCCTGTCCACGGGCGACGCGCTGCCGGAGCAGGCCAAGAAGAACAAGGCCTTGATCGAGGCGGAGAGGGCGAGAAGGAAGTTGGCCCAGGAGCAGGCAGACCAGAAGGCGGAGCAGGAGAAGAATGGGGGTGTGCTGACCAAGATCTGGATGGGCGACGAGAAGGAAGGGTGGAAGGAGAAGAGGCTGGAGGAGGAGAAGAAGGCGCTGGAGAGCGGGAAGGGATATGGAAGTCTGATTATGGATCAGATTTGGGAGGTTTGGAACCAGGAGGGGAAGGATGGGAAGAAGAAGAAGAAGGATGGTGATATGATACCCGAAGAAGGAATAGGTTAAGAAGAAGGAGAGGGATGATGATTTGATTATCGAGACAGGAGGTGCTGAGTTACAGGATGGGAACATGGATGAGCAATGATTACTGCATACTACATTCGACGACCGACAAGATGGTGCTGCAGAGAACGCTGGACATGACGGAGAGCGCGTCTCGCTGTACGATACTGTTCGAAGGAAAGCGGCCGAGGTGAAAAGTATGGGAGTGGGTGTTTTGTGATTTCTCGGGCTGTGTGAGACTGCCACGCCACTTAAAAGGAGGATGGGGAGAGGACAAAATACGAGAATAATATGTACAATAAAACACATCATATAAGAAGCATCAACAAAAAGCTGACGATGTGATAGAACGCTAGTCTAGGGTATATCCGACGACGTACAAGGTTCCGCCACCGACATTCCACTAAACGTACAACACCCTCCAGTGCAACACGTAAACAGTTCGTTAACGAGCAAGCATCTAAGTAGGTAAACAAAGCTAACGACCAACGCCCCTATCTGGGTAGTAGCCACGGGCAACAACCGTACTGAAGCCGACAGTAATACTCATTTCCATCGAGCTAGCTCATTCAAATACCAGCGGGTATGTTTTTGCGTCCAGTGTGTTAGTTATTCCTCCCCTTCTTCTTCGACGCATAAGACGGCCGCTTCACCTTCCGAGCCTTCTTCCTCTTTTCCCGGACCCTTTCCGCCTCCATCCTGTCATGCAACCACGCCGCGCATTGCGCATCAATCTCCGGATGCGGCTTTGTGTCGCCGACCGGGATACCGGCCTTCCTCTGCAGTTTCTCCTTGAACCGCGTCAGGAGCTTGAGCCGCCGCCGCTCCAGTTTGTTCGGCTTCACCTTCTTACCGCCGCCTTTGTCCCAGTCTGCATCATCGCCATCTTCGTCTTCTTCCCATTCATCCTCTTCCGGATTCTCGGCCGTCTCTTCTGGCGAGGCGTCCTCTTGAATGTCTTCTGGCGTCTGGACGGCGGTTCGTTGTGCTTGTGCTGGGACCTTAGGCAGAGCTGTCGAGCTCTTCGGTTGGGCGGAGGATGTTCCCCCCAACTTGCCCCGTGTTGGGAAAACGTGTTCTGAAACGTCTGTCTGCCCTTCGTTGATGACTGCTTTTGCATTCCTCGAAGCTGCTGACTTTTGTTGCTGTGGCGTAAACGAGACCTCCTCAGCAACTGGTTCCGACACACTATCCAGTGGTGACTGAGAAATCTTTGTGGTGTTGTTGAAGGACACATGTTGAGCCCTCAACAACTTCATTTTTGCCTCCCTGAGTGCCGCCTTTTCTGCCTTAATTCTCTCGAACCTTTCCTTCGCCTTGCCTTCCCTTGGTTTCTGTCTGTCGATGATGTCCTGCTTCTTTTCCTTCTCGATCTGCTCGATCTCCTGCTTCTTCTCATGCTCAATCTGCTCAAACTCGTGCTCCCAGGCCTTCTCCGCGGCCTGCGACGCCATGTAAATCCTTGCCTCCTTGGCCTCCCGCCTGGCAGTTCTCTTCAGCGCCCTGACAGCCCGTGAATCCTTCATCTGGCCCAGTTGAGCGTCCTTCTCCTTCATCGCCTGCCAGCGCGCAATGGCTTCCTGGGCAGTGCGGGGTGTGAGTTCTGAATTTTCGGGGTCGGTGGCGGATGCGATATCGGGACGTCCAGCAGCGTGTCGCATTCTTGTTTCCCGTTCCAGGAGGACGATGTAGCGGGCGGTTTTTCGTTCTCTTCTAACTTCTCTTTTGCCCACGGCCTTGCTACGTGCAATCTTTTCCTCCCTCTCCTTGAGCCATGGTTTCTTAGGCTTTTCTTCCTGCTCAGGCTTTTCTTGTCTTGGTGAGAGTATCCTCGAAAACTCATCTCCCTCGCCATCATCGAGATGCTTAGAGAGATCGCGGTTCCCTTGGGCTTTGGGCTTCTCAGCCTTTGGCTGATTTTGTGAGAATGTCCTCGAAAACTCATCTTCCTCGTCAGCGAGATCGGTGCTCTTCGTCGAGCGAGCTTCTTTGGTCTGCTTAGGGCGATTGCGCTTCACTTGGGCTTTGGGCTTGCCCTCTTTGGCCTGCTTAGAGGGTTTGCCATTCGCTGGGCTGCTGGGCTTCCTGATCTGATCGTTGAAAAAGTCTTGGAGGGAGTTCCATTCGCGGGATTGCTCATCAGAATAAAACCTGGGGCAAGAAAGTGGTTGATGTGACGAGAGGTGTGGTCGAAAGGCGATGTGAGGTGATGGTCTACCCCATAGTGAGAGTCGGCCGTTGAAGGCGCCCTTTAAGGCGCGTGTTGTTGACATGGTAAGCCAACCCTAGCCGTTGCGATGACCGTGGTATATAATTGGGCCGGTATGAGGTCCAGAGATTCTTCAAAAGGGCGGGTTGGTCTTACTCTATCAAGTTATTGAAGAGACGGAGGGGTTGTTGAACTCTGCTCTAGCCCAGTGGAGAAAACGAAGTTATCGATAGCGGGACTGAAGCACTGTTTCCCGATCTCTTAGCTAGTAATGGTTTGCTATTAGAACCTTGCACTTTACTCCTTTTGGCTGGCCCAGCCAATTCGGTTCCGGACCCGTTCCGTCGTCGTTGTTCGTCCATTGAACTGAACTGGAAATCAACAAATGACCCTTCAGATCCCGTCCTTGAGTGTGGCTTTGAAAGCGACGAGTTGCACATTGCCCTTTTTAAGTGTTTCAGCCCATGATGCTTGTCCGTTGATCTGCATGCCGCCCGGTTCCACGCGCATGCACTGCCATGTCCTGATGAGCTTATGAGTGGCCGTGGAAGACATGGAAGGCCATCAAGTGACACCAACCCTCAGCTCTTCAACTGCCTGCTCGTGTTTTAGAGCCTGACACGTTCGTCATCTTTCTTGGAGGTTATTCTTTTTTTAACTGCACTTATTCCCTTGATTGTCAACAGAATTCAAGACTTCAACTGTCTTCGTCTTCCTCTTCTCTTCTGAACCCGGATCTGTTGTTCAACTCCTCGACCACCGTCCGTTGAGCCTTACATACATCCACATTGCGTACTAAACGGCGTTCTGCATTGAGGCTTGGAATTGATTAAATCGGCAGTCGCCGTTCCGAAACAAACGCACTGCCGTCATCTTGCATTCCCCCATCTATCATCTTTAAGCCCCAAAGTTTTGTTGTTGGGTTCATCGTAAAGTGGCTCGTTCGTCCAATATCCATCCACCACGACCTATCCAACTCTTGCAATCCGCGTCCAAGCGCTCCCACTCCCGCCCTCCGCTCCCTTGTGCCTGACCTGGCCGTTGAGGTCTGAAACCATACGAACACGCGGAACCTGGATCCCGAGACCCCGACCCAACTGCAGTCCCATTCAGCGCTTCGTGCCTGCAGTAGCAGTGTGGACTAGAAGGACCAACTAGCGAACAAATACCTGGAAACAACGCTGAAGAAAAGGGGTCCGGGGCAGCATTGTCGGGGATCCCCTTGCCTCTAGCTCTCGCTGTAAACAAGTCCAGGCCGAACTGGGTAACTGCCAAACACGCCCACTCTCCACCAGCCTCACCTCGTCCGACTTTACTAATTTCAAGCTCCAGTCTACCTTGCCAGCACTTCTTCGATTTCCTCTGTCTCTCTACCTCTTGGTCGCCAGTCGCTCGTTCATCATCAAACCTCGCTTCGGTATTCCTGCTTCTACGCCTTGCGCCGCCAAGAAGCCTTCGCCGTTTGCTTATTCGAAACCGATCCGCGACACACCCGTTCTCACACTTTCCTGGGGATGCCATCAACCTCCCCATCTGCGGGTTGGACAACTTGAATCAGGCCCAACGTCGAAACGTCTGCCCCGCGACGTCCCGCATACGCCTTGCGCACGCTGAACCGCCGCCGACGACACTTCCAACTACAGACAAGGGCGACGACGCCACCGTCAGACAAACATGAACGACCACGAATACTACAGCCAAAAGCCGCTACCCACACCCGGCCAGTCAACGAGCTACCAGGGCGGCGGAGCCAATTATTATAATCAAAATCATAACCAGGGGCAGCAGCCCATGCCAACATCCTACAGCGCAAACTCCCAATCGCCCTTCGATACCGTCTTCGACGACCATGTCTATCCCGCATCTTCACACCAGTCCGGCGCTTCTTCAAGCCGACAACATCTAAATAGTCAGCAATACCAGGAGACGGCCTACCACGGCCCCGTCCGTGTTCCTTCCGAAGAAGATATGGCTTACAATCATCCCACAGATGACATCCCCCTGGAGGACCGCAGCGGCGGCAGAAACATGAACAACGACCCCGAGATGCAAGATCACGTCTACGATGCGCCCCGACAACCACAGCAAAAGAAGCCAAGAGGCGGTCGTATTAGCATGGGACAACTAGGAATGCTTGGTTCGAATGCGAAGAGGATACCCTTTGTTGTTTACTTCTTCACCACTGTCCAGGTGGCCGTGTTCATCGCCGAACTCGTCAAGAATGGTATGATCAAAAGCAACCGAGAGACCCTTTACAGGCCATAACTAACACATCAACTCTTCGCGTACTTAGGCATGGCTACCGGGTCACCCATCATGATCAAGCCCCAATTCAACCCCTTCATCGGCCCCTCCAGTTACATGCTCATCAACATGGGCGCCCGCTGGGACCCGTGCATGCACGCCATCCCGGGTGTCCAAAACGCAACACAGCCCATCAGCTGGCCCTGCCCAAACACGACGACGTACGACATCGATGCCCCGACGATGAAGTGTACTCTCTCCGAGCTCTGCGGATTTGGCGGCGTCCCCGAGCCCTGGTACAACTCGACCGCGACCATGGAAAACGTTCCCGAACCCAACCAGTGGTGGCGCTTCATCACCCCGATGTTCCTCCACGCCGGAGTAATCCACATCGGCTTCAACATGCTTCTCCAGATGACGATCGGAAGGGAAATGGAGCGGTCCATCGGCTCGATACGCTTCTTCATCGTCTACGTCAGTGCTGGAATCTTTGGGTTCGTGATGGGCGGAAACTTTGCCGCCAACGGCATGCAGACGACGGGCGCTTCCGGGGCGCTCTTCGGTGTTATTGCTCTCTTGCTGTTGGATTTGCTCTATTCGTGGCGGGACCGCAAGAGCCCGTGGAAGGATTTGCTGTTCATCGCGCTCGACATCGTCATTGCCTTCGTGCTCGGTCTCCTCCCGGGTCTGGACAACTTTGCCCATATTGGCGGCTTCCTGGCCGGTCTTGCGCTGGGAATCTGTGTTTTGCAATCGCCAAACGCGCTCCGTCGACGGATCGGCGATGAACCGCCTTACTCGCAGGTTGTCGACACCAACGGCTTCCTGAGGCAAGGGGCGCCTCCTTCTTTCTTCAGCAATCCCGTTGGGTTTTTCAAGGGCCGGAAGCCGTTGTGGTGGGTGTGGTGGCTGGTCAGGGCGGCGTTCTTGACTCTCATTGTCGCCATCTTCATCGTGCTGCTCAATAACTTTTATGTGGATCATAAGGAGTGCAGCTGGTGCAAGTATTTGAGTTGTTTGGTAAGTTCTTTTCCTTTGCGCGTCCGTTGGAAAACCGACGACTATGAAAAACTAACTTTGAACCCCTTTCTTTCATAGCCCGTCAAAAACTGGTGTGAAGATGGAAACTTGCAAATCGAGACGCACGATATTACGGAGAATAAGCTGAAGCGCGACCTTGCTTTTGCTGTTGGTGCTGCTGCTGGATTGGAGCAGCTGCCGAGATTTTATGCTCATTTTGCATAAAGAAGAAAAACCGAGAGATCAGATCAGCAACGCGCTCATTTTTAGCCCTTCCTTATTCATTACACCTGGCTTATTAGTTGGCTTTTTCTTTATATCGACACTGAAAAAGGCGAGGTGGTTACAAGATAGTGGTAGTTTGGTTTTCTCAAATCTTGCATAGCATTGGCGTTGAAGGGAAAGGAACACGAACTGGTTTTTTATTCAGGATATTGGTGGAAGGGAGGTCTTGGGTGCTCTAAAGCAGATTGGTTGAAGATGCTTTGGATCAAGACGTTCCACTGGTCCCACTGCTCCTTGAGATAGTTGATCCGGGAACTAAATGGTAATCATATTGATAGTAGCATTTATTATGTGACACATTGTTTGGAAATGGAACGCTCTCTTGATTATTCAACAATAGTAAACCTTCCCCTTGACGTTGGACCTTGAGAAAGTGAAATCAACTGGACATCTTTCAGGAGTCACGCCCCCATCAGCCCAGTACCATAATGCGCACAACTAGGTGGAAAGTAAACAAACTACCCCATACGGCAAAGATCGTACATACCTCTAGACTCGTTCCGTTACCCCCCCCCCCCCAACCCGAAAGAAGAGAACGGACAAGGACGACGAAATCATTGGATATACCAGCACTAAGTCAAGAGGAGAAACACAAAAGACAGCAAGCATGGTAACTCACCCAGGAGACTTTCTCTTCTAACTAAATAATGGGAAATCCATCCATCAAAAACGCGATGCTATCAATTCAAAATGCTTTTTGCCTTCTTCTTCTTCTAATGGTGGTGGTGGTGGTGGTACAGAGTGATGTGATGTGATGTGACACGAGATGAGAGCTCCTCACTATCTCCATTTCACATGGCTTGCTTGCTTTTTTCTTACAGACAACATGGCACTTCTCGTCGTCGTCGTTCTTCTTCCTCTTCCTCTTACAGCTCAGCTCATTCGGACTTTTCCTGAGGCTTCTCCTCGGACTTTTCCTCAGGCTTCTCCTCGGGCTTGTTGTTGTTGTTGTTGTCCTCAGGGGCGTTCTGCTGCTGCTGCTGCTCCTCCTCAGCAAAAGCCGGAACATCAACCTCAACCTCACCCTCCTCGCCAGCCTCCTCCTCGAGCTCCTCCACCGGCAAACTGCCATCATCCTCCTCGACCTCCTCAGGAGACAGCTCAATCGTGCCCGTCTCCACATTCTCCCCTTCCTGGCCATACCACCGGTAACTCATACCCTCCTCCTTACCCTCGCCAAACACGGACTCCCAATCCAGCGGCTTGTCCATGCCGTACACATGCACCGGCCTGGTCTTGCCCAGCTCGATCTCCCTCTGCCTGTGCCGGCGGCCCTTTTTCGTGAACTTGTTCAGCGCGCCCTGGAACATCTCGTACCACGCCTTGTCGCGGTCCTCCTGGTCGTCGAGCGTCTTGCGCCGGCGCTGGATCACCATCTTGTAGATGGTCTCGGCGCGCAGCGTCGGCATGTCCTCGAGCGAGTACTCCACCTCCCACTTGTCGGTGCGGCGCAGGTGCTCGGGCCGCTCGACGTACTCGCCGTTGACCTTGTTGCGGATCGTCAGGATCATGCCAAGGAGCTCGGGGCTGCTCTCGGGCAGGACGGAGGTGGCGTTGGTCTTGGTGTGCACGGTCTCGTCGAGGGAGGCGATTTCGTTTTCGGGATGCGCAGACTTGGAAGTGGCCGAGGCGTCGGTTGAGGCGGTAGACTGCTCGCCTTCGGTGATCTCGGTGTCCCGCGACTTGGAAATGAGCTCCGAGAGAATGGTCTCGAACTTGCGTAGCTTCGAGTCATCCGCCGCCGCCACAGACGCGTCGCTTTCGCCCTTGGCGACTTCACTGCGGTCAGCCTTGACCTGGCTGGCGAGACGAAGGACCAGATCCTTCAGCGTGGGCTCCTCCTCTCCCTCAGTAGCAACCTCGACCTTTGTGTCTGTGGTCGCCTCGGCGGAGACGGCAGACTCAGACTCCTCGGCCGCACTATCAGCCGCAGACTCGTCAACCTTGCCCGACTCGGCGCTCGTGAGGGCCTCAAGAAGCTCGTCCAGATAACGGCGCACTTCCGCAGGGGCACTGGCTTCGAGCAGGCCACTCGAGCGAAGAGCCTGCTCAATAGCTTCGCGGACCGAGGTGACGCCGTGCTCCTCGTTTTCGAGGGCCTCCTCCACCTTGACCACCATGTCCTCCCAGACGTCCGCTGTGGTGATCTCTTCACGAGCTTCGGGTTCTGCGACAGACTCTTCGGTAGCTTCCTCCACAGGCTCTTCCCTTGCCTTCTCAACAGCAACCTCCGCCTCCTGCTCTTCCTTTGGTTCCAAGCCCATCATGTCGCGCTCAAACTTCTCGATGATCTTCTTGTTAGCGCCCTGGATCGCCTCGATCTCATCTGGGGTGACCGGCTTGGCAAAGATGTACATGAGCGGAGGGTCAGTTGGCCTCGTCTCGATGTGAAGGCGCAACGACTGCTCCGGCCATTTTTGGGTAGCCCTGTTCAGGATCTTGTTGAGCAGATGGAGACTGAGCTTGAACTCCTTGTTACCGAGGTTGGTGTCACGGCTACCGTGCAGAGCATAGTCCATCTCGGTGAGAGGGATGTACTGGAAGCCAAAAATGCGCTGGGTGTTGTGGAAGGCAACGAAAATGCCGTCCATACGGCCCATGCGGACTTGGAGGGAGTACTTGAGGAAGGCAGAACGGATCATGTCGAAGTACTCGCGCTCAAACGATTCCCAGTTACCATTCCGGTGGCGGATCTCGTATCCCAAGCCCTTCTGGAAACCCTTGGCGTCCATGCGGATGGAGATGACGGCTCTGGTCTTGAGATCGAACATGCCGGTGCCGGGAATTCTGGGATCGTAGGCGTCGAGCTGTGACCGCATCATGAAGTCTCCCAACTTAGTGTAATGATATGACTCCGGGCTGTCACGTTCCTCTTCGGTGAGCTGATGAGACTTGGTCTTGCGATACTTCTCAAAGTCTTCCTTGGGCAACGTAAGAAGCTTTTCCATCGACTTTCCAAGCATGCTGAGAATGTTTGCTGTGTCGAATTCCTTGTCCGCATCAATCGCGTACACGCCATCCTTCCAGTGAAGGAAGGCAGCCGAAGGGGCGCGCATGATCCTGGTGAAGTTTGTCGAATCGGTCCTGAACGCTTGAGACATCATGCCAGTGGTGATTGGTCGCCAAGAGGAAAGAAGATAATGGAAATGCGCCAGTGTCGAGGTCATACTCGAGGTAGAGCCCGTGTACTTCTTCTCCGCCTCTCGCGCAATGTCGATAAGGGTTGTATCCTTTGACGATGTGATATATTGCTTGAGCGCGTTGAAGTCGAAGTCCTGGATGGGCATGATACGCGCAAGATAGGGGTCGAAATTCCACACCCGAGATCTGGGGTCCTGCATGTGGTAAACTCCAGGGTTGAACAGAGCCCTATCCAAGCCATAAGACAAACCTGGTACAGGAGGTTGCTCTTTGTGAACCGGTACCATTCTGATCAGATCGGGATCAACTCGTCGCACGTGGAGCTTTCTGCCCGGAGGCGGCCATTGTAAATCCTCGGGTGAGCGAGCCTTCTTTGGTTTCACAGGTGCCTCTTGTGTCTGATTCTTTGTGGTCGTCGCCGAATTGTCCGGTGTTGAAGTTACATGATCTGTTTGGCCCGTTATTCTCGCCATAATATTCGAGTGCGGGTGTGTACCGGCCGTCCCGAGTCTTCTGACAAAAGTCTTCGGTTCCGTGGGTTTCGTCTCTGTTGACGTTGACTTCTGTTTCTTCTTCTTGCCAGGTTTAACTTTGTCCTTGTCCGCCTCTGATCCCATACTCTCCTGCTCGGCACGCAGCTCCTTTTCAAGCACCTTTCGCAGTACCGCCGTAGCACGTTTCATCAGTTTGGGATCGTTGGCAATAGCAGCAGGAGAACTGCTTGGCTTTGGCTCCTTCGCTTGTTTCCCCTTCTTCTTGAAAACCCCCTCTGCCGCCTCTGGTGTGCCATCTTGAGCGCCGTCTGTCGTCTTGGCTTTAGTAGTTTCTGTTGTTTTCGTCGTCGCCTGTTTTTGTTGTCCGGCATTCAGAGTTCCTGTCTCGAGATGCTTCAAGAAATCGGCCAACGGCTGTTTACTGGGCGCCCCGCCTCGCTTCTTGGTGTTTTTGCTCTTGAGAGCCCGCGGGTGTCGGCGGTGCTTGCTTGGTGCAGGCTTGGAGTCGCCGTCTTGCTTGCTTGGTGCAGACTTGAAGTCGTTGTCTTTCAGATCGGGAGCGTTGTTTTTTGAGCTGGGCTTGTCTGGCTGCTCAGTCGAGTAGAGCCTAGCAGGATTGTAAAGAGGAGCTGGCCTCGGGTGAGCATTCGAGATTAGGGTGAGACATGACGTGCGGAGAATGTGCGGCTTGATCGTGCGGCGCGTCTTGCTGGTCAGTTGCAACATCTCTGCGACTTCGGGTCGGCGTTTGCGACTGGTATCGAGAATCCGAACGGGGGTCGGGCTTCGGATGGTCAATTTGCAATCTGAAAGAGAGAAAGCGAGCCGAGGATGGGCTGCCGTAAAGTAATCCCTTCCAACGCTGCCAGCACAACGTCTTCCGCGTCCAAGGATGAAGGAGGGGAGGGCGCAGAAAGAAGCAAACGAAAAGGAATGGCTCGGTTGAAGGTCCGGTTTCCTGGAGGGGTCCGTTCTAACTTGGGGCAAACAGTGACAATCTTTCTTTCACACTACGAGACTAAGGTATGGTTACTATCGTTATCGGCCTCATCTCTATCTGCATTTTATTTTTTTGCTGGGGCACTTGGGTTCAATTATCCACTAGCGTGTCTTCCTTCTATGGAGCTTCTCGGGATTTATGGAGCATCTGGCATCACAGTTCCCCACAAAATATTCAGTTTCAGGGCGTCAGGTCTTGGCATTCGACTTATACACCCCTCCGAACCGTCCCGAATTCCAGCTTTTGAAAGGTGCTCCATGTGTTGACTACAGATATGCCTGGGTATCTTTTGCGCAAATGTATACTCCTTCATGCCCGTTTGAAATACCTTCTAGTGGTTCCTCTTCATATCATGCTCCAGTTACTCCGACCTAGGACTTGCCAGACCGCTCACATGCACCGTACCCCGTCAACAACGAACTCCAACCAGTGCGCCCAATCGCTATGACACTTACGCTACCAAATACAATGTAAAGCCAGTCTTAACCCTTCACCAGTAAGACACCCCCAAGTACTTATTCCACCTGTGTTCGGAGATGGGCTTCGTTGGCCAGCCGAATTCCGTCTTCACGTGTCTTCTCGGCCTCTTCCTTGAGCCCTTGTTGTTCAAGAGACTGGGCGAGCATACCCTCGGCCACGCTCATCCACAGAAGGTTCCCGCTCTTCTTTGCCTGCGCCGTGCTGGCTCTTGCACTCTTTAGCGCTTGTTCTCCCACGACGTTTTCGAAGAGCTTGTTACGCATAATGTTCAACGCGATCGAGAGGAAATGTGTGTTGCTGGTGTTTTGCGCGCCGTTCAAAGACAGCTTCATATGCTGCTTGACCTGATTAATTGGTAGCGGCGGGTCCAGCGTAATGGAGGCGAGCACCAGGTTGTATGCGATCCTGATGTCCAGATCAGGATTATCCTCACAGAGGGGTCGTAGAAAATCCAGGAGCTGTGCTGTTTCTCCATCATGGCTATGTGCTGGCGATTGCATGATCCAGATCCGATTTAGCGCAGCTAGGACGCACAGCTCGGAAGCGATGTGGCTGGTGTTATTTTGCGGTATCCCATTCCGGTCCATTGCGAATCTCGGGTCTTTCCAGATCGCAAGTGCTTCACCAAGTTTGGCCGTTCCTTGTTTGAAGACTCCGGTCAGGTAAAGGTTCAGCACATCCAAAAACCCTTCTGGCTGTTGCGCTGTACCCAACGCATCAAGACAAGTCTTGACCTTTCGCCAGTCCGAAAGAGTGGCGGCTTGCAGTCCAATGAGGATTTGCGCGTAGTTCCTCACACCCTTTGCCCATTGGGCATGCGCAAAAGCATCTGGAAGCGGGTTCGGTCCCGAGCCCGAGTTCTTGTCTGAGTGACAGGTTAGCGGTACCGAACGAAGAACGGATGCTCACTAATGCCTACCTTCCAGTAATCGCACAGCTTCAGTCCAGATTGTCGAGCTTCTTCCCAACGTTGTGGATTTGTAAAGCGCCACTATGCCGTTGAATATGTACCTGCGTGATGGTCAGTATTGATTTGTACCTACTCGTTGAGTACCGATCCACTTACGCCATTGCAAATGACTCTTGTTTCCCCAGAGCCGATAACACCAAGTAATCAAAGGCGCCATCTCCACGCCGGAGGACGGCCTCTGTATCACGGCTGAGTGTCGGCGCAGCGTCGTTGACAACGCGTCTAATGGGAAGAAGAAGCTCATCTGAAACCGAGGACCAGCTTGGGAGGTTGCGCAGTTCCTCTAACTTGCTTTGAAGAACGCTCAACTTTTGAGCAGCATCTCTGTGCGACTTTTGCCGGAGGCTGCAGGCAAGATCGAGCAACAGCAGAAGAACGTCGAGCTGAGGCAGGTGAGCAGCAGCATCAAATTGCAGTTTCTGTGCCTGTGCAATACAATTTTGCACACGGTTGATCCAGTCATCCTTCATCGTGTTGAGGTGAGACAGTCCTTCCAGAAGCATTACCATGACGAACATGGCCTTCTCGTCCCTTGTTGTCGCAATCGACGCCATTCGACGCAAGTTTTCCAGCGCGTGGTGATCAGTAGCAGTTCCTGATTGAATATGAAACGCAGCTTTCAGAAAACGAAATGCATAGACCCATGGTGCGTGTTTGTACATGGTAGCATCCATTATATGGGTATCGAGGGACTTGAACGCAGCTTTTGGATTTCGTTGAAAAAGGGTCTTCATTAACAAAAACTGCGAGCAGTATTTGAGATCAATGAAACGATGCTGTGATTTGAAGTCAGCGCTAACACGTCCTTAGACATTCACCGCCAATAGTCCTCGAGCCACATACCTTTTCGCAGACCAATATGCCCCTTGTAAGAGCAGTTTCGGCCTCCATAATATTGTTCGTTTCCTCTATGAGAATACTAGCGTATCTGAGGCAGAGTCTAGCTTCGAGACGTGGAAAAAGTTTGTTGGAATTCATGGCAACTTCAAGACAGCCCAGACCTGTTGCTACCATTTTGTTGTATTCTTTGACCTCACTATCTGACATGGACCTCGCAATTTTTGAGGCTGCAGCGTGTACTTTGGCGAAGCAGTCTTCGGCAACACATAGCAACAGTGGCAGTGTTTCAATATGGGCGGTTCTTTGCGTTGAAGCAGATGATTTCGCGACAGAAGTGGGCCGTCCTGGACGGCGTGGCGTAGCCGTTTTTGTAGATGCCGCTTGGGGTTCTGGGCGCCTCTCTTCTGGTCTATGGCTGTTCTGCTGGGAGATCGGCTGATGTAACTGTTGTGTCTGTATATGCAGGGAATTCTGAGGTTGTGGAGGTTGAGGGTGTGGCTGTTGTCGTTCCTGTTGTTGGTGATGATGATTTTGTGTGGATCGCTGCTGCTGCTGCTGCTGCTGCTGCTGCTGCGGTTGGTGTTGCCGCTGCTGCGGATGTTGCTGCTGTTGGTGTTGGTCATTGCGATTTGCTGTCTGGTGAATTTGCTGCGGCGGTATTTGCTGATTGTGCCGTGAAATTTGAGGCGGAGGTAGCTGAAGATTTGACACGGTCGTCGGTTGGGGCGCCGGTAGGATGCGATTTGTCTGGATAGGTGGAAGATACTGTTTTTGGAGGAAGGACGGATCGACAAATTGAACGGGTGCCGTCGTCGTCTGTGGGGTGTGAGTGAACGACGTGGTAGAACTAGAGCTGTAGTTCGACAAGTTGACGGGATTGTTGGGATAAAACGTCGGTTGAGCCGGGGGATAGGCTGACTGCGCGTACGGAACCTGTGGTTGCTGAGGTTGTTGAGGTTGTTGAAGATACTGAGGGTGTCCATTATGGTAGCCATTCACGTATTGCTGCTGTTGGTACTGTTGGTGCTGTTGGTGCTGTTGGTGCTGTTGGTGCTGCTGCTGATGGTGCTGCTGCTGATGGTGCTGCTGCTGATGGTGATATCCGGCATGGGGCTGAAAGGACTGTTGACCCTGCTGCTGCTGTTGTTGGTTCTGAGTTTGTTGAGGGTAAATGCCGTATGGCTGCCCCGGGGGCATCGCATCGTGATATGTCATGGCATTTGTCAATGGGAGATCGGTCTCTGTTTCGTCGTGTCGCGGCGGGCGTAAATACGTTCGTGCATCGACAGTAGGACTGCGCGCTATCGGATTCGGGATACTCAGATATTTGGCGAATGTGACAGATGACGGTCACTATGAGCGTAGCATGGTCAAGGTTGACAAGGAAAAAGTTTGGTAGAGGCGACGGAAGTTTTCAAATTCTCTTTGTAGAGGTAATGTTGGCAGGAGGAAGAGCAACAGCTTGCTTGATGTCTGCGCGGTTGCTACTGCCGTGTCTGACTGTTGGCGCGCTGCCGCCGCGGCAAGGACAGTGCGTCCACCGACTTATCCTTCAGCTGATTGGCGTCCGATGACGGATATGTGGCCCACAATAGTAGCAGGGGCGCAGCGCAGGCTGGTGCGTAAAGCGTCGACACATTAGTACGTATTCCCTCCTCAATTAACCCTATCTCTCAAATACTTTATCCTCAGTTAATTTTATTTTTCAAGTACTGCTTTTTTAATAGTTTAAGTCTATCTCGAGTAATATCTACACTATAAAAAAGGTAATGTATCTACATAATTTAGCTAGCCCAAAGAGGTGCTTTTTGCTATATTTTGCTTCATATCAGGTTGCGGAGGGTAGAATGCAACAGTCACAAGTTTCAAATCGACTTTCGACCTTCGTCGGACCTTCGTTACTTAGAAAGGGGTAATAATTGCGGGTGGCAGGGGGGGTATGTACCAAAGTGTCGACGCTTTACGCAAACCCCAGCGCAGGGTAGGCATTACTAGAATCCGCATTTGCTGGGCTGCAGGTCCGACGGGAAGACAAGAGCCGACTGGATGCAACAAGGAATGGAAGGGTTCGTTTTCCACTCGTACCACTGTCCTCCCGATTGTTCGGGGCCCATCAGGGCATGATGTTGTGGAGAAAAACGAAGATGGAATCGGACTAGACTTTTGAAACTTGGACGCCTTGGGCTGAAAAGGGAAGAGTCAATAAGAGGCTGAGGAGTCTAGAGACGAGATATTTCGAGTTGAAGATTGAAGCCTAAAGCGACACAAGAGTTCAAAGCCCCGGTCCGTTGCCATCGTCATCACCTACCGTCGTGATAACGGATACCCAGACCTATAGGAAGCCAGCACCAGGTCAAGAACCACCGCCAAAGATAGACTTTGCCTTCATCTCTTTATGCCTCGGCACTTTGAAGACGATATAAAAAGGAGCATTTCATAAGTTCTTGGCTCTTCCACACATCCTTGATCTTTTGATATCTTTCATATTTTTAACGTACTCTCTTACCTCTCATCCTCTTCAACATTTCTTCCTCAACATTTCTACGAGTTGGCCGGATCAACGGTCGTTTAGGCGCAATCATGGACTGGTTCGGTCGTGCCAAGATCTCTTTCACCCACCACGCATCACCACTTACACTCCAGCAGAAGGATGGGACTACGACCGACTTGCTCAAGGTCTGCGAACAGGCCACTCCGCCATGCCAGCTGAACCCGCTTCTCTTCAACGGCCATGTGCAGACCATGTGGACTGTGGTTAAGGAGCATGGTCCCCAGATCTACTATCGCCGAAAGATCTTCGAGTCAGACCACCAGGTCTACACCGGAAGCTTCACTGTCGATTTTGTGACGAAGCCTCACCAAGACTTCGAAGAGAAATTGCCCCCAAGGACCGCCTACTTTTCCGAACAAGCCTTTTCCAGCCTGCCTTCGGATGACAGCAAGCCTATGCTCATTGTGCTCCACGGTCTGTCCGGAGGCTCGCATGAAATCTATCTCCGTCACGCCATTCTGCCTCTCGTCGAAAGTGGCAAGTGGGAGATCTGCGTAGTCAACTCTCGTGGATGCGCAAACAGCGCCGTTACAAGCGGTCTCTTCTTCAATGCTAGGGCGACATGGGATGTTCGACAGGTTGTGAAGTGGGCCAGAAAGAACTTCCCCAACCGTCCACTTTTCGGCGTTGGTTTCTCTCTGGGTGCCAACATTTTGACCAACGTGAGTAACTGGTACCGTTCACCTAAGCGGTAGGTACAAAGTCCACTGACATGCTTGATATAGTACGTCGGAGAAGAAGGAGAGGGTTGTCTTCTGAAGGGCGCCATTGCCGTTGGAAATCCATTCAACCTAGATGTTACCAACAGAGCTTTACGGAGAACTCACTTGGGAAGACTCTACCAACGGGTTATGGGAAGTAGGTTAACCCTGCATGTTTCACACTGCTTAACAGGATTGCTGACACAACGTGTGTTTTTATAGCCAACATGAAGAAGCTTGTCGCAAACCACAAGGAGACCGTGCTCAAATACACCAACCTCGACTACGACAGGATACAGAACATCACCTACCTGAACGAGTTCGATCGTGAAGTGCAGACCGTAACCTGGGGTTACCCCACCGAAGACGCCTACTACCGCGATGCTTCCTCCTGTGACGCTGTCCTGGGCATCAGAATTCCCTTCATGGCTCTTTCTGCCGCTGATGATCCGGTGAGCATATATCCTTTTCCCTAGAGAGTCTAGTACAAAGACTTGGTTAAACGTAGAGCTAACCGTCAACAGATTGCTGTCGAGGAAGCCATTCCTTACGAAGAGATCAAGCAGAACCCCTACACGGTTCTCTGCCTTACATCTCTCGGCGGACATCTTTCGTGGTTTGAGATGGGTGGCGGAAGATGGCATACTCATCCTATCTGCAACTTCTTCAACAAGATGGCTTTCGAGATTGACTTGGACGCTATCAAGCCCGATGCTTGCGACAAGTGGGACAGCCAGTTCAGAACCCACTTCGATCCTGTGCAGCGGAAGTTGCAGATTCTGGATCTCGACCAATAGGTTGTCATTGAGTGAACACATAGACGGTGAAAAGTGTACATAGAGGAATTCTAAAAAAATGTGTTGGACAGTTAGTTAGAGGCTTAGACCTAGAGGTGCATTGGGGTAGGATACAGCATTAGACTGGTGCTTACGGCTTGAAAATAGAACAGGAGGCTTGTTCATTGAAGCTCATACGAGGCATGGGCCACGAGCCACACACGTCTTGACAGCTATCATCTAGACAATAGGTATCACTGACTGATGGCGGAGGTTAAACCGATGCTGGAGTGCCCAATTGGTATCTTTAATTCCCATACAGACAAAATAAACTAATCAATACTTCCCGGCCAAGCCCATCCTACCCGCCGCCGCCGAAGACTTTGGTTGATATAAAACGCCCAGACGCCATACATGCGAAGAAATAATGCTTGGTGTAGACGGTATTACACGACAAACTTCCACCCCTTTCCTTTCTCTTTCGATCTTCCCAGCCTAAATGGGACTTTTCGAAGCATCCTCGGTCAGGTCGGTAGGCTGCTTATTCGGCAGCGAAAGATACCGACTTCTTCTTTTTCGACTTGAAGGCGTTCGTGCCAGCAGACGAGATGTTCTTGACATCTCTCTTGTCGTCGTCGTCGTCGTCCCTGTCCTTGCCACCGCCCGTCTGCTTGCTACGCTTGCGCTTCTTGCGCAGCGAGTCCTTGGTCTCTTCTAGCCTGGCCTTGCGCTCGGCCTCCTTCTTGTCGGCCTCGGCACGTCTCGCCTCGCGGATCTCCTCCATTGTCGTGCCTTGATCATCTTGGACTCGATCTGGCCCTCCTTTTCGGCTTGTACAATGGCGAGGATGGTGGCCATGCTCTCCTGTATAGGGGGAATAACAAGTTAGTTACTTGATGCTTTCCTATTTTGGCAACAAAAAGCAAATATGGCCAGACTCCAACCAAAGAGAACTAACCTTGTCATCAACAAACACCTTGCCCTTCTTCTTGCCCTTCGGCTTGGTCACACCCACGGGGGTGATCATATTGAGTTCCGGAATCAGGCCCGCAAGCTCCTTCTCGCTGTACTTCTTCTTCTTCTGCTTCCTGGCGATAAGCTCCTTGATGTCCGGTCGGCCCTTGTTGGCAGTGACGAGAGTGTGGGTCTTGCTCTTGGGCTTTCCCTTCGACTTGAGCACTCCATCGTTCCTCGACCTCTCCGCATCTTTGCTGCCCTTGATGCCGGACTTATTCGCAGCGTGCTTGTTCTTTATCGTCTTTGTCGGCGCCATTGTAGGTTATTTTTTGGACGTTGATACCGTCGCAAGAAATCGGTCGTCGATAGATGGAATCGGTGGATGGATTGGGTGAAATGGAGTAGGAATACTTTCGAATGTATCCTGTACGCTGTCGCTTCGGTCGACTTCTCTGGGGAAAATTTTGGGACTGGAATTGGTCCCTGTCTTATCTTATCACTGCTTAAAGCTAGAGCTTAATTGGCACTGTATTAATGCCTGCGGCTACGGGGCAGTGGGGTCCGTCAGCTTGCCGTGGGGCAGCCCTGGAATCTCGAATTGGCCGCTGAGGATCGGCAGGCAGAGCAGAAAAACCTAGCGCGGGGTTGGCTGCACTATCGATTGCCTATCGGTGCGTCACTGGGTGGCCCTCCGAAACCGCCAAAATTTCTAAGGTCACCAAGTTTACTGTCACGATCCTTTTATCCCAACATCGACCACGTTGCCGTCGTCATATTCCACGAGTCTATAGTTCCCAGAAGTTTTAGACACCCTACCCAAACAAAATGAGCTCCGAACAGCCCGCAACCCGCTGGGCCGCCTTTGCGCGCGACACCAACGAGACCAAGATCCAGATCGCCCTCAACCTTGATGGCGGCGCATTCCCACCCGAGACCGACGAGCGCCTGAACGTCGCTGTCGCTGAAGGTCACGCCTCTCAGGCCAGCAAGTCGCAAACAATCAGCATCAATACCGGCATCGGTTTCCTCGATCACATGCTCCATGCGCTCGCCAAGCATGCTGGCTGGTCTCTTGCTCTTGCCTGCAAGGGCGACCTTCACAGTTAGTAGACCATTCCCCGGGGCAAACACCATCCAGAACTGGCCATTGACTCAATCTCTTCACAGTCGACGACCACCACACCGCCGAAGACGTCTGCATCGCTCTCGGCTACGCCTTTGCCAAAGCCCTCGGCACTCCCACCGGTCTCGCGCGCTTCGGATTCGCATACTGCCCTCTCGACGAGGCCCTCAGCCGCGCCGTCGTCGATCTGTCGAACCGCCCCTTTGCCGTTGTTGATCTCGGTCTCAAGCGTGAGAAGATTGGCGACCTCAGCACCGAGATGATCCCTCACTGCATCCAGAGCTTTGCCGGCGCTGCTCGCATCACCGTGCACGTCGACTGCCTCCGCGGCGACAATGACCACCATAGAGCCGAAAGCGCGTTCAAGGCGCTCGCGGTTGCCACGAGGCAGGCTACTAGCCGGGTGGCGGGTCGCGAGGGCGAGGTTCCTAGTACCAAGGGAACGCTCAGCGTATAAGCAAGATGTCGTCGAGGAGGGAGTTGGTTATAGATTTGTTTGATAGGTAGAGTTGCAAAGATACCATGTAATGCCATTTACCCTGATATTTTGCGCGCATCTTGCTTGGTTACTACAATCTTGTCATAACGAAATCGTAGAATAGGGGTGATGAGAGAATAGGCAAGCATTTTGGACACTGGTGAAATGTTTACGTGTAAATGTAGAGAAAATACCCCTGATGCGGGTTGTTGACAAAGTTCCTCTTTCGGAAGGGAAGCGGATGCGTTCGGCGCGGGCCCCACAACGGACAGCAGAACGGGGATGGATCGAGGGGAAGGCGAAAGTCCCGGGAAATAAAACGGAACCTCGCACAATCCCATCATTCGAGTGATGTGACGTACAATACATCTCCTCTTACTCGGTGATTTCTATACACTACACACACGACAATAAGTCTATATACGACTGAGGCTTCATCCGACAACGTCTGTGTTCAAATCAAGACCAAAAATAACGAGAACTCGCCAAAAAATCAAATCGACAGCGAAATCATCTTCATCCATTCGTTGCATCCACCCGGACCGGCAACCTAAGCAGGCGACCCACTCCACATCTCATACGTTCCGGTATACGGCCTTCCGAGAGTTGAACAAACCTTAACGACCTCAACGACCTGTATACCACAACCACACGCCGAAATAATTCAAACAAGCTCTGGCAATCCTTCCCAAACCGAACAACCCAGGAGTTTTCTCTCATCACCAAATCTACCCACTACCATACATACCTTACCCAAGCCAGTCCATACCAAATACATCGACGGCACACACACAATCAAAACCAAAAAAATGTCCAGACCACTCGACATCAACACTTCTAAACACGAAGAGGCCAACCAAGCCTCGTGGGAGGCATGCAAGGGCGCCCCTTTCCGGAGCCTTCAAGTGGGGCGTGGGCACGGCGATTCTGGGCGGAATCGGATACGCCGTGTCGCCGATTTATAGGGGGTTGACTATCCAGTTCAAGGTGTAAGTTATTCTTTTCGATTTTCCTCTTTTCTCTGTTTTTTTTTTTTTTTTTTTTTTTTTTTTTTTTTTTTTTCACCCTGCTTGTTTGTATTGTTTTTTGTTTGGGTTGTCTGATGTTTTGCTTTGGATTGCATGTGTGGTCTAAGACGATGTGCTATATATATGGACGCGTAATGAAAAGAAAACATGTGGAAGAGATGAAGATGATGATTGATAGGAACTGACGGCGAGAATTCAGATACATACAAATGTCCGGCATGGTACTGGGTGGTATGCTGGAGGCGGATCATCGCATCCGTGAGTATGAGGCGGCCATGAGGATGAGGAGGAGGATAGCGGCCGATCAGGCTAGGTGGAGGCAGTTTGAGGAAACGTATGGGAAGGATGAGGATGATGAGTGAGTGAGGAAGTGAGAGATTGATGGCGGGGGGTTCATGAGGCTCTGTTGACAGTTCTGGGGTTATCAGTATTGGAACGATTAGGTCGGGGTATGGGAGCTGGGTTTGATGGATGATGAACGGTCGGCAGTTATTTCTCTCTTCTTTTCTCATGTTCATAAATTGCTTTATATACAGAGCTCTGCTACTTGAACTACTACAGTCCCCTAACATTCATATCTGACGTGTACATCATATTCGTGATTCCAACCTATCCTTTATTCTCATAATCCAATCAGTCGTTCCATGCATCATGATCATCATTACCATTCGCAATGGCCTCTATGGCCTCTTACAAAGGGTAAGGGCTCCTGTCGTAGACACAGCCAAAACCGGTCCACTGGACAGGGACTCTCAAGAGTTCGGCGAACCCGTGTTCCTTGGGCCTGTTGATGCCCTCAAACCCGAAGTAAGTCGACGCTTGAGCTGAATACTCGGGGTCGAAAGTGTTACTGGAGATTTCGCAACTTGGTCAGCTTACTGCACAAATGCATGATATCAACAACACAGCCCAGGACTTCAGGCAAAAACAGAGACACTCACTCGCAGATGTTCAGAATTCCAGCATCGGCATACTCCACGTAACCCATGGAGATCAAGAACTTCTGGGCCCCGGGAGGATCGTTCTTAGAGCAAGGCACCGAGTGGAACTCAGCGAACTTGTAGTTCACCCCATCGGGTATGCGGGCGTTGACGTTGCAATCTACCTTGCTGTTGTCCCGCGAGTCCCAGATGGCAAAGCTGAGCTCGACCGAGTGCGTGGTATCGTTCCAGTGACGAGAGAATCCCTTCACAGACCACCAAGGGCCCTGGTTCACGTACTCGCCGCCGGCACCGCCGCCGCTGCCGTTGCCATTGCCGTTGCCATGACCATTTCCCTTGCCGTTACCGTGACCATTGCCGTTGCCACCCTTGTTATTGCCGTGCTTGGTATTCTTATGGAGCTCGCCCGGGACGCGGACCTCGTTGATGGGACTGGCGAGGGTAGCCGGGAGGCCGGGCAGAAGGGCGGAGAGAAGGACGGTCTTGAGCTGCATTGTTGCTGTTTCTCGCTGATATGGTCTGGGACGAGGAAGATGATGGAGTTTGGTGGATGATTTGTTGCGGACAATGGAAGAATGGGAATTGTGATGATGATGAGATGCTGTGTTACTCTTCTTCCTCTTCCATGTAGGAACCCGTGGTCCATTTATACATTTCAACTCTCAGTCATTATCTTCGTTTCCGACAACAACAAGTCTCTCCTGCCTCCTCAATCTCCGACTTTCTTTTTTGCCATCGCGGTCTCCGGCGAAAATATTGAGTTGTTGATGGTGTTGGTGTTGATGTCGGACCATTAAGCAGTCTACGGTGGGAGACTAGAGATCCTTCGTGTTGTCCAAGTCGCATAAGTATTGTAGGCGTTAGCTCAGCAAACGCGCAGAAGAAGGGTGCGAGAGGCTAGGAAAGAAAGAGATGACAGGGTTCACGTGAGGAGAAAGAGGATGCGCCTCACAAAAGGGAGTGATGAGGCTTGATGGCTTTCTGATTGTTGTTGAGCCTCATCGTGTAATGAATTATCTTTCCATTGGTAGGTAGTACCTTCATCATCCCATAGATGGTTCAATCCTTAGGGTATGCCTCCTTCTAGGAGAATGGTGATCACCCATCGCGAACTGAGCATTGGGGCCTCGTTGAAGAGTATCCTGAACTGAAAATATTGGACAATCACAAGTGCCAAATCGTTAGTTAGCTTGTCTGCAATGTGATAGATCACGGCTAAGCAACATATCTGAATATCCAGCCAATAGTCTTCAAAAGTCGAGGCGATTCTGGAAATTTGCACAGTAGTAGAGGCAATGATGGAATCTTCTTTGAGCTCCCTCCAGACCGCCGAGCTCACTGACACGCCGAACTGGCAACTTGTAGCCTTTCGACCACCCAGAATGCCATATCTTATGGCTTTTTAGGATCTGTCTTGTGGCCGCCTTATCCCTTATGGCGAACTATCGAACTCATGTCCGCCTGGCACAGCAATTTTGTTGATGCTTCTGGCTTCTCACTCTCGTGATCTCACAATATCGCCAAGGGAGAGAGGGTCTGGCCACAATGGCAGCTGGCTCTGGAAGCGAAAGAAAGATCTGCCACACAGGCAAACTGGGAATACCCCGACTGTGTCCCTTCAGGGCTTTTGTGCTTGGTGATGTGAACCTACGGCACCTTAGAATTTGGATGAAGGCTGTGTATGCCATGTTATTGAAAGTGTCGATGGCAAGCACTGGGTACCTTAGGCATCCCGGCTATTCAATCCGTCATCCTCCGGAGAAGTTGGAATCAGTCATGAGCAGAACATGTGCCATGACAAGTCGAAAGGGCAAAGTCGGCCCCCATCTTTGAACACGCAAAGCTGATGAGAGTGCAAATAACTGACACCAGAATGAACAAACAGTCGCACCGCAACTTTTGGGGAGGCAGCAGAGCAATCTGAAGGCCTTGTCTGAAGCACTTTATCTCAATCATGGCTGTGTCTGGGGCCGAGGATTTGGCTATCGAGGCTTCTGTTTTTCAAGGGCGCAGAAAACAGATAAGATGGGGGCCGACGCCGTTCGACTTGTGCAGGTTCCTCATGGCGCACAAAGTGTTTTGCGGCACGGGTATGGCAGTGTTGCACCAGACAAGCTGCCCGAGAAACCAAACGAGGTCAGACAAGATTGACAGACGGCCACGGCAGCGAATGTAACGTCAACTACGCGGATGTTAAGCCGGTCGTTACTGTTGCTGATCTCTGTTGTCTCCTTCCCTATATCGAACGCAACCCGGCGACTTAGCGGGGTCGGTTAAGCATCGTGCCCATCGCGTAACGCATTTTCTCGTATCATATTTGGGGGTGAACCAGACAGCCGGGAAACGTTCGTGGAGATGACTGGTGAGAACTGGCCGGTTATGGGTGTTGATTAATATCACAGTAGTTTGCGTGTAGCCCAACGCGGATACCTGGAGTCTTTGGAGTGTGGAACATGAGGTGAACAGGCTGAATTGACCATGTCGTTGGTCCTCCATGCATTCAAGCCCTTTCATCGAAGCATCCGACTGGCACATGAGGAAATTGGATGAGGCTGCTGTGAACCCGAAGAGGCGTTCCAAGAGTTGCCGAAGAGTTACAGCCAATCTTGCCAATGCTGCGGCGTGAACAACTCAGCAGTCTCTGTGTTCTGCAGGTACAGACCCTTCTGTATTCCCTGATCATTTGAAACTGTCAACCGAGGTCTTCACAAGATGGGCGTAACCGGAAAGGGTGGAGGCGGACAGATGCGTTGTAACCTCAATAGTGACACCTATCGGGCCGTACATATTGCATGGTGATATGATGGGGCAGACGGCCCTCCTAGGGCGGAAATGGAAGTTGGGAACGACGAGGAGAGCCGGAGGGTTTCAAAAACGAAGAAAAAGAGGAGGGAAGAAGAAAAAAAAGACAGGCCAACATGCCAGGATGTTTAGGGTCTCCAGTTCGGCCCCTCGCAGGACCACTAGGGCCATCGACTTGACAAAGCCTGATTGATCGGCACGAAGGTTATCGGGAAGGAGGGGAAGCTGGGGGTAACAAGGGAGGGTATTCCGGAGCAGGGAGGCTCGGTGTTGCTGATTCTTTTCTGACAAGTATTTGCTGTGTGAGTGTCCGCTTCAATTTTGTCACGCAAAAAAGACATCAGCGGGACGGAAATGATGATGAATCAGCGATCAGCCATGGACGGGATCAGCAACGGGAGCGCTAGGAACAACGGTTGTTCTGTGCCGCCCGCGCCCATGTGGATCGTTCCCTTCGTCTCGATAGGAGGCCGACAGGTCATTTCATCACCACCATGCCACAGTTAGGTAGGGTGGTTGCGTGCTTTGCTTCCTTCAGAAGGATCATTCCGTATCCAGGATCGTCTTCCGAGATTTGAGTGTAAACTGGGAAAACAAAAAGGTGAAAGTGCCGGACTGTTTTTTCTCTCTTGAGGGTCAGATCTTCAGTCCTCCACTCCATTGGACGGTCGAGACCTAGAGATCTGGGAGTGGGCCGTGCGCTTGTCGCTTCAAGCTCCACTGAGCTTAGCGCGGGACAGTCCGGGCCCACATTCGACGCTTTCACTTGACACCTTGTACGCATGCTTGACAGTGACTTGAAGTCTCTCAGCACTGTTTTCCTCTTTTCGTCAACTGCCATTTCTTTTCAGAAATCTCTGCTGCGTGCTGTCTGAGCCGTTGCCAATGTCACACTCTAACGCTCGTCTGGACAAGCCTTCACTGGCTCGCGATCGAGGCAAACAAGCAGTTGGCTAGCCAGACTTGTGGCCGCTGCGTATACTCTGCCCACGCTCGGTTGCCTCTTGAGGACCTGAGAACCGTTGGAGGCCATCCCGATATCCCGTCTTTCTGACTAGCCAACGTGATTGGGTCATGCCTTCACACCACCACAGGCCAAAGGTTCCAACTGTCCCAACCCATTTATCAGTTGGATGGACCAAACAAGCGAAGGGATGAGAAGGAAAACGGAACTTGCCCGGGGCGAAAAGGACCTCGAGGCCAGCCTGATGCCAGTCTACCAATCCAAAGACGAATCGCAACCATGGTCCGCTCTCTATACCACACTGCACCACCGACGAGGACACCACTAGGAACCACCAGAGCTGGTGTTACAACGGGTGTGGCCAAGTCGAGGGTTTTCCGCATCTCAGCCAGTGCGCCCTACCGTGTTTTCACACCCGACCTCTTGCGGCCTTGGCCTCTCACCTGCAGCAGCCCATTTTCAGCGGGAGCCCTCAAGCAAACCTGCCGACTGGACAGCCTCAGTCGGCAGATCCTGGACAAGACCTTCATATCTGTATGGCCGTGGCCCTGACGGATGCTCAGGAAGCTGTCTGTCTAGAGGTTACGGTAGTTTAAGGTAAGGATAGTCGATACTCACGATGCTACTCTTCCATTCTCTTTACATTAGTTCTACGAGATATCCCAGCTGGCTTGCATTAGTACCACTATTTGATATTAGTCGATATTAACTGGTCACTATTCAACTTACTTACCAACTGCCCGGATGATGGCGACCTCCTCTTCTTTTTCCCGTCCAAGGCAGTCGTACTGTGCCGTGTAACCTCGCAGGTAAGATCAGCGGGGGACGGAGACCCAACAGCCAGCCTGCTCCTCCCACTCACACCATCTTCAGTGTACTTGACTATGCCGGGCCCCAAGTGGTGGCTTTTACCTCTTTCTCTCTCCTTGGTATCGATTCGCCTGTTTCCTTCGACTTCTATCGGCTTGAGGACGACCTCAGTGTCCCCTGGTCTTCTTTCGAATGTTGCCCAGTTACGAGGCACCGACGGGGAGCTCTAAACTACAGAAACGCCTACATGAATGGCCAAGACCGGACGATATCTGAGCAAGGTTAACGCATGAGTAACCATATTTTCACCCAGCACCCTTCCTGCTTGTCGAACACAGAGTTGATCCTCTGAGTGTCTGGCCATGACAACACAGACATGGACCCCCCTTGTCCGGAGAGACACCAAAGGGCCTTTAAGCACCGGTGCCATCGCCGGCATAGCTGTCGGTGCGGCCGTGCTGTTTTTGGCGAGTGCTGCTCTATTTGTGGTTTACTATCGACGACAACGACGCTACAATGCCGAAGATAGCGAGTACTATCAGTATTCCGACTCTGTTCAACGGGGCCAACACAACACGGGGAGGACTTTCGTGGCAGTTCCTCGCCGAGCTCCAACCTACACTTTGGACTATAAGATGGACAACCAAGTTGGTACCGGGCAGTCGACTCCTGCCCAGTTCTCAGCAGACCCCCGGGCCCAAAACCCCGAGACACCTCCACTGGACGACATGGCAAGCGCAATGCCAACCCACCCAGCATATCTTCCCAAGGCAGTGGTTCGAGGGACAACACTTAAGCCCATCACCCGTCGACCCTCCGAGGACCAGAGCACCCCGGCGTACTATTCTTCGAATGCAAACAGCAACAACATGCCCATGCAAGCTTATCGCGGCTCTTCATCCACGGCCGCCGCCGCAGCAACAGGGGGGAGTGATTCAAGGATGATGGGAAGCAAAGAAAAGCAGTTCTTCCCCTCTCCACCGGGGTCCGGAGGAACGGGCGCAACCACTTTCTACGACGACGAGGACTATTACGCCGAGGATCCGGAGAAGGACGTCAAAGGCCGACGTAGGGTTTCCCTCCCACTTCGTCTCGCCCCAGTGGACCAAGAGGAGGAAGACGAAGACCGCTATTATTATCAAGGACAACAGCAGCAGCAACAACAGGATGAACAGTCCCAGTACCACCAGCAGCAGGCTCACGGATATCACCCCCAGCACCAATACCAGCAGCAACAGCAACAGAATCAACCCCAACCCCCACAACAACCTCAACAATCACCCCCAGCCCTGCACACCCCCGCATCCATCGCCTCCTCCTCCCGCACTACCACCCAAAGTGGCGCGGTACCCACCATCTCCCTCCCCATCAAAGGCAAAAAGAAGAAATTCCCTCCTCCCCAACTAAACCTACAACAAAGCAGTCAAACCTTCCCCAACAACCCCAACAATCCCAATCCCAACCAAACCAGCGGCAGCGGCAGTAACATCAAGACCGGCGGTACCTCCGGCAGTGGTGGTCTAATGGTAGACATGGTCATGTCCACCAGCAACCACCGCCCTCTCAGCGGGATGGAGGATATGTTCTATCAGTGGACCTTTGGCTTTTCCCCATTACTCTCATCAGCAGTATGCGCAGCAGCAGCAACAGCTGCAGGAAGTGCAAGGGGGGTATTATGTTGATGAGTATGGGAATCCCGTTCAGGTTCAGGTGGTGCCGGGGAGTGGAGGGAGAAGAGGGAACAGAGATCGGTCGAGGAGTTTGGGTGGGGATCATCATCAACAGGGACAGGGACATGGAGGGCAAGGAGAGAGGCAAAGGCAGGGAGGAGAAAGTGGAAGGCGGGAGAAGAGACATAGTGGGAATAACGGGAGGCATTATGAGGAAGTGGAGATTGGGAGGGAAGATGATATCTGGTGATCTGTCAGTGGTGGTTGAAAGTGACGGACCTGGAAGTCTGTTTTCATTTCGTTGTATATCTTTTTGGACAATACCATGACATAGGTTTTTGGGTATAGGGACGGCGTATTATGGAAGGAGGAAACTTCGTTTTCGAAGATATGATGAATACGTCCTGAGCTCCCGAGGAGGCTGGCTTCCTATCGGGACTTGGAGATAGTAAACACTGCGTGTGGAAAGGTCGGTTGTTGTTGTGCTCGGGTTCATAACCCAGTTTTGACAATTTCCCCAGTCAAGTGAGGAAACAGAATCGTGTATGATATGTGATATATCAAATTAGTATTACTATGTTGATTGATCTGCCATTCCGCCCGTGCCCTCACCCACACCCGAATGCTTTCAAACTCTCCTCACCATAAAGGTCGCTTTCAATCACCGCCCAGACGATGGCCAGAACCACGGGTTCTCCATGAATCCGGAAGCACCGAGCCAGTGGACGCACCTGTAGTGCTGCCTGTAGACGGAGCGCCAGGACCTGGACGGATGGCTGTGCCATACTCGCGCTGGAACACACTCGGCGTCTCAACCAAACGAGACAGGAAAGCGGGCGTAGGTAACAAGCTCGAGCCGCCGCCGAATTCGGGCCACAGACGCGTCACAAAGTCGTGCCAATGAGCAGCAAGAATACCGGTGACCTGAAGAGGGATCGCCATGGGGTTCATGAGCAGCGACGAGAGGAGCATGCAATATGGGATCAACTGCGCGGGCACCGTGAAGAAGAAAAAGTTCGACTTCACGCCGCGGGCATCTTGAACGGCTGTGTAGCACATCGCAATGATCAATCCTTGGAGGAAAAAATACCCACCCAAGAGGATTCGGTTTACGGTCTATCATGTGTTAGCAATTCTGCTGACAGAAATGCTGGTGTTGGGTAACAAAAAGCACGAATGCTTGATGTTGAGATGTAGGGCGCTAGAAACCGCCCGAGCACACGGAGTATATTGCTCGGGTCATCCAAAGCATTCCCACCATGGTCACACCGCAGCTCACCCGGTATTTTGCGAATGATGGGCGGCCGAGATGCAACGGTAATCTTCCTCGGTTCCAGGAACCGCAATAGTTGTGAGAATTGCACTATGCGGGCAGATATTCCGAGGATTCCAATGTGTGTTGTGATGGGATTGGGGAGGTGTAGTGAGAAGAGTAGAAAGAGTAGAAAGAGATATGTCAAGACCTACAATGATGAAACCACCAACGGTAATCAAATACCAAAGGACGTCTTCCTTCCTTTGGAACTTGGGGTTTGTGGTTTCAAGCTGGCTCAAGTACTGATAGGCTGTGACTTTGGTCAGCATCCTTGTTGACATCGAAGTTGTCTTCGAGGAAGGACTGCTTACCAAAGTACGGATCCAATATGATGCCCAGCTGCGGAGAGCTGAGCAGGAAAGATGTGACAAAACGCCATATCTCAGGCGGCAGTTTGAAGAGTCTGCTCTCATCGAAGTAGAGCCAGCCGATCGGCAACAGTCCGAAGTGACCTGTGATGGAAATAACGAGAATGGCCGTCGCCAATGTCCTGAAGCAAGTTGGTATGTGTCCATGGAGGCTCTTTGCCAGCTCTTGCACACGATATCGGGCGTGGGAAGAAACCAGCTCAGACGGCAAAGCTCACCTAGCCATTGGTGGCGCCTGCCAGTAGGCCGCCATGATTTCAGACGACATCTTGTCGAGATCTGTGCGTGCGGTGGGTGTGATGTGATGTGATGTGGTGTTGTGGGGGGACTGAAAGCAAGATGCTGATTCTTGTTCTTCGATTTCTCAAAGTTCAAGTCGGCATCCTTCTGTAGAAAAGGTGGAAGGGGGAAAAGGCCAAAGGCAGCGGTGGAGTGTAACGCTGCCTGGAGATGGCAAGACAGACGTTGGTGAATCGTGTCTTTTTGAGGAATGGTGGAAGGAAGAAGAAATTGCAGCCAACGAAGCACGCCCTTTTATGGAAGCCCGGTCCTTCAGTGGGGCAGGTGTATTTCTGGTGGGGTAATTGGAGCTTTGGCCGCCGATTGATGTGTGTCTTGGCAGGGCAAGCGCGGGAGTGGACAAGCTTCGTCGGCGCCCGGGGCGATCTTCTCCCGGCAAGAAGAACCGTCCGTTTGTTGCAGGTGGCATATGACGCCCCGCTCGATGCCGCTTGTTTGCCCTGACGGCACGCCCTTTGCGCTTGTACCTTTTCAATAGTTGCTGTGAGTTGTGACTCAAATGTTGACAATGAAGCCAGCTCAGATGGAGAGAATCAAGATAAAAGGCATGGCTTCAGACCGGTTTGTATCTCAGGAGAAAATACCAAGTTTTGTGTCTCAATTGAATTGTTCAAGTTGAACTTGTTTGTGCTTTCTTTTACATCCGTCTCCCACTGGCTCCGATACCGCGCTCGGCGCATCGTGGACCGTGTACCCTTGTGACCTCACAGATACTGAATAAGAGCGCTTTTTCGATTGTTTACTTTCTGATAAGAGAATCACCAACCCAAGCCACCCCTATCCCCAGAAACCTCCGGACTCAGCATCTTGCAGCAGTGATGGAGAGCCTCAACGGCTGTGTTCTCAGCCAATTGAGGCAGTCTGGTGCCCAATTGACTCGTACCCTTCAAAAGGTCCAGTCCCGATCCTACTCGGCTCCCGTCAGCGGCTCCATCCCCGCGGCCAAGAAGAAGTATGTCCCTACTTCCGGCACTTACCCTCTGGGCTTCTCAGCTTCCGGTATCAACGTAGGCGTCAAGCCAAAGAACACCACCAAGCCCGATGTTTGCCTTGTCGCCTCGGACCGTCCCTGTGCTGCCGCCGCCGTCTTCACCAAGAACAAGTTCCAGGCCGCCCCCGTCACTTTCAGCCGTAGCTTGCTGCAGAAGAAGGGCAACCAGGGTATTCAGGGTGTTGTTGTCAACTCGGGATGCGCGAACGCCGTCACCGGCAAGGGAGGTTTGGAGGATGCTGGCAAGATGGCTCAGGCCGCCGATGAGTGCTTCGGCCAGAGTGAGAGCACCCTCGTCATGAGCACTGGTGTCATCGGCCAGCGTCTTCCCATCGAGAAGATCACCAGCAACATCCCCCGGGCTCACAAGGCTATGGGATCTTCTCACGACCACTGGCTCACAGCTGCCAAGGCTATCTGCACTACCGATACCTTCCCCAAGCTCATCTCTCGCTCCTTCAAGCTTCCCTCCTCCCCTTCGGTTGAGTACCGCATTGCCGGCATGACCAAGGGAGCTGGTATGATCCACCCCAACATGGCCACCCTTCTTGGTATCATCGCCACCGATGCTCCCGTTTCTTCCACCGTCCTTCCCGCCGTTCTCAAGCACGCCGTCGACCGTTCGTTCAACAGCATTACCATCGATGGAGACACTTCCACCAACGACACTGTTGCTCTTCTTGCCAACGGTGCTGCTGGCGGAAAGGAGGTTGTCGCCAACACTCCCGACTACGATGCCTTCCAGACTGTCCTGACCGATTTCTCTACCGACCTTGCCAAGCTCATTGTCCGTGATGGCGAGGGTGCCACCAAGTTCGTCACCATCCGCGTTGTCGAGGCCGCCAGCGAGGAGGCTGCCAGGAAGATTGCCAGCACCATTGCCCGCTCTCCCTTGGTCAAGACTGCTCTCTACGGCAAGGACGCTAACTGGGGCCGTATCCTCTGCGCTACTGGCTACTCCCTTGTCTCCGAGCCTGGTCTTCCCGTCAACGATATCCCCGAGGTTGTCCCTGAGAAGACCAACGTCTCTTTCATCCCCACTGACGGTACTGCTGAGCTGAAGCTGCTCGTCAACGGCGAGCCTGAGCAGGTTGATGAGGCCCGTGCTGCTGAGATCCTCGAGCTTGAGGACCTTGAGATTCTTGTTAGACTTGGAACTGGTGACAAGCAGGCCACCTACTGGACTTGCGACTACAGCCACGAGTACATGTAAGTTGATCGGCCTCCATATGAACTTGAGTGACAGACTGCTGACATTGCTATGAACAGTACTATTAATGGAGACTACCGCACGTAAGAAAACACTAATGAGGCGTTATGTTACTTAGGGAGGATACCCGGAGGTATACAGGATAGAAAAAGTCATTTACAGCCATGCTCTGTGCCTCCTTCCCGTTCTTCTTTTCCTACTTCTTGATGCTACGCATAGAATATTCGCTATTTCAACTAGAGGCATCTTGGACAATACTTCATCTTTGTATACTCAATTGGCTTAGATTGATCGGATTGAAGTGTAATTGAAAGGCACCACCATGTGTCACGTCACTTGAGGCATATGCTCACAAAAGGTCCGTTTATGGGTGGGTTTTCGGGGATGGCGGGCTAGATTCTACTCATCACAACGGTCTCAATAAAAAAGCCACCCAATGAGAATCATATGACTTCAGTCTTCGAAAAATCCGTTTAGGTTTCTTGTTTGATCAAGAGGGAAGGAACAAATGTCCGACACTGAGGGTCACTAAGAGCGTTCCCAGGGTTAGGGGAAAGCGACGTCGGCCAGATCCCTGCAAACCACTTAAAATCAGTGAACGCGACGCGTCGCGGGCACCACTGACCTTTCCCTCCAGGCAGCTCAAGAAATCGCAAACCAACCAACAAGACCATTGAGAGTCGCAAAACCCAGATTTCGAACATTTGAAAAGCTCAATCGCAAACTCTCATTCCACATCCACTCAATATGCCATCAGCTAAACCAGAAGAGAGGGGCGAGTCCTCAACGTCCATCTCCAAGGCAGCAACCTCGGTTTCAACAAGCTCCTCCCCCACCTACGAGCTACCATGGTGAGTCTACTCTGGGCAGAACAGAACCGCCGATTCTCCTTCGTACTTGAGAGTACTAGAAATGTGTTCTAGGGGAAAGATCAGAAGACATTTCTAATACTGGCGATTAGAACATCTGGCTAACCTACGGTCACAAAACAGGGTAGAAAAGTACAGACCGGTCTTCCTCGACGATGTGGTCGGCAACACAGAAACGATCGAGCGACTCAAGATCATCGCCAAGGAGGGCAACATGCCCCACGTCATCATATCCGGCATGCCTGGTATCGGCAAGACCACGAGTGTGTTGTGTCTGGCGAGACAATTACTAGGTGATGCGTACAAGGAGGCAGTGTTGGAGTTGAACGCCAGTGACGAGCGAGGTTAGTTAACAACTTAACAACTTCCCTCCCTACATACTACAGCTCCCATCTATACCACCAGTGCAGAGCAGGAAAAGGCAGTACGAAACGAGCTACGTCAACATTATTACCATATACTGACAAACACTCAAACAAAAACCAAACAGGCATCGAAGTAGTCCGCCAGCGCATCAAAGGCTTCGCCCAAAAGAAAGTCACCCTCCCTCCGGGCCGCCACAAGATCGTGATCCTCGACGAAGCCGACAGCATGACCTCTGGCGCGCAACAGGCGCTGCGCCGCACGATGGAGATCTACTCCAACACGACGCGCTTCGCCTTCGCGTGCAACCAATCCAACAAGATCATCGAGCCGCTGCAGTCGCGCTGCGCGATCCTGCGCTACGCCAAGCTGACGGACGCGCAAGTCGTCAAGCGGCTTTTGCAAATCATCGAGGCCGAGAAAGTCGAGTACTCGGACGACGGGCTGGCGGCGCTGGTGTTCAGCGCCGAGGGAGACATGCGGCAGGCGATCAACAACTTGCAATCGACGCACGCGGGCTTCGGGTTCGTGTCGGGGGATAACGTGTTCAAGGTGGTGGATAGTCCGCACCCGATCAAGGTGCAGGCCATGCTCAAGGCGTGCTACGAGGGGAACGTGGACGCAGCGCTGGATGGCCTCAGGGAGCTGTGGAACTTGGGGTACTCGAGTCATGATATTATTAGTACCATGTTCAAGGTCACCAAGACGATTCCGACGCTGAGCGAGCACGCCAAGCTGGAGTTTATCAAGGAGATTGGGTTCACGCATATGAAGATTCTGGAGGGCGTGCAGACGCTATTGCAGCTGAGCGGGTGCGTGGCGAGGTTGTGTAAGTTGAATATGGATCCGAAGAAGTTTGTGGCGCCGAAGAAGTGAATAGGGGTTTCTTCGAGCAAGGAAGAAGAACGAGGGATTATGGAAGGGATCATGAGGTGGGATGAAGAGTTTCTGAAAAAGATAATACCCGAGGGGCGCTATGTGTTGAATTTTGTTCGGCGTTGGTTTTGATGTTTGGTAAACTGGCATAGCATACTAGAATTACATTACAGAAAAAGGCATTGGCGGTTAGCAATGAGCATCTACAGTATAGCCAGCAGCGAAACTCGAAACACCGATGAGGTACCGGTGCTATGCATCGCATGTTTGATCGTCCAATGACGTCCATGTTTGTGTGTCCAAGTTACCGGAAAGAAGTAAGGTATAGAATCCATTTAGTTTTAATTTTCCCAGTCCTCACTAGTTGTTTTGTCTTGTGATCCTTATTATCAATCCGGTTGCCCGTTATTCCTCTTAGACATCTTTCAAAGGCCCAGTCAAGCATCCCTTTTCCTTACCAGCCATCTCACATTCCCATCCAAAAAAAATAACACAAAAGAAGTTTACCACAGTTTCAACATGTTCATCTCGAAGGCAAATCCATCCGTAGAAAGGCACCTTCAACCACAATCTGCAAGTCCCTCCTTCTTGGGAAACAAAAATTTCAAAGAAAAAGAGGAGAAAAAAAAAAGGTAGAAAAGAGGTCCCAGCACTAGTCTCTCAGACAGAAACAGGCGACAGCAAATCCGGAGGATAATACCTTCCATTGACTCTAGCCCCGCGACCGCCATTCGCGTTGCCATTTCCAACAGCAGGATCCCGGTGGTGAGGGTCAACAGAGTGTGTCCTCCTAGACGGCGGCTGCTGGGCGGATACCTTCCTACCTCTACTATCCCTCCCTCTCATTGATTCTTCAACTGGTGTTACCGGTCCTCGCCCATAAAACGCCTCGGGTTCATCGTCGAGAACTGGCTTTTGTTGGTGGTGCACATTGTTATGACTGCCATACGTTGTAGTGGGAAGCTGATAATGCTGCTGATGATAATGCGGCGTCGTCGGGCTTTGGGTGCTCGGCGTTGATGGAACTGTGCGTTGCTCACTGCCTCTTCTTGTGTACGAAGGCTGCCTGCTCCTGCTGGATGAGCGGGAACTCGAGGCGTATGAAGCAGGAGTATATTGGGGCGTTTGCGGGACTGGGGGTGGAGGATAGTTGAACGATGGCGGTATCTTGGGGTTTGATGCAGATGTACTCCTGAGTCTAGAGGGCACCCGTTCAACCGTGGGACGTTGACGGGGAGCTACTTGCGGTTGCGGCTCTTCCATTAGCCTCATATGGACTGGCTGCCCGGCACGCTGCTGCTGCTGCTGCTGGTTGTTTATCTCTGCTTCGGAAAACGTAGTCTTGAAGATGCTGGGGCTTGCGGCGATGGGGATCATGTTGAAAAGGTCATCGAAGCCCGTCTTGGCCGGTTTCCTTGCTGCTGGCCTTCTTGCACCTAGTTCGCCGAATTCATGCTCCCTCTCGTCTTCGTGTCTTGCCCGCCTTGGGTATTGGTCTGTTTGACCAGCGCGGGCCGACTGGTAGGAGTGATGGCTCGTGACAGGTGAGAGCATCTCCGGGCCCCTTGTTCGGCTGGGATTGCGCGATCTGCCACCAGATTTGTGTGTAGATCTGCTGGCTGACCTCGAGGGAGGAGTGTGGGATGGTTGGCGGCTGTAGTCAGTCCTGGCCGACACAGGCCAGTTCGGCTCAACCGGTGTGTTCACAGCAGGCGAAAAAGGCAATGGGGTTCGGTAGGCTGCTGACATAGGTGCGTCGTCGTAGGGTGTGATGGGGGGAGTACAAAGATCACGACTGGTAAAATAGTTTCCAGGCTTGACTCCGGATGGCATCCGCTTTGTAGTGATGGGGGGAAGTGTATGTGCACTTTTGTGAATGGGAATTTTGGGTCGCATAGCCATGACAGTCGGACTGGGATACACCGGGCTCTCTACAGCTTCTGCCCGTCCTACGTAAGCGTGCTTGCCACATCCTCCACAGTTGCCCTGGCAACCAGCGTACTCCTCCGCGCATGAATCGCTACAATCCTCTTCCTCGTCTTCCACGAGGCGAGAAGGCTTCGAAGGTATGTTCAAGGTTGGTCGTCTTCTGGCCTCGACTGGGCTGCGTCTGTCTGCCCCTATATGTCTGTTAGAAGCTGCGGCTTGCACTGCTGCCTCTGATTGTGTATGTGTTCTCACAGGGGAATATGGGGAGGTTGTGTTGGCTTGGCCGGGAGAAACTGGATTCCCAGTAGTGCCAGGGGTTGTCTGGGGCAAGTGCTCTTCATTGTTCTCGGTAGTGGCGTCAGGGCGATTGACGAGCTTTCCATAGGGCGGAGCATCGGTGTTGACGACCAGTAACTCCTTGGAACCACGGCCGAGGAGTCCATAAACAGACACCTCACCGTTCTTGATGCCAACAACGGCACTAGTGCCTGCGTACAAGACATCGTCTTCCATGCCGCAGCGATTGCAGAAAACAACAATGAGTTCCTCGTCGCTTTCGCCTCGAATAACGGGCTCAAATCGTTGAAGCCAGTATGTCATGGTTGCCAGGTCGGGTTCCTTGGCGAGAGGAGTGAAGGTTTCAGGATCCTCATGGGTAAGCCAGGCCATTGATAGAATGACTAGGTTTGCTCGAACTTCAAGGACGTGGAAAGCGAACTCGAACTTGTGCCAGGGTGCCTCGAATTTGTAGGGACTATGACTCGTTAGCTACATTCAACAAAAGTAAAGTGCGTGTAGAACATACTTGATGTCCATACCTGCGAGAAAGTTAGTAAGAGTGTCGCTTGGATAGTCGATAAAAGCATTGTAGTTCAATATACTCACAAATTCCCATGGCTACATTGCCCAAGCCCTCCATTCTACCACCATAGAATCCTCCACCTTCCAGGGCCCAAGTCTGGTCAGTGTAGTAGAGGAAAGACTTGCGGTAGTTTGCAACAGTTTCGCCGTCACCGTTGACAACAAGCAGTGAGTTGTAGTACTCGGGAGAGGATCCACGAGGTGAGCCTGAAGACCCGACCCTTTCGGGATAGCCGACGGCGACAGTACAATCGTACTTGAGAGCATTTGTACGTGCCCATAATGCACTGATTCCAGATCCCGATGGTTCGAGGAAGGGCTGTATTTCGTCTAGAGATTTGAAGTTGTATCCTTTTTTACGATGTCAGTTCCCATATTGAATGAGATTTATGGTAGATGAGAAGCAGAAGCTGCTTACCAGAAAAGGCCATCTCGGGAAGGACGAGTAGGTCTAGATCCTCCAGTTCCCTCTGATCGGCCTTGGCCAAGACGGCGTCGGCACGACTGAGGTTGTTGGAGACATCCCCGACTTGGGGTGCGAATTGAAGACACCCGATCCGCATGGTGGCCGAGTATAGACTTGTAAGTTGGTGTTTCTGTTGTTTTCCCGGCGGTCTCAACTTATTATTTGGCCGAGCGCGCTTTAGTGGCGCAGCAAGCGTTGTCTCGTAACTGCCGTAGACTTTGCTTTAGTGCTGACCTTGGCGACTGTGACGCCGACGGGTCGCTGTAAGTCGATTTCTCCAGCGTTGATGGTGTTGACGAACGGAGAGATATTCGAAAAGGTCTCGATGGAGCTGGTTGTTTTGAGGACTGGAGACGACAGTTGGAGCTGTGCCTAGTGTTTCGGTATCAAAAAGAAAACAGGCGAGAAAGGGCAGTAGCGGCGGGAATTGGCGTGAGGGAAAGGGTAGGTAGAGGCGTTGGTTCCTTCCTTCCGTTGTGTTGGAATCCCCTTGGGTCGCGTCCTTCTCGTTTCGTCGAGCTGGAAAGTGTGGTAACACGGAGGCGTCTTGGACCTGCGCTGGGATATTTTTGGACCCTTATCCCCAGGAATGTATGCGGGCGTCGAGGTTGTGTTAAGAGGCACGAACTGCCCTTTTTCTTCTTCTTGTTTCGTTTCGAGTTCGATGCAACTGAAAAGAGTCGGAAGCAGCAAGACAAGTGGAAGATGAAGACGACGGGCGCATGGAAAGTATGCAACACAGCAGGACGCTTCTACCCCGTACCTACAGCTTTGTGTAACGGTTCGTACTTCATTCTCTCGGACAACGAGAAAAACAAGTGTGAATGGCCAGCCGACTCGCCATCATATTGCCGTCTTGCCGCCATTGGGGTTTCTCACTTGCCAATGTCTGCCGTAGAAGGAAGGCATTGGCGGGCACCCGGGGAGGGAGTGGGATGATTAAGATGGCACGATGGGGTCCGAATCCGTTAGGCTTCTTCAGGTAGACTACGGGGTACCCTCACGGCAAGATTTGGTTGGTCGGTACCTCGCCTCATAACTTGGCTTGCCCCTGACTTCCCGTCTGCAAGAGATCTCGGCAGCCTGCGCTAGCGGAACAGCGCTGGAGGGCCACTGCCAATGTTGTGCGAGAGTTGAGTGCGGATCGCGAGAATCATGGCAAATGTGATCAGGTCGTCAAGGGCCTCATCACACTTGCCTTTACAGATTTTGTCTAGACTGGTCACATTAGCAAAGCTGAATGGCGAACCGCGCAACGCCGAACCAGGAACACGAACGAGAAATTGTGCGAATAAAGGGGAATCAAGCAGAGATAAGCCACAACATCCAATGGCTTCTCTCAGGTGTTTTGTGTCAACTGTTTCCAAGGGGCACCTGCATGATATGAGACTCTGTACGAAAACCTATCCCGGCATTTGTACGGCGGCTCCTCAGTGCTCAGTCCAGGTGTGTGTTTGAGTTTTGAAGCTTCCCCGCTCTTACAGATCAAACATAACGGTTCGCGGTTCGCGAGGGAGTGCCCTGCATCATTGATCAACACCTCATGGGGTCAGATATCAATTTGTGATGGCAGTCAATATCAAAGGAATGTGAAAGGGCAAAGTGACTGTGACGGCAGCGAAATGCGAGATGGTCAAATGCAGGTCCAGACTCGATGCCCATGTGTCGTCCAATTCGCCAATCCGTAGAGTTGTGATCTGGTTCTTGGCTTATATAAGTGTCATGATTGGTCAGTTAGCGTTAATGAACAACCCCACACTGTCAGTTCTCAGATTCGTTTCAACCTCCAGCAAGCGTTTCTTCCTTTCAACTGTCCTCTCTTCTTGCCAACATCCAATCCCATGTCCATGACTGGCCAAAGACACTTCCGGGTTGAACGATAATCCAACTTCAATTTCCTTCATCATTTCTGCTATCCGCCCATATCACCAACTGGTTGGGGCCAACTTCCGCCTCCAACACGCCTATTCTTTCATGCGGCCAACCAAATGACCGTCAACTAGCAATGCCACCCAAATCCACACGCCTTACACAAGTTGGGCATGGTCACTTGCCGCCTTCCGGGGTCATTCACAACGTCACTCGACGACTTCAAACATCTCAAGCCTTTTGTTCTTGGTTGCCGGTGCCATTTCTTTGTCATTTATAGACCCAGTTGGGAAGGCCAAAAAGAACCAACTAGTCTCCTGGCGACAAGCTACGTATAGCACGTCAGAGCAGCCATGAAGTCGTGGTCATCATGCTGCTGATACAATGGGGTCGAGCGTACGTCTGCCTGCCTCCAAGATGAAGTATGTATGCTAGGAGGGTGAAGTCGGGCATGGGCAGACAGGCCTACCGAGTTGAGCAAGTATATGCTCTACTTTGCACTTTGGAAATTTACTTGTCTGACATTTCGGATGTTTCATTTCGCAACTTATCCGTCTGGTGTCTTTAGTCCAGATGGGTTTCGGTATTTTACGGAATGAGTTGCCCATCACCAGCGAGTGTAGTCTCAGCACTTCTCCCTTGACAATCCATTTCAAACGCTGTAGTCTACCCAGTGGTACATATACTATCACGTTGAGATCTTTACCTTCTGCCCCTATCCCTCGCATCTTAGGAGTGCTCTTGGAACTTCGGGCTGCTCGTCAACAGAGCGAAGAAACAGCCAAGAAGGGTTTAACGTGCTGCCTATTTAATGTCATGATGGGCAGGAAGACTTCATACTGCGGGACGAAAGCCTTTCAAGAGTTGCGTTATTAACTCAAGAGGCCCTAGGGTTGAAAGTGATCTTATTTCTGGTCAACCTACAGCGACGGGAATCAGCATGAGACACGGAATTTTGAATTACATCTTCCTTAACAGCGCAATTCAATAGTTCTTCCTCAGAACGAAAAAGATATTGCCAAGGTGTTGCAATTGCACCATACGCCAGACCTTATTGATTGGACAACAATACTCCCAATATCACGCTAAGCCTTTTCTGTTACGGTCTACGAATCGCCCTAAATGTTACCGTACCCCGTCTCACTTGCTGACTGCAGCGCCTTGCAGTATAATCCTCCACCGAATCCTTCACTCTCACGTCCAAGATTCCGATGCTGGCAGCCAAATGCGATTTCGAAGTTTGAAACCTTGTTCGGTTGCTGTACTAGCGGCCGCCCTGCCTGCTCAAAACCTCCGCCAAGGCTCGATGATGAATCCTATCTTGGACTTGAATGGGGTTTGGTTGCCTGGGGAGGCACCAATATGAGCCATTATCTTCTTTCTAACGAGTCTATGGGACAGCATATACCACGAAATCACGGTCACAACCGAAGCCGGTGTCAGCATAATCCGGCAAGTTGTCCACATACGGACAGAGCCATCATGTTGGTGAGCCGTTAGTGTCATCCGAGCACCTCGGAAAAGGAATGTCAGCAGCGTATCCCATGGAAACTTGCCGGCGGGATGTCAGTATTGTTGGTATGTCGTCTGTATCCAGTCTGACATTGGATCATAACGATGGGGGTCTGGTGAGATGGTTACAAGGGAGATCCTTAGGGTTGCGACTCGTGAGCTCACTGGGCGCCTGGGTAGAGCCAGGTGAGTCTTCTATATAAAGCTTCGAAACCGATCCTTTACGTGCTTTGTTGTTGACTTTCGTTGTCATCAAGAGCTATCGCAGAGGAAGCCAGACAACCCAAAACATGCCTAAGCAAGAAGTCTATCGCCTTCGTTCCTTAGGATGGGAGAGCGACCCAGAGGAGGAAAAGCTGAAGCTCTCTACCCTCGACTATATCTCGGTCAGCACCTACAACAACTATTGCCTCTTCTTCAGGCTCGATGATGCTCTCAAACCCAGAGCTGTTCAAGTCCTCAAAGAAGGCCTCGAGCGGACGTTGAGTCAGGCCAGACACTTGGTTGGCAGAATCGAAAGAGATCCCGAGGGCGGCTACCACATCTTGAGAAACAGGGACGACACGGTTGAGTTCCATGTCCAATGGCTCGATGCCCCCGAGGACGCAGAAAAATACCCATCCATCGACGACATCCAGCGTACGAACTTCAGCACCGTGACTCTGGGCAATCTCGAGCAATGGAGTGTCTTGCCCATGACATATGGAGAGAGGCCCGAGGCAAACATCGAGGCCCTTCCCATTGTGGCCGCTTTTAAGATCAATTTTGTCAGGGGAGGCTTGACATTCCACATGCACCATCACCATTTCACCAACGACGTGATGGGTTGGTATGGTTACGCGCGACAGATAGCAGAGAACTGCAATGCCATCTTCAACAACACATCATTCCCACCCTGGGACCCCGCGGCCCTCAACCTCTCACGCCTATGCAAGCCCCAGCCATCGCCAGATGCCATGATCACCGTACCTCCAGCACTAAAACGCCATCCAGGCCATAGCAAGGGCGTATCACTGCTCTTCCACCTCCCCAAGAGCAAAGAAGCGAAGCTGAAGAACCTCTGCTCGCCCGCAGACGGCTTGGTCCCTTTCATCTCCACCTACGACTGCTTCAACGCCTTCATCTACCGCACCCTAACCCGTCTCCGCGCCCCCGTTTACAATTACCCCTCCGACACCAAGCTCTTCTGGGGCGAAGCCATCGACATGCGTCGCCGTCTTCAGAACCCCAGACCCGCTCCCCGCCTCCGAGGCAACGTCATGTTCTGCGCCCTCTCCACCAACTCTGCCGTCGAGCAACCGACACTCGCACAAGTAGCCTCCGAATGGTCCATATCCAGGCTGGCGACCTACGTCCGCCAGATGACGGACAGCGTGACGCCTGAGGCGCTGGACGCGGCGCTCGAGATGGTGAATATAGTCAGCAACAAAGCAGATCTGTGCCTGAGCGTGGACGGGACGCCCCCCATGTCCGTTCTTCTGACCGATCATCGCGATGCCTATTTTGGAGATGTGAGCTTTGGGTTTGGCACGCCCTTGGCGTACCGTCATTTGGCGGATAGGATCACAAATGGGCTGATTATATTTTATCCGCCGAGGGATTTGAGCCCGGAGTCTGATGAGGGGGTGGAGTTCATTGTGTACTATGAGAAGAGGTTGGCGAAGACGCTGATTGAGGATCCGGAGTGGTGCGAGTTTATGGAGTATAGGGGCGTGGAGGCTGAGGATTCTGTGGTGAGGGAGGGTGATGAGGAAGATGAAGCGGCCAAGGTTGTCGAGAAGGTTATAGTACAGGACGATAAGAAGGGATGGATGGAGAGTGTGACGGTCGAGGAGGTGTTGCCTACGCCTCTGGCGTAATTTCCGTTCCACTTCGTACCTGGGAGAATGTCACTTTTTTTTCCGTTGAATGACTCTCACAACGCAGTTCATGAATAATGACAGCCTTGTTCTTCCAATCCACCAGTTTGATGCAATCCCAACACTGTAGTCACGTTACACAACCTTTCTACGAAAGCTAGCATACAACCAGCCAACCCGAAGGTACAGTCTAATACTCGTTTGTTTGTTAGCTCGAGACCTCCGGTCATTCTTCCTAGGCGTTAGCATGCCTAATTGATCCGTTTCTTGCCATATCAGAAGCGTAATTTCATATTGCATATACCCTCTAGACTCTTTTCAATGCCTTTTCAATCTGTACTTAGCCATTCAATACTATCCTTATAAAGTTTAGGACAGTTTGGGATAGATCGTGTCTAGTGTGATAGGTGCACCGAACTAACAAACAAACCAGCATTGTATTGTAAAACGACTGGATAGGTAATGCCCTCCTCCATCAAAACTCTACCAATGCATTTCCTCAACCTTCTCAGATATCAGTCCATGGGATCCTTCTAAAGACTTTGCGAATCAGTGACACTTCTCTACCCCTCACTTTCCAAAACCGAGGGAGATCCCGCTGTCCAGCGGCACAAAAGAGGCCGTCGTTGTCAGCGCCGCCACACACGTGCGTCTTAACCGTCTTGCCGTCCCGTTCCTTCTGTCGGGGACTTTGTTTTAGGCGGGTTTTGAGACCCCATCCGTCAGAAAGCAAAGAACTTTGGTGTCCCCGTTCCTAACGCCGTACATATGACAATTCTGCAAAAGAACACAGATGATGATAGGTAGGCATACAGGTTTTGGAATTGCGAAGTTCGTTACTGGTGAGTAGTCCCGAAGCCTTTTCTTTGCGACGATCAATGATAACGAGTGTTCTTGGCTAGCAAATAATTGTCAATAGAGCCAATGCAAATGTCAGCATGTCAACACCCACAACCTCCATGTTCCGTGTTTTGGTTATTTGTATGCCGAACCTTTGTCGCTGTTCGCTATAGGTATTTCCCTTTTGGGATAACAGTCTCAAACTGGTCTCCCAACCCGCCAAACCCGAATCAAATCAACCGCAATGAGCTTCCCCAGGGTTTCAAAAGGACCAGCGGCATATGAAAGGGTACTTTTGTAAGAATGTTTCTGCAACCGCCTTAGTCGCATCAGGAGAATGATCTCGGGTTCTGATCTCGGGTGAGAATCTCGGATCTAAATCATTGACTACCTCTAGGCCTGGAGCCTTTCCGCTGTAGATTGGTTACTGGTTCCCACTTAAGTTAAGAGAATAAACACTTAGAGGAAAGAGAGATCGTCCACCAAGTATTGCAGTCGAATCATATAAAATCAGCAACAGCCTGAGAATTCAGGAAGTGACAAACTAGTCCTTCCATCTCTCTCTCGTCATCATCATCATACTGAAATCCTTCAAAACCACTACCAAGCAACATCCAAGAAACAGAAAGTTCCCCCCTCATTATCATCACCGTCACACACAAACACATCAACGTCGACACTCACTACATCCAGGACTGCCCAAAAGTCCTTCCCATTCAAACAACACCCAGCCATCAATCACCCCATCACCACACCCCAGCAACCAACCATGTCTTCCCCAGCCGAATCCCGCATCCAATCCCAAAAACTCCGCTACTGCCGGTACGCCGACACCCAGCAATTCCCCCTCCTAACCTCCGTCGTCCTGCCCTCCTGCACCTTCAAGTTCATCGACTACTTTTCCTCCTCGCCCATCGTCGAACCGTCCGCCTCCGGGCCCGTGACGCTCGGGTTCGACTCGCTCGCATCATGGACAGCCTACTTTTCCGAGAAGTTCAAGGCGCTGCAGACTATGCACTTGATTTCGGGGACGGCGGAGTTTACGCAGATCAGCGAGGACGAATATGAGGTTATTTTTGCCGTCATTTATCATGCGGCGCCGAAGGAAGGGGAGACGGGGTGGCAGGGGGCTGGGGGTGGGCATTATTATGAGAGGTGGGTTAGGGGACTTGATGAGACGGGACAAGAGGATTGGTTTATGAAGAGTTTGAGGTTTGAGAGGTTGTATTGGAAGTATGTGGAGTGAGTTTGGGCAAGTTAGTGAGGTTGTGGTGGCAGGTTTGGGAAGGGGGGAGAGAGGGGTCTGAAGAAGTGAGCTGGCTTTGGTGGTTGGAGGTTGAGGGAACGGAAGAAGAACACCAAGGATGTTGTTGGCTATTGTTTGGTCTACTTGGAAGGGATCAAGTAAGGGGATGGCAAGACGGCGAGAAATACGTCCGGTACAGAACAGTTTGAACTATAAAAATGTTGCTACGAATATCTCGGTTATGGCGTCTTGGAAAGCAACAAGACGAGTATTTTTCCGGTAAGAGTTGGCGACTTTAACGGAAAGAATGACAGAATGTTAAACATGAAGTTAAGATGCGTTTGCTGGGGTCAGTGACCGGAATCCCCATCTGATACTCTCACTTCGATCTCTGTGTATACCATGTGAGCTCCCTCTCTGCCGCTGGGCATTCGGGAGGAAATCTTGAAACAGACTGCCGACCGAGAAACGTCAAGCTTAAATGCTCCAATCTCGACTTCACATAGGACCTAGATTATTCTGGCGGCTCAGAAAAGGGGTACGGGCATCTCCTCACCCGGCGGTTCGGCACATCAATCTTGACCTCAAGGGCTCTAACCCAGGACCATCCGGAACTCAAACTTACTTCCCCTTTCTTTCCATCAAGTGTGCCGAAGCGGCAGTGATAATGACTGGGGAAAAGCTGAGCGGCAATGAATCGAAGGGGCACCGAAAGGTCTTCACAATGCCCATGTCATACTACAAATCACTGCCTCCTGTCCTACCGGCGGCACGGTTGTATAACACAAAATACTAAAGCCTGCATAGAACGCCGAAGACGCACCAGATTGCCCAGACAACCAAAGAGTGTCCCGCTGGATTGGGTGGATGGTCGGCAAACGCCTTGTATGCGTACGTAGTAATGTTGAGGAGCATTGAGTATTGCACTAGTGAACCCAAGTATCGTCAAGCTTTTTGGCCAAGGTACCAGATGTTGCGTGCACCGGATCTGAGGATGCTGATATCAGCGATAGACTCGGTGGTTGTAGGAATAGAGTATGGGAATTGGAACCGTGCAGAAGTGCTTTTGCCGCTGAGTGGTGAGCAGCAACCTAGCTCAGACCTGAAGGTTACGTTCGCTGGAAATTCGCACGTTCAGACGACATCTCCCCTTCCATATTCGGCGAGTATCCTATCCGAGCATATGAGGCCCATCCCTCTTGCGCTCTGCCTCATGTCACCTTCATATATGCTCATTCCCTAATTTCTAATCTCTTCATCTTTTGGTAAGAGATCGACCAAGCAACCAACTCGGCCATCTAGTAAGCAACAGGCAGCGAGGCGAGCGAGGTTGATACGCGATAGTGTACCTAGGACCCAATGGCAGTACATAGAACAAGGTCTTCAGCCGTTCGGGCCCCAGTGCCATATCACGGTAGCGTCCACTAAACATTTAGTGCGCAGTACAGCGGCAATACCAAATTGCTGGGTCCATCTGTGGTGCCGTGTACCGTGTGCGCGCCGAGGCCGTGCGACGGCAGCCGGTCGCTGACGGGCTGGATGATGTATGAGACGAGAAGCGCAAGGAAGTGTGGTAACAAAGGGTAGGTGGTATTTGTGATAATATGTCGTGCTTGAAGCCTGTCGCCATGATAGCCATGATTGGGTCCGGCCATGTGTTGAAGAACTCTCCGGACCATGGATCGAACACGGAGTGATAATGGCTTTAACCGGATAATACCCATGGAGCCTGTGAAGGTCATTGTTGACTGACTGCCAGGGAAAGGGGAAGATAACAACATGTTAACAACATAAAGGATAATAGTGCGACATTGTCTCATCAACTATGCGATACTCACACTGCATCTTCTTCGTCACGCACTCTGGTCAATGTCTGGTTGTAAACGACATCCAAGCCCAACAAGTGACGAGAAATGGTAAGGTTCCAGCCGGCGGCTAAGGCCTGGTCGTCCAAAGTCCACAGTGGAGCTTATGACGACTTGATTCATTTCTTTTCTTCGCTTTTGAAGAAAATGGCAAACATCGAGAGATGAAGACAAGAGTTGAAATGGGAATTATCTTCGGCACATCAGATACATACCTTGACCAGCTCAGCCAGGTACGTACAGTGCCTCGGCTGCGGTCTCTTCCACTCGATGGTGGGTGGGGGTTGGCGGCGTTGGATGTGTGGGATGAGAGGTGAGACACTTGTCGTGAATGTGTGCATCTCATCAATGTCGCGCAGCACACACACAGAGAGCCATAACGGTTGGGTCGCTGAGATGATGACCACCTGTGTGTGACCAACGATTCCAAGTTCCAGTGGAAGCGAGAACAAGTGGTGCAACGTGAGGGAGTCGGCTGAATACTTGGTTGGCCCAAGGCGAACAACCATTGAGCCCGCTTGTCCAAGTTGCCCTCTCTGCCCTCTCTCGCCATCATGTCGCAGCCACAGCCTCTCTGAGAATATCACGACCAACACCTTACGGCCATCCAGGTGAAGGCCAGCCAAGAGGTGGCCTGTTCGGTCGGGCGACTTCCATTCCCACCTGTCTTCGACTGATGATGATCGGTAGGACGAGAGATATCGGGAAATGAGGCAAAGGCTAGAGTGGTCGAAACTGGCGATCGAGTCTTTGCCGGATCGGGAGGGACCGTTGATGAAGAAAGGAAAAGATTTTGATGAGAGAGATGAAGTGATGTGATGTGACTGGCCGAGATTGTCGCTGTTGCCGGACGGGAAGACCCCGACAAGTGGAGTAAAGAGGGAAGCAGGAACCGAAGCGTGAAAAGGCTTGAAATGTTCACGGTGCTCAGCGATGTGCTCAGGCCGCCGGGGGCCCTTGCAGGCAAACCACCGCCGACGTCGCATCTAGGCCATCTGATTGGTCAATGAGGTTCCTGCGCAATGCATGGGCCGTGATGGGGCCAGACGGTTTAGTGGTGACCGTCCCTCTTAGCTACAGCTTCCCGGCCTTGGCGAGCTCGCAACACTCTTCAGCCAACTTCCCAAGCCTCCATCCACGGGCGCGTTCGAAATTTCGACGCACGAATCCGTTTTGTTGATCCGAGTACAAAGCGAAATATGCAGTTTTCAATTGGTACTGGCTGGTACCCTTCTTGCCAAGGCCTTGGCGGACGACAGGATGGCAGTTACACCGTATGATTTGGTTGAAAAAGGATAATATTTAGAAACGAACAAAAGTAGCACCATTCAATAGCCATAGATTTAGATTATTTATTTTCAAATTTTGAAAAAGTGCATCAATGAAATAGTTGAGCCATTATTGATTACCTATAAAAAAATAGCTTTTTCTTGTATTTTTAGATCAATAAGTCCTAGCAATTTTTTTGAAAGTTAATTGGCTATATGCAAGCAAATGCATCAAAACGCTAACTTCTAAGCCCTCTTAGTTAATTAGGTACTTCCTCAGCTCTCGAGTGCCCTTATGTAGTAAATATGTATCAGATTTATTGTAATTGTGTTAATGTGTGGATTATTAAATAGAGCTAGCCAGAGCAACTTCTTCAGTAAGTTTAGGAGCACTGAAGTATCTTATATTTGCTAAGCCCACAAGTCAATCGTATATAAATCTCTTTATTAAAATGAGTATTAATAAATTTATTAACTATATTGTAATGAATTAATTCAAAGTTTGAACAAGTAGTTAGTACAATAACAGATTTAAAAGACGTTCTAGCTAATATAGAAATATATATATTAATACTAATATTTTGTTGTTAATTTCTACAGATTAAGGATTTTGCTTTAATTTTATTAAATTGCCTATTTTTAAAGAATTTTATAAATGTAAGCTTATATATAATCTAAGATTTATTTACTATGCATATGAAGGATATCTTTGTTAATTTTTACCTAAGTACGTATATTCTCAAAGCTATTGATATCAATTTATTTAATTACTTTAAGTTCATTTCTGAAGGGGTAATTATCAAAATTATAATAATTTTTAAGTATAATAAGAGAATTCCTATAATATAGCCTATTGAAACGGCTATGTTTTAAAATCAATTTCTATACTTCCGCCTTAGGTATATTTCTTTCGTCAGTTTTTATTATTAATTGATATGTTTTTATTATATTGAGCGTACTTTTCTAAAGTTCAAGATGATAGTAGTAGTCTTAAATTGCACAATCTAGTTAGTTGATTGAATAGTTTATATAAAGCGCAGCAAGTAGAATATTTATGGGTAATAAACAATTTTCTATAATATACTCTAGTAATATTTTATATCCTAATTTTATAGTTTTAACGAATTTGCTATTATTGATTTAGAAAATCTCTTAACTGTAACTAAGGAAGTTAACTAGTAATCATTCAACATTGGCGTTACTTATATTGTTAAAGAGGTTTTAACATTCCTATAGGAAGTAATACAACTTTATTACTTCCGAAGTAAGTACGAACTTATTAAATTAGTTAAATAGTTTAATGACTTTATTATTAGTTAGTCGAACTTTTCCTTACACTAAGATTTATATAAAAGATAAAGATTATGTATTTTCTCCATTGAAGATTACGTCTTTTATTTGAATTCCTTATTTTACATGGGGATTTTATATATAATAAATATAAATTACTAAATACCTAGTTCAGTATCTGATTTATATTCTTAAGAAACATTTTTATCAATAATACTCTTTCTTCTCAATAGTACTAGTAATTATAAAAGCTTTTTAACTATAAACCTTCAAGTGATTAAAGTTTAAACGTTGCGTCTTTTATTAATTGTGTTAATATATAATATATGTTCAAAATAATCGAAAGAAAATTTTCAATTGTAAAAGGATTGTAGAAAGAGGTTGAATAGATATATTACTACATAAGTAATTTCTAGTTACAAATTTATTAATAGAGCGTTACATTTCTTCCTTATTATGCTCTTTAAATATTCTACCTCGCCGTTTTACATTCAAATATTGAAAATAAAAGACTAAAAATAATTCTTCACTAAGCGATTTTATATTTGATATTCTTCACTATAAATTAGTCATTGTATTTCAAATTTTTAATTTTAATATTGTCTTATTACCATAGTATATTTATATACTTAATGAATGTTGTAATAATAGTTCTAAATTATTACTATGTTAAATAATAATTCTCTATATAACTAAATTACTGATAGATAATAAATAGTAAGTATTTATAATTATAAATTCCTTTTTCAAATTCGAAGAAGTTGACGGCGAATTCCTTTCCTAAATTATAATTATAATTACGTTAAATCTTACTAATTTATTATTCAATTTTTATTATTGCGTAATCATTGTATTTAATAATAAGCATACTACGAGGATTCTAATTAGTAAATCTAGTTTCGTTAACGTTTTTTGTATAACTGAATACTTATATATGATGGGCTGAAATGCATATGCCTAAACCGCCAAACCTATAAAAGATAGAACAATGTTCTGCTTGCAAGACAGAACTGGGAATGCACAATATATAGCCAATGCCAACTTGTAACAACGTTCTAGTTAGTAGAGTAATAGCGTCGAAATACTTTTATTTAGCTCAGTTTTATTCATTAGTATTATTATAATTTGTAGCTACTTTTGAATTATAATACTAAGTATAAGTATTTTATTTCTTATTTATAATTGGATTTTAAAATTCATAGTTAATTCCTATTTTCAGTTAAATACGTATTACTTTGTTTCCCGTTTTGAATTTTATTTAGTCTTTTATTTTATTAGAATAAAAGAAGAAGATATTCTTATAAACTATTTACTAAATAGATTCTTTTCTGCAATTATAATATTTACCTTGATTTCGTCCTTAACTTTATATTCGATAAGAACTTACGTAGCTAAATTTTGCGGGTTAACCACGATTTGATAAGTAATTTCTTTATTTAAGATACGAAATTGTTACTTAGTTTCAGTAATATTCGTTTTAGCTACTTTTTTAACAAGGAAATTATTAGGCTTAATAAAATGAGTTTTATAAGTTTAGTAATATTACTTAAAAAGCTCTTAGTTGACCGCGTTGAGGTTGTATTTAATTTATAATATATTTCCTAGCGAATTCAATTGGCGCTATTATGTAGGAGTATAATATTAGACTTATTTTCATTAGTAAGCTTTAAAAGAGACATTGTAATAGTCTTGTTGTTGTTATTATAGATTAATTATACTAATTATTGTATTAATGAAGCGCTTATTTAACTATTAATTATTAGATCTATTATAATTGTATTAATATGTACACTATTAAGTAGAGCTAGCCAAAGCAATTTCTCTAGTAGGGCTGGAGGCATTGGAGTATCTTATATTTACCAAGCCCAAAAGTTAGCTGACTGACCCTACAGACTAGGCTATATATGGCTGGAATTTCACCCTGGAGCAGTGTGATCAACTGCATATTTACAACAGGGGTCGATTTTGTATGGGAATCGGATTCGTGCGTCGAAATTTTGAACGCGCCCCACAGCGCAGAACAGTCGTCCATTTCACCCCCATCTCACAAGTCAAAAGATGATCTCTTGTCGTCACGGGACGGGGGTTCTTGGGGAGGTTTCGGCAGTCGTCCCGATGCCTCCTTGATGCTGTGATCGTTTCCAGTTGCCCGAAAGGAGAGAAAATTTCAATCCAATGGTGAAGAGACCTTTTCCCACCCCCCGTGATGGTTCATGACCCATGGATCATGGTGTCCGTTTAGTCGGCAATTTGGACCCCAATCACACCTCACTAGGCCTTTCACTCCAGCACTTCCAGCACTCGTCGAGTGAGCTTGTCTGCTCTGCCTCTTCTGTCTCTGCCCCTCCACTCGTTCATCAAAAGCGACCCTGTTCTGTCAATCTTCTCCCAACCCGTTCGGTCCCGTTCATCGTGTCCGCCACCCCCAGGTCCTTCAGGGGAACGGGAACGGGGACTGTTGCTCGCGGTTGAGGTCAAAATTTGGCAAGATCTTCGATATGCTCTGGATTTGGACCCCAACTCAACCCATGACTTTTGTCTGAGATGCTTAAGTCCAGACTGTCTCAATCTCACTGTGCCCTCTGCGCCTTTAAACTCTCATATCACAACTAACGAATGCCTGTCTCCGACAACCTTCCCGTCTTTTCAACATCCTTCACGTCTTGATCACGGCTATCTGGGCCCCCTGTCAGAAACCGACAGCCGCAATTCTTGCCAGCTAAAGAGGGGACATGTACCTGCTGTAAAGTCTCCGGGTCGGCGTCACCACTTCTCGCGCCAACAAAATTCTGTTATATACCTTATTTTCTTTGATACCAGTGCCCTATCCCACCCCGCGCTTTCTTCCCTGCCTCCTGCTTCCTCGCGCGTGACACGAGGCAGGCCGGTCGACTTTCTTCTACGCATCAACTGCGGATAATAGCATATCAGCCATGTCGTACAGAGGAACCCTGTGGCGATAATTCAGCATTTTCCGTTACCCGCACCGAATCTCAGAACACAGCATAATCTCATACGCCCCGGACGATAAAGTGGGAAGGACGGAAGACAGGAAGCGTGGTGCGGAAAAACGATACCACTGGACCGGATATCGAGCAAGCAACGTCAAGCAGACCGGTTGTCGCGGCCGACCACCAGTTTTTGCGACACGGGGACGTACGGAAGTTCTAGGGACGAAACCCATAAAGAAGACCCGAACACCGATCACAGGTCAAGATGGTGGGCGGCAACGTCCGTCCGTCACTCTTCATTGTCACGGCTGCCGCGGCATTGGCACCGTTGACGACGGCCCTTTTCATAACTGCTGGATCACCATGCGCCAAATACTGCGGCAACTCTCTTCAAGGAACGGCCGCAGACGAGGTGGTGTGCACATCGGACCAGTATGATATGACCAACACAGGAGTTGTATACAAGGAGTGTATGCAATGCCAGATGACGAGTGAATACAGTCAAGGGAGCGAGACAGACGTCAAGTCATTTTTATGTGAGTTGTTGCTTGGTTCAGACAAGTATTCAAACCGACGTTGACATCTGACCTTCTATCAGATAACCTCCGATATAATCTTGCCTATTGTTTGTGGGATCAACCACACAATCCCAATCTCGACGATAACCCTTGCAAGACTAGGTAAGCCAGCTCTTGTCCATCAGTCAATCACCCATCATCTGACAACGTTTCCCCACTCAAAGCAAGGCATGTGAGCCTCTCCAGAACTCGGTCTTGTTCCAAAACATGACCACCAGTACCGGCGCGTTCAGCTACTGTGATAAATGGGATGAACAGGCTGTTGAGCCGTGCAATCACTGTCTGGTAAATCTGAACAAGGGAGGGAATTATTTGGTGAACTACATGACTCTGTTGAACGCATCCTGCGCCCAAAGGCCCGAGGCAGGCTCAACCATATCCTTCCGCGGCGACCCCTTTGCCAACCAGTTCAACAATGTCACTATCACCGACCCAGAGCCAAAGGGCCTCCCTCTGCCAGATTATGGCCCCGTGTCTTTGGGCGCGCGTGTCGGCATAGCCTTTGGTGGTCTTGCTCTCATCCTGGCCATTCTGGGCTTTGGCGTTGTTTGCAACGGAAAACGACGAAGACGCCGCTTCTTGCGCGAACTGGAACGTCGCAACGCCGGTCAAGGATGGCCTCACCCCAAGACGAGGCATGCCGGGCACGGTGGCAGCGGCGGAGAAATGTTCGAGACACCTGTTAGCCAGAGACCGCTCAGGGGGTGGGATGAGAGTCCCATCAGCGCGCACACGGATGGCCCTGCAGCTCTGCCTCGGTACTTCAGCCCATACTCAAGCCAGTACAACAGTCCCGTCAGCGCAACAGACGGACTCCCAGTTTCCGGTGTGCAGTGGCCGGGCGCGCACCAACGGCTAGGCCACATTGAGGAACGATTATCGCCCGCTGGCTCTTCGGTAGCCAACGGGGCCTCTCCACCGCCGCCGCCCTTCTCTCAGTGGCCCAGCCCCATCACACAGCAGAGCATGATGGCGCATTTGCAAAGCCAGCACGAGCAGCAGCAACATGAGCAGCGGCAACGGGAGATTGCTATTGGCATTGCACTGGGTGGTGAAGACGCCAGTTTGCGATCCAAGCCGTCAAACACCAACCTAGGATACGAGAGTAGCGGGAAGGGCAAGGGGCGAGATGAGATGTACGAGATGCACGAGGTGGAGAGTCCATACAACAATAACAACGGTGCCGTCAACGCGGGTGTCGATGGCGCAGGAGGGTACTACCAAATGCCGGCTCAGCCTCAGGCGCCGGTCCTGCATCACCCGGGCTACGGAAGAGCCCATGGATCTAGGCCGGGCTCGAACGGGTCAAATGGAAGTGGTCAAAGGGCGGAAACCGATCTGGGAGTTATGCAACAACAGTCCTTTCAACAACACCTGCAACAGAAGCAGCACGAGAATGGATGGACGGAGGTGGGGGTAACTAGGGGACATGAGTCATAACGCTCACCATCACCACCCGAATGGGTCATGTTCATTTCTTTTGTTGGCGAGGTTTATACAGTTGAGGAATGTACTAATACCCTGGAGTTTGCATGGAGTTCGGATGGGAAGAAACATACCTTACTGTTATGATCAGGATACGGGTATCCTAATCAGTCAACGTACCGACGTCACAGTTTCCTCTAGTAAAACCGATTTGAAGACCTTGGAGACACAAGTGGAAGCCAGGATTGCCTCACCATTGTAGTCGGTTCGAGTGTCTAGACACATTAATGGAAACCGAAAGACCAAATTTGTCGACTGCTGCCTGACCTGCCCTTCGAGTTTCACAGGGGGAAAGAACGAAACAAAACAGAACATGATGTGACCGTTGAGTTTGTTGTTGGCTAGACCCAGTCCAAGCGAAATGTCTTACAACTAAGTATGATGATGAACTTCGTCCCATATACTATCAAAAAAGTTCGCGATGGGAGGAGCACACAACTCAGTGACGGACTTGGCACTCCCAATTGAAGGTTTCAGGGACCAATTGTTGCCAATTGGTGGCGCACAGGGCATCTGCCCGCTGCTGGGAGACGGTTTGTCGTTCAACCCCGCTGGGCAGGCACGGCAGGCCCCATTGGAACCCCACACTGAATGGGTTAGCGCGGCGAGGCTGCAGTTGGGGCACCGGACGAAGACCCCACATTGGCCCAAAAGGCAAAAGGCTGAGGAAAAAATTCAGAGCTTGGATCACCCAAAAGCTCCGCCGCCATTTTTTTCGGCAGAAAGTGGAAAAAAGTGATCGCAAGGTCAAACGGTCCTGATCTCGAATCCTCGACGTGCCCACTCCGAGTCGTGTTTTGCCTACCGATTCTTCCTCTCGACTTCCTTAATTTTCCTTCGTGAAACCAAACAACCCGCGACCGAAGCCATCTCTTCCACCGGTTCGCGGACGTTGATTACACGAAAAGATCATCATCTTCAATCATCGTTTCCCAATTATCACCACCAACAAAAGTCAGAGTATTCAATCGCAAAACAACAGTTAAGATGGCGACAGAACACGTTATCAAGCCCCAGGCTACCGAGCCCGCCGTCGACACCAGCGAGTGGCCTCTTCTCTTGAAGAACTACAGCAATCTCCTCGTCCGCACCGGTCATTTCACCCCCATCCCCGCCGGTTCTTCTCCTTCCAAGCGCGACATCAAGTCCTATGTCTCCTCCGGTGTCATCAACCTGGTAAGCATTGCCCTTTGTGAAACTAAGATCCTTCAATATCATTCTTTCGCAATCTGAGCGCATGCTAACTCCTACCAGGACAAGCCCTCCAACCCCTCTTCCCACGAAGTCGTCGCCTGGATCAAGCGCATGCTCCGGTATGTATACAATACCACAAGAAACGAGCCTCAATGCTGGTATCGGGCTTATGCTGATTGACATCCTTCCACAGTGTTGAGAAGACTGGTCACTCCGGTACTCTCGATCCCAAGGTCACCGGCTGCTTGATTGTCTGCGTCGACCGTGCCACCAGACTCGTCAAGGCCCAGCAGGGTGCTGGTAAGGAGTACGTTTGCGTTATCCGCTTCCACGACAGCGTCCCCGGTGGCGAGGCTGCTTTCGCCTCCGCCCTCGAGACCCTCACCGGTGCTCTCTTCCAGAGACCTCCTTTGATCTCTGCCGTCAAGCGTCAGCTCCGTATCCGCTCTATCTATGAGTCCAAGCTCATCGAGTTCGACAACGACCGTCATCTCGGTGTCTTCTGGGTCTCTTGCGAGGCCGGTACCTACATTAGAACTCTTTGCGTCCATCTTGGTCTCCTTCTCGGTGTCGGTGCCCATATGCAGGAGCTCCGTCGTGTTCGTTCCGGTATCATGTCCGAGGACAACGGCTCCATGGTCACCCTCCACGATGTCCTCGACGCTCAGTGGCAGTTCGACAACGGTGGCGACGAGACCGCTCTCCGCAAGGTCATTCAGCCCCTCGAGACTCTCCTTACCACCTACAAGAGAATCGTTGTCAAGGACTCTGCTGTCAACGCTGTCTGCTATGGTGCCAAGCTCATGTTGCCTGGTCTCCTTCGCTTCGAGAAGGGTATTGAGACCCACGAGGAGGTTGTCCTCATGACCACCAAGGGCGAGGCTATTGCCATCGGTATTGCCCAGATGAACGGTGTCGAGTAAGTCATTCCCTGCTTATAACTCCTAAAAACTCACTTCCTCAAGACTAACCAATTTCTCCCACAGGATGCTTTCTTGCGACCACGGTGTTGTTGCCAAGGTCAAGCGCTGCATCATGGAGCGTGACCTCTACCCTCGCCGCTGGGGTCTTGGCCCCGTTGCCCTCGAGAAGAAGAAGCTCAAGAGCGACGGCAAGCTCGACAAGTTCGGCCGCCCCAATGCCGAGACTCCCGCCAAGTGGTCTGAGGGCTACAAGGACTTCAGCGCCGCCGCTGAGTCTGAGGCCGCTGCCGCTGCCGCCCCTGCTGCCGAGGCCGCCAAGGTTGAGATCGTCGAGAGGCCCAAGCCCGAGGAGAAGGCTGAGAAGAACGAGGAGGCTGAGGAGGCTGGCGACAGCAAGAAGCGCAAGAAGCACGACGGCGAGACCGCCGAGGAGAAGGCCGAGCGCAAGAAGCAGAAGAAGGAGAAGAAGGAAAAGAAGGATAAGAAGGAGAAGAAGTCCAAGAAGGGCGGTGACGAGAGCGACTAAGAGATGGATAACATGTTGTCCACTCTTATGTTCGGGTCTGTCTAAAGTTGGTTACCCTTCTTTCTTTTTCTCTGCTATTCTTCATTGGAGGCGTTATTCACATGCGCATTTGTTCATTGTCGCAACACATCGGGCTCCGGGAAAAAATAGGCGTTGGGGTAATATTGTTTGTTGCTGTGTCGGTTTATGGAATTATCTTCTAGGCTTTATGATGGCGTCTCATTCGAAGCGCTCGAAGATAAATGTAGATATAGATTCACGACGTATTTGAAGCCGTACTACTGTATCTTGGTACATCTACAATTGTTTTTCATGGGCCGGCAGAGCAAGCAATAATGGTGTCTCAGAAGGTTTTGTGCGCTTTCAATATAAACAGTCTCCTGTACAAGCGTCACGGGGATGGTTCTTACTTCCCCATCATATCCTCATTACAATAACCTTACAAACACACATGATCACAAGATTAGCTTCTTGTGTTACCGTCATTGGCGAGAGCCAAAGGAAAGTCTAGCGTCGGCACGCAAACTTGTGTACAGGATAGATCATGTAAGAACGGGAAAATATATGTATGGATGGCGTTCATGAAGTCATGTCCTGTTCCCGTGCCACAATATACCACGAGACAAGGAGGTCGGGAAATGGGCCGGCCGTTACCCACCCCGCGTGGACATAGCCGCCCGGCCATCTAATCTACGCGCCGGGACGTGGGGAGATCTGGGAGCACAACAGCTTGGAATGTGAAAAGGACAGTGTACCATGGCTACCCTTGACAGTCCTTGATTTTTCTCTCCACCGAGTTGACCGCAAGTTCATGATCTTCCTAATCGGCTTCTACAACACAAAATAACCCGTCCCAAGTTAGACACCTCATACCACACACCTGCCGCGAAAGTCAAGTGTGGTGTGCAAAGATGCCCTCTTTTCGACTGCCGTCCGAGGCAACGCTGGGAACTTTATGCCCATTACGACCTAAGAAAGTTACATGATGTCATGAGAATAAAGATAGATGGGAAGATGCACGATGAGGGTTGTTGGTTAATGAAAGAATAAGGAGTAAGTTATTGATTGAACAGCCAGAAGCAGCTAGGTAGAGCTGACTGCAGACGAAAGAACGGCAACGGATACCCTATTTCAAGGTTCGACACTCGATATTAACCACGCTTTTGCGAAGAACGGAACCGAGGAACAACTTTGCACTAATTTCTCTCCGAAATAGCTTCCATTTGAGGAAGAACAAGATGCAAGTAAGACGTGCAAAATAGGGTTATTCGAGTAGGTCACACACACCTACACACACATGGGCACGGTAGGGAAGCAACCGCAGAAAAAAAGTGATGGTAAGCTTTGTCTGACCGACCGACCGGACGTGAAAGTGAAAGATGGTTCCTCGGCGGGTAATTTTATTGATCAACATGGTGTTCCTGAAACATTCGACGAATGGGAATCGAGATGTCGGCTGTGGTCTCGTTAAGCTCTCAGCAAGCCATTCTGCTTTTAGGTTAGTGTGCCTCTTAGCGGAACAGTCAGTGTTGCAGTTAAACCGCTTTGGGTAACCTTGAAGCGCCCGTCGTCGTGGTTCACGGTGGGTTGTTTCCTCTTTTTTTTTTCTTCTCTGTGAAGAAACACGGTTCTTGACGAACTGAAGGAGAAAAGGGGTGAGGGTGGCTACACGCGCTGGTGGCCGCAGAGAAGGCCGCCCTTTCCAGATTCCTGGGACTACTCTACGGATTCTCGTCCGACGAGAGTCATGAGTTTGACGATAGACATGTGGTGGACATGCCATTGACATTTGGAACTGGCCATCAAGAAGAGGCATCGAGGTTCAACGTCCACTCGAGCGGTTTTGTTAACATCGCCGCATCGGATCTCACATCCCACGATCCACTACCTCTTGCTCTTCGTCTTCGTAGTGCATACAGATTTATTTGGCCGCGACCAACAGGAAAAACATAGCAGAAGCCCATCTGGATCAGTAATCCACATGTATCCCCCGGGCTAGATTCGCTCAACGCTACAACTGCCGTGCTTGCCATACATCGGAACTCAGACAGCATCATGATTGGTGCGCTGACGAAAGACACAAGAACCAGAGGGGATCGTCCGCGGCAACAGTTCAGGCACACACAGAGTCTTCAAGGCCATCACGCACACCTTACAAACCTATTCCACGCTGAGTCCCCCCGGTTCCGCCATGCAGGTTTCCTGCTCGTCACAGCCGCTCACTACCCACTCAACCAGCTTAAACAACCTTGAATATAGTGGTCTAGTGGTGCCCACCTCAATAGTGTCATCCACTTTGGGGAATCTTCACAAGATGGGCGGCACAGGATCGCTTCTCTTATCTCTTACACGTGGTAGAGGCTAGTGAGGGAGAGGCTCATTCATATTAACTCTGTGCCCCAGCTTTTCTTGCTTCCTTCGCCGTTGATGTGCTTTTGTCTATCATAATCTTTTCTTGCTTTCTCAACCTGTCGCTCACTACACTAACTTTCCGACTCCCCGGCCTGGTGCCCTTTGATATCAAATACTTTTAATCAACCCAATAGATTATAGTCAGCCAGCCCTTCAACGACTTCTCATACCAACATTCCGAACCCACTATCAGATCATCAAACTGAGTCCTCGCCTGAACGCCCTTAAACCAATTTACAAGATGAAGGCCACTAGCCGGGCAACAAGGAGCAAAACAGCCTCTGCTCTCCTTTCCTTTCTTCTTACAACTCAACTTGCCAGCGCACTACAAGTTACACCAAATTCTCCGTGCGCCTCGGTGTGCCTGGACTCGCCGGACCTCGATCGATCAGATCCCAGCTCTTCCAACACGAAAAACAAGGACATCATTTGCAAGGATGGGGCAGTCAACAGTTCGGCGGGAAGTAAATGGAAAGACTGCATGACCTGTTTACAAACAAGTCCATTTTCTCAGGACTCCGAGACGGATCAGATGTGGTTTCTTTGTGAGTTTTACCAAGCTCAAGATTGTATGTGAGCAATTTACTAATTAGTATTTACCTAGACAACCTGAGATACACCTTATCATACTGTCTCTTTGGTTATCCCAATGCTACAGATGTCGAGACAACACCATGCAGCACATCCATGGCCTGTGGCCCTCTACAACAGAGTCTACAGCATGGTGTCCCTGATCCTAAAGACACCACGCCATCTTCCTACTGTTCGGCAGACGACGGATATGCATCCGATCCTGAAATCTACGGGCATTGTACCTCTTGCTTGACAGCTGGAGGGGAATCTAACTACCTGGCCAACTGTAAGAACACAAAGAAAGTTATGCAGGAAGGATTGGAATATACTAACCCATAATGTCCGTCTAGATTTCACCGCCCTAGAAGCCGGTTGTCAACACAAGCCCGAACCTGGCAGCGTCATCGGTCTAAACGACACAATCTTCTCCCCCTCGTCCATAGGCATCGTCGACCCCTCGAGTGTCCTCAAGTCCGAAGAAGGTCCCAAGATCTCAACAGCCATCATCGCCGTCATCGCCTGCATCGGCGTGCTCGTCATCCTCATCATTTCTGCCATCGTATTCATCTGCCACCGCAAGCGCAAGAACCGAGCGGCCCGCGCCAGTGCCCAGCTTGATTACGCCGAGAAGCGAGTAACCCGTTTCCGTCACCAGCGCCAGTCTTCGCTTTCTTTCCAGTGCCAGACGCATGTGCTTTCGCCGCGATTTTGGCCTGCTGCTGGTGAGGGCCAACAGCCGGTTTGTGAAGGAGATGAGACGACGACGATGGATCCCAACGGCAATGTCAACATCGCAACAAGGCCCCTCTCTCATCAGTCCGAGCACTCAGCCCCTGGCACACCAGGGAGAGGACTTTCCACCCGCCGCGTTACCAGCTGGAAACAACACAACTCTTTAATCTCGACGGTGGCGGAGGATAAAGCGTGGGAACACCATCAACAATCCACGGAAAGAAGTGCCTCTGGAGGCGGCGTCAACCCCCTCGGCCTGCACGCCATCACAACCACTGGTATCCCCCGCTCGCCCACCCGCGCTTATTCCACCAACAACAACACACCCGCAACCCCCCACGCGGGCTACTCCCACTACAGCCCCTCGCCCATGTCCGCCGACTCAGTCCGGAGCACCGCCGCTTTGCTTCCTTCCATCCAACCTTATATTCCTTCCGATCACGTCTCGAACGGCGCCCAACAAACTCCCCAACTCCACAGTGCCAGTACTTTCGGTCCTCAACAAAGTCCTTGGTCAGCAACGACAGCTAGTCCCTTGTTGAAGAATTACGGGTGGCCTTTACCTGTTCCTCAACCCCAAGAGCAGCAGCAACAGCAGCAGCAACAGCAGAGACAGGGAAGGTTTAACGGGGGAAATATCAGTTTGACAACGCACGGCATCCCGCCGTCGCCGAGGAGTCCGAGGTTTCTTGGTGGGAATGTGATGAAAAAGCCGGCGGGAAGTCCGGTTGAGAGCGTGGAGATTCGGACGACGTTTGAGGGGCCGCCGAAGAGTCCTAGGAAGTAAATGAGCTTGTATGTGTGTATAACTGTTGTGTATACTTTGTGTTGATAGTTGGTGGCAAGATGAGAAAAGGATACCCGTGAGATTGATGAATCATGAAATGAACTGGCTTCTTCATATCGCTCGCTAGAACGGTGCTCTGTGTCTGGTGAAGATGAATACTTACCTTGAAGAGTTGCCTGCTTGTTCAAAGAAATCAAGGAGGATGGAAATAACGAGGAAAATGAGTATTGGGTATCATCACTCTTCGTGGTTCACGCTATGGTTTTGGTCTGGTAGGTAGGGTCTCTCGAAGCAGGCTAAAAAAAAGAGAAGCAGAAGCAAAGTGTAATTTCGTTGCGCCGAATGCCCCCCCCCCCCCCCCCCCTCCCCACCCTTCTTTCTTTCTTTCCTCCCTATCTATGTACGTGGCATTTCTCTTATGCGTTCCAATCTACGCCTGACTTCATTCAGTTTCAATTCAGCAACCTTATGATGCGATCTCAACACATCAAGCAAGCATTCTCCAACTTCAACTCCTAATCGTCATTTAAAGCAAGTAAATAACCCTCCCTCAAGACTTCCCACCACCAACTTCCTCCCTCCAAGCCGCCTTGTCGGTATCCAGCTTATCCATCGTCTCCCTCAACTCCTTCAACATCCTCTGCGTCTCCTCCACCACCGCGTTCGTCTCCTCCCTCGTCGACAAAGCAGTGGTGCTCCCTCTGCTGACCGCTGAAGCAGCATAGTATGCCTTCTTGGCCAAGGGCGGGGAATTCTCTGGTCGTCCTTGTCCACGTCCTTGGGCAACGGAAGAAGCTTCTTCCGCCTCGCTCGCCAGATCAACTCGCTTCCTCTTTTTTGTCGAGAATAGCACTCCAGCTGGCTTCCCTTCTAGAGAATGGCCGAGCTGGTGTCGCTGAAGCCCCAGAAGGCGTGGGCGATGGGCGAACGATGGCGGGAGATCCCTGGCCGCCGCTGGCTGATGGTGATCCGTATCCCAATCTTGCCTTGAGTTTGGCGAGTCTGCTGGAGGTGCTGTAGTCGGCGGGCGGTTGCTTGGGTGTTTGGAGATGTTGTTGAACGGGATTAGTAGAACCGGTGAGTCTAGCGACTCTCAAGCGCCAGCTGGTCATGGAGGCGGAATCATCCACTTCAACGTCGTCACCGTTGTCGTAGGTACTGCCCATGCCCATGGACTCGTCGTCGTCCGACAGGATGGCGTGTTCGGTTGACGGTCGAACGGCAGGGGAGTAAGAGTGATTGCGAGTCGGAGGACTAGGCGGCTTCAGCTTGCCTTCTTTGATGGCGCTGGCAATTGCTTCTGGGAGCCACTGCCCGTCTGGCATCGGTACCAACCCGCGAGCTCTAAGATCCCAGTGGCTAGTCTTGAACCCATTAGGTTTCGGACTATCAGCGTTGGTGCCTTGTCTCAGGCTAATGTTGGGCAGGCTCGTGTTTGCCATACTCATTCCCAGCAATGATCTCCGCGGCTGCTTGGGATTTCTGCCCTCAGTAGCTGGAGAAGGTTCGATCGAGCGCTTTCGCGGAGTGGAAAAATTGCTCGCCCGCTTGATCATGCTGTTTTCGCCATTGACACCAATACCACTGAGTGAATGGCGGAACTTGTTGATCATGGAAGACTGAACCGAGCTTCCGCCGACGGATGAGAAGCTTCCCCTAGGGCCTCCCAGACCGAACTTTTCGCGCAGCGCCCGGGTCTTGCCACCCTCTTTACTGGCGGTGCTTTCCGGGGAACCAGCCATTGAGCCTCTAAGGCTCCTAGCATCACGGCGTCTAGAGGCCGTCGATGACGCCCCTTTAAGCTCAAAGCCTGCCTCTGAGCCAATTCCATACGTTTTTCCCTGGTTGTGGGGATGCCCAGTCTCCATTGGTCCCAGCTTCCTTCATGGCTCGGCGGACGGCTGCACGCTCGTCACGAGCTCCAGCAAAAATACCGCTGGCCAGAAGTTCTTCCTCTACTTGTTGTTGACTCCGCCCAATCCTGGAAGCATTCAGCGCCAGCTGCTTGAGCCGGGAACCGTCGGCCTGAATCCTCCTCTTCGATTCTAACCTTTCTTGGTCCTGCAACTTCTCCTCCTGTTCTTTCTTCTTCTTTCGCGCACGCTGCTCTTGCTCTCTGTAAAGTCGCATCTTCTCCTTTCCTTCCTGAAGAATCCGTCTCTGTGCTGACTTCCTAGCAGCTTCCCTCCACCGATAGAAGTATTTCAGCTGTAGCCGGTCTTTCATATGTGCACGTGCTTCTCTCCATGACTGTTCGTCTTCCTCTCTACGCTTGCGCTCAGCCTCTTCTTTCAAGTGCTGATCGAAGGCACCCTCTACCAATTCTTGGAGGTAGTGGGCTGTAAACTCTTCCAGCACACCGCCGTCACCCATGACAAACCACTTCGCAAAATCGCCCATCAGATCCCTCGGAGGAGGAGCAGGTTGCGGAGGTGCAGACGCAGATTGTGAGGGCTGTGACAGCGGTGCTGTAGAAAACAAAGATGAAGTAGAACCATCATTGGACGTGCCCTTGGTCCCGAAAGGCGAGTTTGAAGCGGCTTGCGGAGCAAAAACTGTTGATGGCTGTGTTGCAGGTGGAGTGGGCGCCGTGCTTTGGACTGGCTGGGGAGGGGCAGAGAAGACTGAAGGTGTTGTGGTTATCACCGAAGGCGTTCCTGGCAATTGGGTTTGCGTAGGCCCCGCCGGGGTACTGGCCTGTTGTTGTGCTCTGTTTCTGCTGTTGGGTGAAGCTAAGTGGAGGTTTGGGGCTCGATGCTGCTGGAGCAAACGTAAATCCCGAAGATGGTTGCTGTGTGGTCTCTGAGGATTTAGCTGGAACAGTGCTCATATTCTGATTTAAAAGAGACGCTGACGGGTTGGCCGGCGCACTGCCCGAACTAAACACAGAAGTAGCCGGGGCAGGCGTGTTCCACGTGATCGGCTTCGATGTACCTGCTGCTGGAGCAGTGGGCGCCGAGAAGATTGAAGATGGGTTTGCCGCTTGAGGATGCCCAAAGCTGAATGTCGGTTGGGAGGTCTGAGGGGCCTGTCCAAAGACACTTGTAGGCTTGGGAGCCGGAGCCGAACTTGGGGTTTGAGTCGATGGTGGCGCGGCTGATGGTTGACCGAACATGGAGAATGGACTTGCAGCCTCTTGTGGCTGCTGAGCTGGCGAAGGACGGGAAAAGGGACTCGAAGTCATTGCACCAGTTGCTTGGGGGGAGTTAGTGGTCGTACTTTCTGTAGGGAGGTGGTTGAGCGCACCGAAATCTTTTACCGCTGTTTGGAACATCGGGGTCTTCTCAGGTGCCTTGGTGACGGGCGGCGCAGCTCCAAACATAGACGTAAATGGTGATGAAGCGGCACCTTGAGTTTTGTTGACTTGTGAGTTAGGGAAAGCAGGCAAAGCTTGCTGAGGGTTAACAAACAGACCGCCGCCATTAGCATCTGAGTCCTTTCCGGGAGAAGAGTTTTCGGCAGCATCTTCGTAAATGGTGTTGTAAATAACATGGGGCAGCGATTGTCCTGCTCGTTTCCGTTCAACCAGCAGCCCCGAGTAGGACTGGGGGACTCTGGGCGATGGGACGTGCTTTTTCTTGTCGTTGATGAGGAGGTATGGCTCGGGTACTGCTGGCTTCCCCGGGGGCACCCAGGTGGTGAACTCGAAATTGTGCTCCTCAGCGAAGGCAACAGCTTCTTCAGGAGTGTCAAACCTCAACATTTTGTTGAGATCGGACGCAGTGATTGTCCTAGGAGCATCACGATGGCGTGCATAAGCCCGTACAAGATTCTTAAGAATGCACTGGCGGACAAAGGTAAAGTGGACCTCTGCTACACAGGCCATGGTGTATGATACTCGGGGGTTCTCGACGATGGCGAAGAAGTTGGTGAAGGCGGTGTCGGACATGGTCGTCATTCGGCGTGGTTTGATGGGCCCCTTTGGCTGTCTCAAATCTTCCATGACGTGGATGAGTGACAGTGCCGTTTGGATCTCTTCGGAGTCGAACCAGTACTCCTTTCCCCACATACGAATCCTCTGTGCTATAGAGGGTTCGTGTGCGTTGAGAAGTAGGTAATAAGCTCTAAATTCCGCCTCGTTCTCGCAAAGGACGTGTTTCTCCTTGCAGACGTCGTATGCCTCCATCAACGAGAGAATAGTCCTGCCCAGTTGCTCGATTTCTTGCTTCTGCTCGAAGTCGTCATTTGCAAACCCCTTCCGAGACAACAGATGGAGAGCCGTGGCGTGGAAGCGAGTGATCGTCTCGAAGCAATAGACCATGTCCTTCATCTCCTCTGCCGACTTTTGCGAGTGGAAGGTGAAGTCTTTGCGTACTGCTCGTGTGCGATCCCAGAGGTAGTTGTGCATGGACGGCAGGTTGTTCTCCGACTGTAAAAGATCGTTAAAGAGGTAGTCGGTGGTTCGTCGTAAAGCGTCGATAGAGCGGACATCCATAGGGAGCGGCGCATCTTGACCGGCTGCAGATCGACCAAACTTCTTCACCATCTTCGAAGGTTCTGGCCATGCCGTGAGACCACCGGGCTGGGTTTCCTTCTCTTCGGTCTTGACATCGAATTCAGCGATACGGGAGATCTTCTCAAATTCTGGGCACATATCCTCACAGATACCCTTGAATGGTAACGCATCCTCAAGCTTCCTCCTCTTCTCCGGGTCATCGATAAGCTCGACCTTTCGCAGGGCATCATAGACGCGGCTACGGTATTTTTTGAAGGACTGCTTGAGGTTCTCAACGTCGTCGCGCTTGTTGGGATTGCCAAGTTGGGGTGTCGGCCACTGGGGTGGCTTCAGATTGTCCTTTTTTAGCTGGTCGTTGATTTTGTTGTGAAAATTAAAAGCAAATTCGGACAACTCGCGCGTACGCTCGGTCGGTTCTCGAGTCGGTGCGCCGGAGGTGCTCTTGGAGCCAACAGCGCGTGTCGCACTCGGCTGGGTCTTCGCAGGGCGCTCGCTGTTCTTCCGTTGGCCGCGCTGGAACTTGTTCGCCAGTGTCGCCCCAGCATCACGGCCGCCTGACTGTTGTGGTTGTTGCGGCGTAGCCTTTCCCTTCCCAAACATCTGGCTGGCTTGCGAATTTCCAAATCCATTGCTGGGACCAGAAGGCTTTCCGCCTCCAAACCCCTGTGGTGCCTTTATAGCATTGGCATTCGCCGCCCCAAAGCCGGTTGATTGTTGAGTCGTGGTTTGCGCGCCAAAGAATGGAGACTGGTTTCCGCCCGCAGAGTTCGTCTGTCCTGGCTTCGCGAAAGGATTCTGAGCAAAAGGTGAGGGACTAGCGCTGGGCGCGGTCGATTGCGCCTGGCCAAAGATGGGCTTCCCGAACGGACTCTGATTAGGAGCTGATGAGCTGCCAAAAACTGACGCTGTTTGGGCCGGTTGTGCGGCTTGAATTGGTTTCGCGAAAGGGTTGGCAGCCGGAGCTGGAGGCGCCCCGAAGGGATTGTTAGCTGCCGCCATTATGGCTTTGCTCGAGCAAGCATTTGCAGAGGTAATTGTCCGGGCCGGTGGACGAGGTGTGAAAAGTTCAAGCAGCACTGATTATTGTGGTAGTGATCAACAAGAGGTGTAGACAGCGCGGGGAGCGGTATGGGCTGAGAACGTCGCGGCGCGTGCTGGCTGTTCGAGTGTCGGGAGTTCAAATCGCCGGTGCTATGCAGTAGAGATTAATATGTGTTCTGAATTTCGGTGGGAAAAGTGTAGCTCGCGGCGGGATGGCAGTCGAGGACGGAGGGGCGCGATGACGAAGTGAGAGGTAGATGACGGTGATGTCGTTCAACAACTTGGAGGGCTGACTGAAAGTGGAAGCAGGTAAAGGTAAGGTAGCTTGGTAGCAAACCGCCAACAAGAGAATGGACAGACTAATATGGAGGACGTACAATTTCGGGCCGTCGAAGAGGAGCGATGTTGCGTTTTGAAATTTTAACTTTGGTTTGTTCCCGTCTGCGCAAGAGGTTGCGCGCCGCGGTTTACCAAAGCGAATGAATGAATGAATGAACGAAATCGAGAAATGGCAAGAGAGGCAGGCAGGTGGAGAGGATGTCGATGCTGGCCGCCAAGTTGGACGGTCAGGATGCCTTCACCTTTGTCGCATTTGAAATTCTGCCATACAGCGAGACAGCTTGCGGCAGGCGGTCAATTGAGCGCTCGCGTCACTGAAACCAAGCAGCAACAGCAGCCAATCTCCAGCTTGCAGGGGCCACGCACAGGCGCGCAGAGGCACATGAGCTCGGGCCACATCTAAATAAACGGCCCGCTTCAACGTCCCGTTGCCTGCCCTGTGATATGTAATGCACCTGAATGTTGCCATTCAGGTCGAGACGGTCTTCCTACAATCTCGTCATCCGTTCCAGAAGACCTCCGGACAAGTTCAAGATGAGAGTAGCATCAACGACGAGAAGGGTGAATTTTCGAACATGTTTACTTGACAACGCAAAGATAGATACGAGATGAAAGACAAACTTGGTAACCACACTCTATTCCACTACTACTCTCTTGTAGGCCCAGCTCTGATGCCTGATGAATCCTCAGCTGGCCAAGTCTAGATCAGGGTTGAGAGGGCGACAAAAGCTCACATCAACGCAGAAGATGCGAGGGGGAAAAGTGCCGCATAACCCCCCGACCGTGTCTGTCAAACCCTCTGTCCGAGATCCGGTCTAGCGCCATCGAAAGAACCTCCATCAAAAGGATTCAAAGGTTCTTCGTTCAACTTGAACAGTCGTACCCCGTATTTCTTCCCTGTGTCCATTACCTCGTACCTTTCCGGGCTGGACAAGCCCGATGGATCAAAGTACAATGTCTTGATTTGCGGGTGGGCGATCAGCTTCTCGATGAAGGGCAATATACCACTATGACGTCCAGGTGCGACCGTAACCGTGTCGACATTGGGGAACTTCTGCAGCCAGTCGATAAAAAGCTGGCCATCGAAATTGCTGTAATGCTGGGCCCAGTTGAAGTGGTATAGTCCGAGATGGTGAACGCTCGGCGACGACGCGAAAGCCCAGTCCTTCCGGGGATCAACTTGGATCCGGCGATCGAACAGTGACTGGTCGCTATTGATGGCCAATTCAAGGACCTTTAGCGAACCATTTGTGGCTGCTTCCCCCAGGGCCTTTTGCAGTATACCGGTGGATATAGGGCCATGGCACCTGAACACCTCCAGCCGTGGCCAACCCGCCGAAGCAATGCCCGACTGAGCAGTGGGTCCATGGAGACCAGTCAGAGAAGATCCTAACGGGCTCCCCCGCTCATCACATGTCGTAAAGAGATAGTCGATCAGGTGCGCTCTGTCGGAAAGGATCTCAACAGAGCGGAGGTTTGGTAGAGCCGGCAAAACATAAGACCCCATAAACATGTCTTCAATAAGCGGGTTACTTCTCAATGAGCCGAGATATAAAGACTGCAAATTTTGCCAAGGTTGTATATCGCTCGAAGGAACCTTGACCTTGTCGAAAGCCATCTTGTTATCAAAGAGATTGACAAACTTGAGCCCGTACCCCTCGATATGAAGTTCCTCGAGGTATGGGGTTAGTTTCATTAGCCCATTCTAAATCACATGGTAAGCAAGTGGGTGATGCCAATGAGCGTAGGGCAAGTTACTGACCATATTCAGTTGCCCGAGATCTATCCTTGGGCCATAGTCTTCGTCCCGCATCTTCAGCCGTAGCTTTCTCAAACTCGGCCAAAGCTGTCGGGTCATGATGGCGTTGAGATTCTTCCCTACGAAGCCTTGTAGGTCCAACACTTGAAGAGACAGACTTGTGAGCGGTAGAAGCTCTCCAGCTGTATGTGCATCCAGTTTGTTCAGTGAGAGATGTGTTAGTTTTGTGAAGTGCTTCCCTTGCACTCCCCCAAGCAAGTTTGGAACATCCTCGGGTCCGTCCGGGTTGTTTAGACGCATGCGTCTATGAAGACTTAGCCGTTCCAAACCGGGTAAGCCACGCATGATCATTTGAAGCTTGTCGTGAGTCATCTTGAAATATGATGTGTCGCTGATCGTCAGCGATCGGATGTTCTTGTGCTTGTTGAGGAACCGTGGAAAGAGTCGGCCAGGTTTCCCAGGCCTGCCCAGCGAGACCTTGCTCCAGAGCACCGAGTCAGAAAGTACCGCCTTCTGCCATTTCCTGCTCACACGTTCACACTTCCTATAGACCACGAGGATTTGTTAGCCCCCAGAAAGGAAGAGATCGTTGGGAAGGAGCTTACATCAAAGTTTCGGTGTCAAGATGCGACCAGATCATGGTGAGCAGCTCATGGGGAAGCTTCTCTACAGGATCTCTTTTTGACTCGGGCATGTCTAGCATACTGGACAACTGACGCAGAAGAATCTGGCCAGGGTATCAGCTGCATGTCCACGCGCCGAGAGTGTCACGACAGCTTGGACTCACATGGTACTGATTATACTTAACCCGGCGGTACTTTTCCATGTTGTAGAGCCCGGACCTGACGAACCGGACTGTGAGGTCGTGCACATCGTGGGAAGGGTCAAGTTTAGAGTCTCGCAAAAGGGTCGTAAGCGCAAGAGCTGCCGTCTGCTGGTCTTTGTTCTTGGTCAAGTTGCGAAGGATTCTGGCAACACGACAATACCCCTAGAGCTATTAGATCTTCCATTTCGGCATGAGGCTAGAGATGGTCAAGCCGCTCACTATGGGGTGGGCCGGATCCAAGCGAATGAGACCAAGGGCAGTGGAAAATGCGGCGACGTGCTTTTCCTGTTTGTCCAGAGAATCGGCCAGGGCGTCGACGGCTCGGATATGGAAGAGGTCGATACAAGATGGCCATACAAAGCCGCAAGGGCATGGCTCCTTAGCAGCGCGGTACAGAGCATCGGGGCTCTCTTCGTACACCGCAGTCACGCATTGCGAGATATGACAGGCCTTGTTGTTTCCGTGACTGCCCGGCTTACAAGGGCAAAGATTGATGATCTGTTTACAGAGTTGTCAGTACAGTAAACGAAGCCCAAAGATGATCATTCAACCCCTGAAAGGTGTGTAGTACGGGATGTCGACGTCATGCTTGAGACCTAGGTTCAGAGCACCGACCCGCAACGTGAATTGGCCCGGGTCATTACAGTCTAGCCGTGTCCTGGGCGGGAGTCGGCGGAATGTGTCCATCTTGTTGATGGTTGCTACCTACGCAGAGGCAGCGGGATGGGAAGAGGTGGTGTACTGGGTGGATGTTCGGTATGAAGGTGCGGAATCTCATACGAGCTGCTGAACATAAGGTGGTGGGGGGATTTATACATGCATGTGGAAGTGGAACGTACCTTGAGAAGGGCCCCTAAGACTTTGATGCCGCCTTCTTTGGAGCGGGCTGCGGTTCGGGCTTGGTCAATGGCTGACTTCACTTGGGCTATCCAAGAATCATATTCAAGCCCTTGATATTTCCTGTCTTGGTCGCGAGAATCAACGGCATCCAAGCGGGATTCGTGTGGATGAAGAGGTTGCGGTCGTTTAGCAGGAACAAGCGTCAAATTCGCGGGGCTGTCTGACGCCTTGCGTTTGAGAGTGCCGCTTGAAGGCGTCTTTTTGATCAGATAGCGATCCATCATGCGGACGGGATGAACCAAATATCTCCGTACTCTTTTTACCGTATCATTTGGGTTGATCAAGACTTGTGTTTTCCGTTGTATATAGAGCACCAGGTCATGTCTAGAGGTTGATAAAGATCCATGTGGTGGTTATGATGATTTTGGTAAACATGGCGAACTTCAGCTAAAAGAACGTGCAAGTTGGTGCAATTGGTCGGAAACTGCCGCAACCGTCCAAGCTCGGACGGAACCCCCAAACGGAGTGACGCGTGACTAGTTTAGTGGACGCGTCCACTGGAAGGTACCGACCAGCTGGTTCGATTTAGCGGGGAGGCGCACCCTACAACTTCCTAATTCGCCGACCTGCATGTACCCTGACGACAGTGGGGACAGGCACCTGAGCCCCTTATAAGGAACGGTGCCTCTAACCTGTCTTGCCCATTTCATCCATCCAACATAAAATCCGAACTTGCGTGAAGACTATCGACAACTTCATGCTTCAAGATGTGATGGCCATAGAGCATGCGACACATCGTTTCTTTGAAGTTTCTCGGGTTTTCCCAGTTCTAGCGAAGTCAACCGCTCCCATAGCCGGGATCCCATCCCTACACTTGTCTCATCTATCCTGGTCCCCATTGAACTCACACAAGTCGCCTTAGTTGGGCCTCCCAGTCGTTCCGGCATCTTGATTTTTTTTATATCCTCGATTCGAAATATTCGGCCGTATCCATCCTACTGTTCTTCACTCTTTATGGTTTCGACTGTACCACCGCTTACGAATATTTACCCCTTGGAAACAGACGGATTAAGGGCTGATGTTAGTTGGTGAACCACATTCACGATATTAAAGGACCACGATGACGAACCTCCTATGGTCTGGTTACCGCTCAGAGGCGGTTGAAGACTATCCGGGAGTGCTCATTCCACTCGGGGAAGCCCATCTACACAGTCACTCGTCCAGATCCCGCCCACCTTCTAATTTAGACGATGCTGTACTCGGCCAGGATGACGAGGGCGTCCACCATCACAAAGATCCAGCCGATGATGAGGACACGGGCATGTTGTTAGAAATGGGGACCGAACCTGAGTACAGCATCGAGGGGCTCAGGAGAGAGGTTCGCCGTGGAAATAAGGGCGGCGAGAAGTGGACGGATTATGAGAGTGAGATCACGAACATCCAAGATCTGACTTACATGACATGCTTATGCTAAACTATCTTCTAGTGAAATCGAAGCTCATCAACAAGGCCATTCAAGACATTGGGATGGGGAGATATAACTGGCAACTGTTTGTCTTATGTGGCTTTGGTTGGTTTGCGGACAAGTATGAGACCCCTCTACTGAGATACTCAAAATCAGCCAGTTGTTAATACCAGTCTCGCGCAGTTTATGGATGCAGGGCATCTCTCTCACCCTCCCATCGCTATCAGCTGAGTTCGACATATCGGAGAAGACCGTTCGCTATACCACGTCCTTCCTGTTTGCCGGTCTTTGTTTTGGGAGCTTCATCTGGGGAATCGGCTCCGATATCCTAGGTCGACGTCTGGCCTTCAACGCCACTCTCTTCATCACCGCCATCTTCGGTATTGCCTCTGCCTTCGCAACAAGCTGGGCTGGCGTTTGCTTTCTCTACGCTGCCCTTGGCTTTGGCGTTGGTGGCAACCTACCCGTCGACGGTGCCCTCTTTCTCGAGTTCTTGCCTGACGCCTCCAGCTCCTTGCTAACCCTTCTCTCCATCTGGTGGCCCATCGGCCAGCTGTGCTCCTCGTTGCTGGCCTGGTACTTCATCGGCCACTTGCCCGCCGAGCAAGGATGGCGACACTTTGTGTTCAGCATCGGCATCATCACTTTTATCATGTTTCTCGTCCGTTTCTTCATCTTCCACCTCTACGAGTCCCCCAAGTTCCTCCTTTCAAGAGGCAGACAAGCCGAGGCAGTAGCCGTCGTCCACGGGATCGCTTTCCGCAACGGCCGCAAAACGTGGTTGACCGAGGAAATCCTCGACGCAGTCGTCGACGGGCTCTCATCCCCATCCCCAGCCACTCCTCGCCGCCGTCAGCATGTGACGCGACAGCGACTATCGACCACCAACATCCTCAAGCAGCGCTTCGCCTCCTTCTCAGGCGACCGTCTCCGTCCGCTCTTCAGCAACCGCAAACTCGGTCTGACTACCGCTCTCATCTGGTTCTGCTGGGCGACCATCGGCATGGGGTACCCCTTATTCAACGCCTTTCTCCCACAGTATCTATCCCACGGCGGCAACAACAACAGTGGACAGCCAACACCGGAAACTAGCACAAGCACGAGCAGCAGTCCAGAAACCATCTCAGCTGAAACCTACCGCAACTACGCCATAACCTCGATCGCCGGAGTCCCCGGTAGTCTGCTCGCCGCCTACGCGGTAGACATGAAGTCACCCTTCCTGGGCCGTCGCGGAACGCTGGCTCTCTCGACGCTTGTTTCCGCCATCTTCCTGTACTTATTCGTCAAGTTCGGTACAACACCGGGTTGGCTACTGACGTTCTCGTGCATCGAGGCGTTCGCGCAGAACATCATGTATGGGGTCCTGTATGCTTTCACGCCCGAGATTTTCCCAGCGCCGGTCCGGGGAGCGGGCACAGGCGTGGCGAGTTTCTTGAACAGAGTAACGGGACTTGTGGCACCCATTTTGGCGGCGACGGTGCCAGGGGATGGTACGACTACGCCGGTGTATTTGTCGGCGGCACTGATTCTGGCGGCGTTTGTAGGGATGGTGATGATTCCTATTGAGACGAGGGGAAGGCAGAGGTTGTGATAGGATGGATGGTTGGTGAAAATGAAGGCTGGGGAAATAAAGGGAAATGGAGGCCGGAGGCATACTGCCTCGAGGAATCAACAGAAATTTTGAATGACACAGACATCAAGGAAGGCATTAGGGGTTGAACAGAGGCGCACGAGCATCGTGAAGGAGTCCTCTTCACCACCGTAGAGCATTTCAAATGGTAAATAAACTCAATCATGCTTGTCTAAACGCTTTGATAAAATAACCTGAAATGTGAATCGAAAAGAACGCCCAACCAAATCTACTTCAAGATCACCAACCTCTTACTTCGTCCCCCTTGCTCCAGCGGGCGCATCTACCCTTCTCCTCTGCAACCCCCTCCCCAACGCATCCCGAACCATAGGATCGTTCCTAATCGTATTCTGCACCAACCACTCCTTGATCTTCCCCCTCATACTGCTCAGCGCCTCCTGATCGCCCGCAAACGGCGCCATCTCCAGCTCCACCAGCCTCGACGTATCCAGGTCCAACCCCTTGCTCATCATCTCCAGCCTTTCCAGCCCTTGCTTCAGCAGCTCCTCCTGGTCGCCTCCCGCGCCATTATTCTTCGGAACCAGCTGCCCATTCGACGTATCCGCTGTCAACAACGGCCCAATCTGCGAAATAGCAATGTACACCGTAACGCTGACCTTCCTCATCAGCGCCACCGCCTGGAACGGCAGGTAATACCTGCCCACCACCCCCGTCACCCTCTGCAGTAGCGGATTCAAGAAGTGCTCAAACACCGCCGGCCTCCCCGGGCTCATGACCGTGTGCGCCTCCCACACAAACATGCTCGCCAGCACCAACCACCGCTCGTACCTTCCCCAGGTCAGATATCCCAAGAGCCCAAGCCCGTACAGCACCGCGGCCGCGAGGCCGTAGTACGACAACAACATCTGCGCGCCGCGCATGACGAAGTCATGGTGGGTTTTACATCCTCCCTTGCCGTTTCCATTCGGCCCCGCCCAAGCAACAGCATCGACGCCGAACCGCTCGTACGCAAACCGGCGCACGGGGTCCGTGAGCGTGTCCACTGCCGTCTTCAGGTGCACAAAGTAATTATTGACCTCCTCTTGGCTCTGTTGCTGGCCTGTGACTTTATCGGGGTGGTAAAGCGCCGCTAGGCGGCGGAAGCGGGACTTGATCTCGCGCCCGCTCGCGTCGGGGCTGACGCCTAGGTCGCCGTAGAAGTTGGAGCCGCGCACGACGAGCTCGTAGTGGGCTTCGTAGATTGTGTAGAGGAGGTAGACAGTCACGACCAGGATGTGGATGCGGCGGCGGTGTTCGGCGTATCGAGGGGTGCCTGGGGTCGGGCGCGGCGAGCCGGCGCGGATGGTGATGCCGTAGTAGAGCGATTGCGCCCAGCCGGTGACGAGGTTGGGCAGGAATGTCCAGCCAAAGAGGGAGAGGAGGTCGGACATTTTGGTGCTCGGTCTCGGGTATTCTGGAGGTTTTGGTTCGTTCGCTCGATCGGTTGTTGGGCTGATTGTCTACGCGCGCGGGTCGTGGTGTTTGCAAGTCGTGGTGTTGCTACCTGAACATTGCAGGATCAGGTACCATGGAAATGCGACAAAGTCAGAAGCAGTAAGAGAATATGACGCCCTCTCTGGAAGACACAAAGAACGAGAGAAAGTGTGTCTGAATAATAAAAAGAGCAGCGGCAGAGGCAGGGCGCACTTGTAGGTTGCATTTTGGCCAGGCTGCAAAGGGCCAGTTGTTTGTATTTCGGTGGTGCTTTTTAGTGGTGCATAGCGCTAAACAATGAGAGTCAATTTGGCCTTATCCCTCCACATGCCGGCCCACCTCCTGCAAGGCTGACGGAGACAAGGTCTCCCTTGCGTCATGCAGCAGAGTCCAGCGGCAGGCACATCGGCTATCTGACCGGCAAACTCGGCTATCTGATTGATCAGTCTTTCTGAACCCGGCCGGCAACTGCAACCTTCACATGTCGGCCGCTTCTTTCAGCACTAAGAATCGTCATGGCCCAAGAACATACAAACAAGTTTTGAGAAGAGGGAGAAACCACAAATCAATTCATAAACTCATAACGCAACGACCCTCGCGGGTGTTTCAGAAAAAAAGAAAACCGGTGACCGAAATGACAAATACAGTAATCCATAACATACACAACTATCGTTCCTCGTTCCTTCTTCTATTCTTCTTTGCTGTTCCAAATCTTCGTATAGCGCGTGGGATCTTCACCATCACCACCGATCTCGTCCCCTATCATCATTAAACACTAAGCAGAGGTAGATGTTCGCCTCATCATTATCATCAAACCAATATGCCGATTATTAAACCACAGCAGCCACCCCCTGAATCCGAAAAAAATAGTATAAAAGACTAGGCATCAGGCCTTCAACTGCTGCCAAAGAACCGCCTGATGGCGGCCCTGAAGCCAGTTTTCTTGCCTTCCTTTGCTTCTTTCCTTTGCTCTTCCCTCTTTTGGCGGTGAGCGGCGGCCTGTGTTGGTGACTGAGGCTCTACACCACCAGCCGACGAAGTGGGAGACACAATTTCTCCAGACTCGTCCGATGCGGTGGATGACTGCTTCTTGGACTTGAAGACGGACGAGATGGAGCTCTTCTTGCTGTGTCCGCGCTCCGTGACCTTGTTCTCCTTGTTGCTTGCATCCTGAGACTCCCTCGATTTGAGCGATCTCCGCAGTCTTGTGGTGCTAGACCGCCCAAGCTCCGGTGAAGAGGATCCCTGTTGAACAATGGTCGGATCCGATACGGTCTCAACGTTCTTGATGTGGGCGTATTTTTTGCTGGCGGTGGGCGATGGGGGTTCGACATCCTTGCCCTTTCCTTTCACGTCCGCCTCGGAAGGCACACCTGAGAGACCAAGGGCGTTGGTTTCCGGCTTATCAGCTGTGGCTGTGGCAGCTGGGCTTGAAGAATCGGCTGTGGCATAAACGACTACTGCTGCTGCGACCATCTCCTCTGCTTGCTTAATGGTGTTCCTGTCCTGCCCCCGCTCATTGCGGGCGCGGCTCACTTCCTGAGCCACAGGATCGTCAAGATCAGGGAGAACGACAGCAAATGTGGGTACACGCTGGTCCACCGAGACTTGGTCGGTTGTCCTGTCTTCTGTTGGGAGCCTTTGGGGATTAAGAGCGTTATCAGTCTGTGTTCCTTCCTGGTCAACGGACTGGATTGTTTTTTCCTCACCATCTTCAGAAGAAGCTCCCTTCTTTCCATCAATTTTTGCAGCTTCTTCTTCAGCTGGTGCTTCCTTCTCCACAACGTGGAAGGATTCGGAGAGCGGCACCGTCTCATCAACGATTTCAGGTGCTTCGGCCTCTACTGACGGAGTCGACTTGGCTTCGTCAGTGACAACCCGGGGAGTCTTGGGCTCGGGCTTGGGGCGCTCAGCAACGAGCGAGCCGGACTCAGCAGAACCGTGAGCCACGGAACGCTCGAGTGTGGCGACCTTTGGTGTAGAATCCGAGATGATGGGCTTGGCGACTTCGGTAACCTTGTCTGTGACGGGCTTGGCGACTTCAATGACCTTCTCCGTGACGGGCTTGGAGACTTCAGTGACCTTGTCGGCAACCGCAACAGCGGTGGCTCCCAAAGCACCAGCAATGGCAATGCCGGCGCCGATGGCAATCTCCCCGGCGTTGGACTTGCTCTCGTCGGTATCCTTCTTCTCGGACTCCTCGGTAGCCTTTGAGGCGGAGGTGTCGTCAAGAGTAGACTCGGGCATGTCGGAAGCTTCCTTTTGAGTCTCCGCCAACGGAGCCTCCTCAACGGCCTGTTGAACGCTAGCAGGTTCCTCATGGCTGACGGCGTCCGTGGGCATTTGGATGCTGTCATTGGATGATTCCCCTTCAATGGCAGTCTTGTCCTCACCTGTAGTCTGCTTCTCAGCAACCGCCTCCTTGACATCATCATGCACGGGTGCAGCAACTGTGTCTTGGATCTTGGCCTCGCTCGACTCATCAACCGGCAATACTGCCTTTGACTCACCGACAGTTTCCTCAACTGGAGTATGCTTCTCGTCGTGATCCTCAGCCTTGGCAGTGGCGGGTTCAGCCGCCTCGACCTGGGGGATATTGGTAGCCTTGACTTCGGGAGTAGATTCAGCGACCTGAGAGACGGGCTCAGCCACAGTCTCGACAGGCTCAGCAGCATCGGCGACGGTCTTGGTGGCGGATTCGGTGATAACGGGCTCGATGGTCTCGGTGGCGGGCTCGGCGGCAGCCTCAGTAACCACAGACTTAGCGGCAATCTCGGTAGGCTTGACGGTAGACTCCATAACCTCTACGGCGGGCTCAGGAGCGGTCTCAGGGATAGAGGCAGGGGTGCTTTCAGTGGAACGCTCGGTCGCGGTTTCTTGAGCAGGCTCATCCTTAGCCGTTTCGGCAGCACCTTCCTTCTGCTCGGACTTGACCTCCTCGACAGGCTTGGATTCTTCGACAGCCTTGGGCGCCTCGGTAACAGGAGTCTCCTCGACAATAGGGGCCTCTTCGACGGCGGAAGTCTCGACAGCGGGGGTCTCCTCAGCCGCCTTGAGTTCAGCAGCGGGGACCTCCTCGACAG